CAATATTTTGCAAATACGCCTCAAAGACGGCGTAACGAGGCCTCCTGAAAGATGGAAGAAGGTAATATCGCAGAACGGTTCATAGATAACTCGATAAATCAGTCTTAAACAACAAATATCGTGTGATCTTTTCGCATCAGAAAAAAGGAAGGAACTTATGGGACACCCTAATATTTCAACGCTCCTTTTGTCCTCCGTTCTGGGTGAATCAACGCGAGAACGTTAAAGCGTAATAAAACTGAATGGAGAAACGTGAACCACAGACAGAGTTAGATAACTATTAACCCTTTGCACTCGAATGGCGACTCTGAGGCGCTACTAAAAATTGATATGCTATTTTTCAAAATCATTCGAAGAGCATCAAACTCGTTTATACTTTAAAAAAGACTATTAAAATTGCATTGTACTTGCCAATAGGCCCAATTTCATACGCATGAGTCGCGATAAATTATAGAAAATAGAAATACTGTAGATCAGAAATTATGTTTTGGATTTCGAATTCAAATAGCTTCGACTGCAAAGGGTTAATGTCTCTAAATCGACGGGTCTTCTTTCCCCGATCATCGAAATTGTTCTCCGATCGTCCGGTTCGTGTTCGAAAGAATAGACGCGTCCGGTTGAAAGCTGCCGAGTCTCGGGCGAATAAGAACGAGTATCCCCAAGAACACTCGAGGAGCCCCCGTGCAGCCAAACTTAACGAAAATGGTTGTTCGGGACGTTGGACGGAAGAAGGTTCTCCAGTATTCCTCCCTACTCGTCAAACCTTGCTCCGCGACGGATTACCATCTTTTCCGTTCTTCGCCGTTATTTTCCATCGTTTCCCGTCCTTTTCCGATCTCCGCGAAACGCTACCGACGGAATGTTCCTACAACGATGACTGCGCGGGACTGCGAGACTGGCTCCGTTGATTGCTTCGATTCGAAAATCTTGGGATCGTTCGCTCGTCGATCGAGCAAATAATCGAGAAAGAAAAACCGCTGGATATAACGACAAAGGGAACACACAACAGATTTCTCACGGAAAATCATTCGAATGTCTAGCACATGTTCGTCGGGAAACAAATAACAATTCTTGTATTTTATTATTACTACAATTCTTATATTTTATTCTTGTATTCGGGTAATTAGTCTACGAATTATCGGCCATCGGGAAAGTCGATTGAGAAATGAAAACATGGACGGTATCGCTTGCATCGAAAACCAGCGGTTTGTCCATTATTTTATGCGAGTTTTTCAACCTTTGCCTGGGGTCACAATTTAAGTTCTCATCGAATTGTCGATGCGACATCGTAGGAAGGCTAGAGATTACCTTAAAACAATTCGAGTGGTCTATTGCGAGGGGGACAAAAATCATATCTTTGCCATAGAACAAAGAATCCACAGAATTAAATATTAGGCAAAGAATACGCCTAAATAAATGAGCGAAACGAATATACGTACATCTAATATTTGCCAAAGACCGATGCTGTCCGTCTGCGAAACCTTCGAAAATCGAATCTACCCTTGCCGTGAACGCGTTAACGTTGAACGGTCGAGTTTTTTCAGGAAACACGGAAAATACGGTGGAATCGAGCTAGCGCGGATCGAACCGAAGCGAATCCGATCGGGTCGAATCGGAAGAGTTTGCGAGTCCGACGTTTGTACAATTTTTAGGAGAAAAGTTCGACGGGCAGCGCTGGTAATAGCGGTAAAAATCTCGCGCGGTGGCATCTCGTAACGACACTGGCTCCTATGAAATAGCAAGTACACTCGACCGCCTTTGAAACCGGTAGAAAAAGGCCGGCCGAGCGACAGGCCACTGGAACACGCTATTAAATAGGCCGAGCAGCTACACGGGAAATGATTAATCGTCCGTCGGCGCCGAACCGCGTCTTTTCAGCCCAAAAAATTGCGAACATGACAAATGCGATCAATTGATATTCTCCTATGGCCACGATATTCTGGCCATAGTACGGTTTCCTCCTCCCCCAAACCCGTTCCGGAACGTGTAACGTCGACCGCGGCGTGGAAAACAAATCGCAATCCCCGTTCGTAATTTCAATTTGGTTTTCTTCCGACGGCGTAACGAGCGTATCTATACGTTCCCGTGAAATTATTTTCTCAGGGACAAACGGTTTTTTTGGCTCAATTTACAACGTATCCGCTGTACAATTTCCGATCTTACGTATTTTTCCACGCCTCGCTTATTGCAATCTCTGTGAGAAAACTGCTGCAGTATACGAATCCATTTCGCACGGAAACTTGTATTTTTTATTCTTCCTTTTTTATGTATGTACCTATCCATTTCATAATTTCTACCCAAGAGAGTTTGTGTTTTTAATCATTTTCTAGCATTTAGATCTGTTCAATTATGTGTAACTTACTCTAACTTGGAATTTACCATGGAATAGCCAGTATTGGAATATATTTGTTTCTGCTATGTTGTACTAACCTACATGTTCGATTACAGTCAAAGAATTAACTTGCTTGATAGCCGTAGTAACATTGTACGTATGTGATAATCGTATGCTGCATTATTGTTTTATAAAATAATTAGCATGGAGAACTTGGCATGTACATTCGCACAGGATACATATACGATAAGCCCAAGGAATGAAAAAGTAACTTAATTATAGCCTAATGGAGATTGGAATTACTCATAACTCTAAAATTTCTCTATGCAAGTCGGTTGGTTGCTGTATGCATTTCTATCCATCGCAATTCCAAATAGAGGTTATGTTATTGTTTGCTCTTCTACATTCTTATCTTTCATTTAACTGCAAAGTACCATACCTATTACCGGCAGAGACAATGCGATAACATTTGTTCCAATGTAGTGTCGTCAACTCTATCGACAAAACAACGCAGAGTACAACAAAGTGTAAGATACATATAGCGCTCCAAATGACTTGGAAGTGAATAGCTAGAATCGGTTATAAAGCAGCAATAAGAATAATAGTATGACATACCGAACAGATCTATTCCTATTAGAATTAAGATGCAACAAGTCTCTTCGTAACGCTCTAATGTAAGACTAATAAGTAAGAGATGCTTGTCGCCAAATGAGAATACAGTTTCACAACGTAGTTGTAAGAGAATCTCCTGAACAAATTTACCTAATGCTAAGATAGTACAAACAATACTTGCATCTGTGCTAATGAAAACACCAAATTGGCCAATGTCTAAAAATTAATATGCATTTTGAAGCCGACAACAATATGTTCCTCTTGGTAGAACTGAGAAACCTTGCGCTTGAGAGAGCGGAGGAAGCATTTTCAATACGCATTGGTATAGGTAACATTGGGTGTACTCACTCTGTGGATAGTAGAGGATCTAGGAAGGATGATACTGCTGGTAGAGCAGGTAGACACGGTAGTGGAGGACCGGTAAATTCCGGTAGGATGCAGGAACATCGGGCGGCACGGAGCTCGCGTAGTGGCCGTGGTTTCTGCTGATCGTACGCACTAGTACCGCCGTACACGCAGAGTTATCCGGCGAAAACTGGATGCTACGTAGCGCGTATATCCAAGTGGTTGAGTATCACGGTATTCACGGTATTCACGGCACGACACGACACGACACGGCACGGCACGGCACGGTGCACATCGAGGCGAGGCTAGGCGAAGCAAGGCACGACACACAGAGCACGTTACAGAGCCACTGAAATGCACGGGACACGTAGAAAATCTACGTGTTGGAACGATCGGGGAATCGTAGAGGCACCACCTCGGGAAGGCAAGATTCTTCGGAATAAGTGCGACGGCGGGGGCTACGGATTAATATGGCCGTCCCTCGTTGACACAGAGTTTGGAGTCACGCGTGATACGCAACGCCGTGGAAACGCGTAAACCAGGTTGACCAGGGTATCGTCGGCAAGAGAGAGGCTCGTTCGTGTACGACGCGCACGCATTTGTTTCACTCGCGACACCAAACACACACCACCCGCGATATCCTACGTGCAGCTACTCGCTTCCCGTGGTCACCCTGTTGTATATTTTCCACGCGAGCTCTCTCCAGCCTTCTCCTTCTCGCCCGTTTGTTCTAGCCTCGGCTGTTCCTGTCCGTCGATTTCTCCAACGAGCACAATTCGACGTTCAACCCCTTGGCTGGGCTGCACGTTCCTCGCTCGTTCTTCCTCGTTTCTTTCGCCTCTCTCCCGTTCCTCGTCGTTTTCGTCGAATACACCGAAAGGAGGGATCCAGCGAGCACCGCGCTCGCGTTCTTAAAACACCGATAACTTCCTCGCCGTAACGTTTTCTCGTTGGAGCGCGCCACGAGGGTCGCGGAAGCATTCGAGCGATCGCGTTCTTTTCACGCTTCTCGAGGACGTGACGCGGCCTTGCTGCGAACGACGTCAACATCACCACCGTACGCTTTCATGGCGGCCATCTTTTTCGAGATACGCGAATCGCGGAACGGGAAACGCACACGCGCGTGTGTATATCCCGCACACATGCACACACGTGCCACTCGCTCGCGACTACGTACACGCAATATGGCGGTCTCCGATACCAACACCTATATACCAATGCCAGAGCCGAGGGAGACACTTGTACGCACGCATACATATACGACTCGGCCGTGCCAGCCTGGATATTTTGGATGGCGAACAGCTAAGCCGAACGAACGGACCATAGAACGAGGAACGGTTCAAGTTCCTTGTTCAACGGAGAAACGTGGCGCTGCTGTCTCCTCTCGTACTCTGTCTTTCTCTTTCGTTCTCTTTCTCTCTCTCTCTCGCTTTCCACGATGCTTCGCAAATCTTCCCAGCCAATCGCGACTCGATTTTTAATGTGTAACTCGTTTCACGAACTAGGGATTTCTTTAGTTATTCCATTCTCTTTCGTAACCGCATTTCGTTCAAAACTCAAATTCAACTCTATCCCCACCCCTGTCCTATTCTATTCTCTTCTGTTGTCTGCTCCCTCTTCCGACGTCCAACGACAGCTCATTTAACGCGCGTTTATTCAAGTTGGTTTCGCGTCGACGTTGAACTTTTGAAAAAAAAACAATGCAATGATATCCTTTTTATTACAATTTTATTATTTATATCAGTTTATTACCACCAACTAACACATATTGTATTGTACGTTTGAGGTAGGTTACGGAATAGTTGATTAACAGTACGTTTTGTAAAAGTTTACTCTGAAGTGTATTTGTTACGGGCAGTATTGATAACTCTTAATCTATAAACATCGTACGTATCAAATCCTCTTACAAAATAAAATTTCAATGTATAAAAGTTCGATACAGATTCGAGTTCAACAATTTCCTATACAAACTATTTGTGCAATGAGAAACCTTCCTAGGCGTTAGCACCTCTGTTGGATAGTGGATTATCCATAAACGAAATTAGAAATCTTTTAATGCACGAGACGAAATGCAATGGCCTTCGTTGTACCCGTTGAAATACAATTACATTCGTAGAAATTTTGATATGGCGATACGCTCAGCGTATCTACTTTCACAAGAATATCGGCAACATTGTAGTAAAAAATCATTGGATATTACAACTTCAAAACTTCATTAACGGCGGCGACGATCTTGCTCGCGCTGATTCCATACTTCTCCAATAGCACGGACGGGGGGCCAGAACGGGGCACTTCCGTCACAGCCAACTTTTTAACTAGAATGTTTCGTTCCAGAGCAACCGCCGACAAGACTGCGTCACCAAGACCACCCTCGGGATAGTGATCCTCGACGGTGATAACCTTTCCACCCACTTCTTTAGCGTTATGCACAATCAGTTGAGCGTCCAGAGGTTTGATCGTGAATGGATCGATCACTCGTACGTTTACCCCGACTTTGGACAATTCGTTGGCGGCTTTGAGTGCTTCGTGGAGAGTCACGCCAGCTCCAACGATGAGAACTTGATCTTTGGCGGTCGATTTCACCACTTTACCTTTGCCGATAACAAACGGTTCCTCGTTCTTGTACAAGATTGCCGTGGCCGGGCGCGACGTACGGATGAAACAGATACCCTTTGTGTTGGCTGCCAATTCGATGGCACGTTCCGTTGAAACAGCATCGCTGGGATAGAAAACGGTACTACCAGGAATCGTCCGGAACATTGCAATATCCTCCAGACCCATTTGCGAGGGGCCGTCCTCGCCGATAGATACGCCACAGTGAGATCCCACGAAGTTTACATTAGTTTGTGAAATAGCACCCATACGAATCTGTAAAATTAAGTCCAAGTTGATCGTACGTCTTTCGCAGGAGCATTCTGTTTCGTTAATACACAGTTACCTGATCATATGCACGGGTGAAGAAAGTAGCAAAGGCAGACACAAACGTCACCGCTCTGTCTCTGCATGCCGCACCTGTGGCAACTCCTACAAGGTTTTGTTCAGCGATGAAGCATTCGATGAATTTCGTTGGATCAACGGCCTTAATTTTCTCTGCGTACGTAGAGTTTTTCGTATCACCGTCGAGGGCAATCACGCGAGAATTATTCTTCGCCAGCTGCACAATAAAACAGTAAGATGTACACAAATAACCTTGCATCTACTAAGTATCATTACTTTCAGAGAACATACAAACCTTAGCCAAAGCGGTACCATAAGCCAATCTTGTCGCTACTTGTTCCCCTATTTTGTAACTCGGAGGCGAGGCCAGCTTAATATTGGTAATGTCTACCACTGGTGCATCGTCGACCAACGGTTTCTGAGGATGCAATCCAAGAGGACCAGAATTCTTCAACATTCCATTTAGATGCTGTAAAGAAACGATAATAATTTTCGTATAATATTTTAAAAATAAATAATTTTCGGAATAGTAAAAAAAAAAAAATTTTAATACAGCGGAAAATCGATTTCTTACTTGAATCACTTCGTTAGCATTGGTGCCAAGTGGTTTGCCATGCCAGTTCTCGCGATCCTCAATATTGGGGAAATATTTTCCCTTGAACGTTTTCGCTAGAATAGCAGTAGGACGTCCTTTTGTGTTTTGTGCTTCGTGGAAAGCCTAAAAAATTTTACATTGAATTTTCCAAGCATACATTTAGTTTCTAATTGCCTAAACATACCTTGGCCAATTCTTCAACATCGTGACCATCAACAACCAAAGCATTAAAGCCAAAAGCTTCGAGCCTCTTGCGGTAAATTTCCATGTTGTGCTGGAGAGATGTTGGCTCGCTCTGACCTAAACGATTTATATCGAAAATGGCACAGAGATTGTCCAACTTGTAATAGGAACAGAAATGAAGAGCCTCCCAAATCGAACCTTCCGCCGACTCGCCATCGCCGATTAAACAGTACACGCTGGAAAGAAATGTCGATTGTATTTTTGTCTTTCACGAATGCGAAGAAATTTCAAATACACATAATTGGTGTACCGATAATTGGATTTATCGAAATTCTTTCCAACATAGGCCATTCCCGCCGCCACGGAAAGACCCTGACCCAAAGAGCCAGTTCCCACATCGATGAAATTCAATCTCGGAGTCGGATGTCCCTCCAGATCGCTATCAATTTTCCTCAAATTTAGCAACTCACTCGTTGGGAAAAGACCGGCTTCGGCCCATGCTGCGAATACAGAGGTAATCGGTAAGTGTCGAATAATTTCGGGATTAATACGTATTCGTTCCGTATTATGAATGCATATATGCACTTTACCTGCGTAAAGGATAGGAGCTGCGTGACCTTTGCTCAGAACGAATCGGTCGCTGCTTGGATCGCGTGGTGCCGATACTTTGTAACGCATCGTGTGAAAGAATAAAACCGACATTATTTCTGCCATTGACGAGCATGTTGTCGGGTGACTGCAAACAAAAGTAAATTATACGTGATTTCGTAACTCTACGTACGTAGAAAACTTTTTGAATCTTAAAATGTTGATGGATCATTAAAGATCATTCAATTATTCATAAGGTGTTATCATCGATTCGTAAAAGTGATAATAGGCTAGTGTCGGTAGAGGTCAAGGAGTCATTTATCTCGATCGTACGATGTTAATTATCAAAAGGCTGGAATATAAAAAAACACGTATGTACTTATATAACAAGCGAACTACTTGCAGGAACTATAATATATATATGATTCTTATATATAATATAATAATATAATATATAGTATAATTCAGCTAGTGTCATTGATAGAATCGAATCAGATGAAACCCGCGAAGCGTGTACATAAAAACATTTTTTGTGCCTTCGAGACTTACTTCAAGATAGTAACATGTATCTGTGTAATACAATGGAATTACAAGAGATGTGTACAATCTTTCAAGGACTTCCATCAGGCTTTCTCGAGATAGCGTATGGTTTAATAACAATAATACACGTATGTACGTTAATTAACGTAAATTTCGAGTTAATTAAATAAACGTGTCGACTGACCTGAAACGATCGTTTAACAAAAGAGGATAAGGACTAGTGTTCAAGCTAACATTAATAGCGATTTCCTAAACGCTTGAACTTATTGTTCATCGGTCATTGATTTTCCCGTTCCATGAGAACTACATACAAATAAGCATGCATACGCACATACATACGTATATATTACACAATAAGAAAGAATTGGCGCAACGCGGTTTGGGGACACGTATATACGTTTCAATACCATTTTCATAAAAACTCAACCGCTACTGCTATACCGCTGCACAACCTTGATTTCCACTAGGTCAAACATTCTTTCTTATCAAAGTCATTTAGAGGTGAATACATATGTTCGAAGGGAGAAGAGAATTTGAACAGATCCTTAAAATTCAGAGGAAGTTGGACCAGTGAATTAAACCATTTTTAAATACAACTACAGTAGTAAGAGATAAGCGATTCGAAAACACGGGCAGAAATTGAATTCATTTGGATTGATCGTACCCACTCTTCGATGCCTCGGTAGCTTGGATGGATAAAATGCGAAGCTTGGTCGCAATATCTTGGAGTTTTTCCATGTTCGTATCGCGGACCATCGTGAACTGAAGCGACTACTTTCGAAATCGTTACCGGCTGAACGTTCGATAGCAACTGAAGTGTCGGAGCCTGTGGCGAGTAGCGGGTAGCGAGTAACGAGCACTGCGCCTCCCCCTCCCCTGAACCCCCTACTTTCCCTAGAAGCGATTACTGGGGATTTCATAATCGGTGTGTTCGCCGGGACAGGGTAACCTTCTTGAATGTGTCGAATAGCGCTGTTTGAAAATTGTCTCATTTCCTTCGATAGGAAAATATTCACCTTCGCCAAAACAGAACTGCTAATTAAACACGAGAATCAAGAGATGAACGCGATGCTGGAAATTGTCTTGTCACAGCTCGTGCTTTTTACGAAAATAATAAGACGTGTCATGGTCGCTGTTTTATGTATTCATTAGTGACTCTCCTGAAGTCTCCAGGCGATACACAGTTACATCATACACACATGTAACGAAGTTCCGCGGTAGAAAAAAATGGAGGGGGAAATAGACGAAGCAGAGAAGGGGCTCGCACGAGGGGAGATCCAACCGTTGTACTGGACAGAGACTCCATAGCACAGTACCGTAGAGTTTTTAAATGAAATCATTATAACGTGTCCATTTTAAGAACATCACCGTTCGAAAATAGGCGCAGCTGATATCGTTTGTGAATTCATTTGCCGGCTCGTATTTGGACCTTCTAACCGAGTTATCTATTGTCGGAACGGTTTCGTAAAATATTATCGGGTAATATTAGTTATCTCCGATGCAAAAGGAAAAAAGCGAAATGCTGAAAAAAAGAAATATTCGAAAGATTCCGTCTTTTCGAGATGAATTGAATCAGTCAATAAATGTATATATATACTAGTTTGTCAGGTTAGACGATAATGTCAATGATAATTTGAACATTCGATAGTTTTAATCATTTGACTGGGTCGTTCGCATGTTACGTAACGATAGGATCGCGTATCGTATACCGTTTTTCCTATCGTGCACGTGTTGGAGATGCCGCGACGCCGCTACATGTACCAAATGCAATAGTTTCTTCGAAAATATTTACGACTATGTCGTGAGCGGTAAAAACTTTGAACACATCGTATCGAAGCGTGTTGATTCGCTGATTAGGCGCTCCTTGTCACTGCACAACTGCACCTTGCGATAAACATTGACCCAAGGTATAATGCGGTCTTCATTTTATAGTTATAAATCTTTCGAATTTCTTGAATCGAACATACATAGATTGTATATACTTTGTATATACATAGATATTACATGTATACATATTGTATAAATATTCTTATTTATTCGACTACAGATTGTTAAGAACGAATTCTGTCGAATTACTGGCATATCTGCGACCGTTGGCGTTATTCCGGTTCTGGTGAATACATAAACATGAAATGCAACTACAGACATGTTAAGGACTACCTTGAACCGCCGCGGTTCGCAAGCAGTGATCGTGATGCAACGAAACGTGGAAAAAGTGGCGTGACATCGAGTATTCCAACGAAACGTTAGAGAGCACTGTTCGCAAACGAATCGTTGCTATGCCGTTAGAAAAATGTTTCACGATTATTATCGAATTTATAAAATAACTACGTATCCCGATCATAGAATAAAGTAAACGCTGTTCTTGCTATAAACGTCGCTTTCATCGATGCAACTAATACGCGCTTATGAAAATATAATCGTTGTTTTGTTTCTACAACCTATAGCTTGCACGAATTAAAATTGTGCATTGATTTACAAAGAAATTATTTGATACACGACCGATCGATCGAGCAAAACCGATTCTATAAACTATAAAGCATAAATGTTAATGAACGTACCCCGATTTACTGGCTTGCGTCGCTTCAATCGAATGAATTCTTAACTTTGTCGCGATATCCTTCAATTCCTGAATGGTTTTCGATTCCGGCTTATGATAGTTGGCCATTTTGTCGTATTCGAGAACTTGTATAAGCCTGTTGAAAGCTTGGAAAAATGCCGATGCCGACCACGATTCGTGCTTCCGAGCAACAAGTAGAATTCGCGCAACCACGATAAAAGTTGAATATAGAGAAGGCTCTCGACGGTCCGAGAATTGTGTTTGTGATATTCCTTAATCATTAATAGATGGTTCTGCCTCTGTCTGTGCGTCATTGTAGCGGGTGATTTGAATTATAAAAGAAACCGTTTCATCATGGATCCGCTAATTGGACTTCTCAATAAGACTGATGACATGTACATATACCTGCATGTATTACAGGTATAATATATCGAACTGAATATACTGTTAAACTCAATTGGAGGTTTTATGATACAGTTTTGCAAACTATTACTTTAATAACAAATTTATTTGATGTTTAGGAACAGGATTCTTGACGTTACGCTAATACGGTCGTTATCGAAGTATAAACGTACTGGTTCATAATTTTATACGTAATTATTAATGAATTATCGGACTAACTGTACGATAATCGTAAATACGTAAAAGGTGCAAACCAAAAGTTACAATAAATTCGTACTGCCCTGACTACGTAACCATTATTAAACCCTTACCGCAACTTATTTACTTCTTGTCGGAAGTTCACTTAGCCCGTTTCATATAGTAACAAGAATGACTAAATTTTTCTGAGAACAAGTAAAACTTAATATATCTCTAAAGTTTAAACTTTCAAAAATTACATTTCTTCTCTGACATCGTTTTCAAAGTTTTCGTTTTCTATGCAGTAAAGGATTAAATAAAGCACTTCGAATGATCGCATCGATTAAAAGTAACCGTGTACCGTTATTCTTGTTCTGTAAGAATAAATTACTGTAATAAACGATTAAATATTACATCGTGATTACATCTAGATTCGATAGTTCATTAAATTATATTTACAGAAATCTCTTATCGACAAAGTATCGAGTTGCAATTCGCACTCTAATGCTTCATAAGATTTTTATCGATGATAGATCAACAAGATCATTGTCTTTTGTAACATTTCACCAGACCGGTTTTCTTCTACTCCGTACGACCAAGCTTCCGTGTAGCGAGACGTCTTATCATCGCCCGATACATTTAGCAATGTTTAACTGTGCGAATTTTCTTGTTTCATTGGTGCATCGTAAGTATAAGACGAGAATAAGATATTCACATATAATCCGTTCGAATAACAACTAACGTGAAAATTAGATAGAAATGTTTCTTTTCCAGTAACCGCCAAAACTGCTCCAACTTTAAATCTATTAAAAGTAAATGTTTCCTTTAATACACTCACATAAACGTAAATGTTATATCGTATAAGCCTTATACACATATATATACATATATATAAATACATTTCTATATACTTAAGGGTCATATATGCTTATATATTTATATATACTTATACATATGCATAACATGCAATTGGTTCCCATATTCCTTTGAACTTCATATATGTATGCATGTCGGCGTTATCAATTTACATTATTAATTAATTTATAGCTTTATCACATATAAAGTTTGCTCTATTTACAGTAACTTTTCGTCGATGCCTGGAATGTTTCAATATTTCCTATACATATTATGTATAAGCACGATTCACGATTCTTGACGGCTTAAAGAATCGCGATTCATTGACAAATTTTCAAATTTTTTTTCGCAAAGAACTCGCTCTTTCATGTAATGTCATCGCTTTTCTGGTTAAATCGGATTTATCGGCAACCTTTCACCGATCATTCTCTTTACCGAAATTCCTCCGAGTCTTTTAGAATTTTAAATTTGATCGGGGTCAAGCTCATAGAATTTCAACTCTGCTTAAACGCATCGCTTTCAGTCTGTTCAGTCTACTACCTGTAATCATCGCACTGCAGCAAAGTAAAGTTTAGTTTACACATTTCTGATGTCTTACGTCTTTATTCTGTTACGCACATTTTTCGAAATTATTGTCGAAAATTAAATTACACCAAATCATAAATTCGTTATATAAATTTCAAGAGGCGGCATTCAAATAATCTTACAAAAACGACAACTTATAATCTATATACAATGTTACTGATATTCATAAAGCTACCGTGCAGCAATTCGATCAATTTATATTCTTAAAATTCTTACTTCCTGCACATTACAGTCGTCATCTATTTCGAAGTTAGTAAAAAATAATAGAACTGCACAACTTGATCTCTATGCATTGTAATATTTTGCACCTGCTTATCGTATACCAACTACTTTCGTGTTCCCGTGTATGTATTGCCAATACAAGTATTTTAACGCGTTACATTTGTGTGAAATCAATGCTTGTAAAAAAAGTACTACTGATCACCATAATGCTCGCTGTGAGTAATAGATCAATTCATGTCACGTACTAAGCAAAACATCTTTTGGTAATATCGTGATTTCATCTTTCGAATTAGAAATCGAATTAAGCATATCGCAACCATTGTATACAGTTTCGAGCGTATTCACAAACTTATCGCTAGCTTTTGATTTGATATGGTTTTTGTCTTTCATGTTCGAGATATTTGAAAATAGTGTAAAGTATTTTTGTAGTAATACACAAAAAATATAAAGGACTGAAAAAACTATTCTTGAAATCATAGACAAACGGAGAATTCGATTACAACGCAACATGGCATGAAACAAATCTCAATTTATCACAAAATCGATTTAGAAAGTCAACGAATCGAGTCCATTAAAATAAAAAATTCATTCTAAAATTATGATTATAAACAAGATTAAATGATAATAAATATGCGAGCGTGTGAAGTTCCTAAATGAAAATAAATAATGACAGATGTGTAATTAACGCGTGTTCAATTCAATTATAATACAGTAAGAAAAATTACGTATAAAGACAGAGATTTCATCGTGTGTATGCTTCGAGAGTATTCGCATTATTGTACTGTATGTAAACAGATCACGACAGATCTTTCGAGACAAACTATGTTCTTTTTATAAAATGTACCGTTGCGTCTACGAAGGACACATCCTTTATCGAAAAGCATCAAATGTCAAAGAAATCGTTCTTACGAAAACTGGTTCTGTAAAAGAAGACAAATAGAACGTGACGTGTCAGTATGCAATAGGTATCAGGTACTTTTTGGAATCGATGCTTTACCCGGTGTCAAAGCTTTCAAATCAGCATAAATATACAGAAAGGTTGTTTATTGTATTCGTGATGTAGTGTTAATATCACATACAAGTACACTTTAAAGCTTCTAAAGAGAGGTCCTGTAACTGAGCGTTTGATTACTGTGCTTCATCAACACATTCCAAACATTTTCTAACATCCGTATTGCTAATATTTATCTGTGGTAACGTAAAAAATGTTATATATATATACATAACGGCCAATCCTCGGCATGAAGATGAAATTACCATCCAAAGACTGTTCGAATACATTTAAAAGATTTTACACTGCTTTTTCCAGCTTTCCTCATGCCATGGAAATTGTAACATTTATTCCTAAATTTCCATTATCGGCAAACAATTGCGCAATAGACGTATCGAACACAAGGCAATCTGAATTTAAAATTGCGGACGAAACACCTTCGTGAATAGAACGCGGCATAGCTTCCCATGTCAGACGCCTTTTATGTCCGTTTAATTCTAGTCTAAATAACATCAAAAATTCGATTAAATCGGTTCAACATATACGATAGAATGTGCTATCGTAATGCATATTTACCTGTACGCGAAATTTTCTGCTTGCTTCCGCGATCCAATTAATTGAACAATGGCAAAGAATTGTTGATGTCCATCATATTTTTCCTGTTTTTCGAGCACTAGCATAAAATGATGACCAAAACAGGACTGCATCATTACCCAGTCCACAGCGCCAGGAAGATTAATATCTGTTGCTAAAAAAACAATATCTTCTCCTACAAGAAACACAGTATAATGAACAGTTTGTTTAATTCTGCACATGTCTATAAAAACATCTGGCTATGAAATTACCTTGAAGAGTCGTAATACTTTTGTGACTCATGACAAGATGTGGCATAACTTGTTCAAGAGATCCCTGCCATTTGCAAGATGCACCTGGACAAGGACAACTGTATGGACGGAATTCACATGCATCTTCGTGATCTGCCTTTTCAGTGTGCACCAAAGAGACTGTGCATCCACTCGTTGAATATTTGCAAGGAAACATTACATTGCCTGCCACTTTTTCCATGGCCAGGTTGCGAATATTACCTACGTGAAATGAAAACCCAGAGCAATATTTAAAATTCACAGTTACAGCAAATTCTACAAATTTGATTATTTTACAGGCTACATACCTAATGGACCTCTACAGGTAGGACAGCAGTTAAGCTTTGGTCGACAAGTGCTACAAACAAGGTGTCCACTCTGACATTGTAAAATAGGTGGAAGAACATAATCAAAACAAACTGGACATTCGAACAAGCTTGCCAAATCAGTTGAGCTACTTAGAGATGATACAGTTGATGCAGAGGAGCTTGCAACACTCCTCCCTCTCTTTCCTGTACTAATACTTAGTTGGGACATCTTTTCCTCTAATTCTGTATACCAAACGGCAACACTTTGTTGTTGTCAACAACAAAATTCTTTTACATTCAAGATGCCTCTTAAATGCAGTGCATTCTGGAATGAACCATCCACCTCATATCTGCAAATTATTGTAACCTGAATGATATTATGAAACCTTCGGTAGAAAAAAGCCTTAATATTTTAAAAGCTTAACAAAAAAACACATGACTCAAATTAAAAGCGCACAATTAACCTCCATAGGTCCTTTACGCATCTACCGACAATAATTTTGTAACTTCACAATGTATCATTTCTTACTTTGAATACGATAATATTATAGATGAAGATAACAATAGTCAGAGGATACTCTGCATATATATATATGAGAAAAATATATATCTTGACTAATTATATGCCTTATTTTGATATTGGTTAATATTATTCACAAACGTATATATAAAATTATAAAAATAGCTCTGCCCAGAGTAGCTTTATGTGTATCCATTTACATTTGAATAATTCACACAATGCTTGCCATGATGTAATACATGTCTTATTCAAGGTAATTTTTACTTTAATCTATAGTATAGTGTAATATTATCTAATAAAAATACACGTTTGCAACATACCGATGCTTTGTTTTAAACGAAATTCCATTTTTATGAATAAATTTTGAGGTAACTAAAATTTTCACCCATGTTATTAAGTAAACATTTCACATGAAAACAAGCGGTTAAGTAAAAACGACAAAAAATGAGCTGTTCGTCGATCTCGTTATTATTTGAAGACTATAATTTCTTGGAAATTAGAGATGATCCGCGCGATTCAAACAACGTCCAACAAAAAAAGAAGGTTAAATTTCTAACGTTGCATTGATAAAGTGGTACAAGTAACGACAATTACGTTGCATCGATCGTGTAACCATTTATCGCGTGCGCGTCAATTATCATCGTCTTGTACAAATTCTTTGAACAGTTAAGCTTGACAAGCTTTTCGCCATTGGAACCCAGGAAATTTTCAAACGACAATGTATCTCGGCCTGAACGAACTGTTTATTCTGGAAACTGTAAAGCGAACGGAGTAAAAATCTTCTGGCCAGTGCTATGAAGCCAGTCGTGAGTCGCGAGTCACGACGAATCAGAGATCAACAAATAACTAAGCGACAAATAAGAGAATAGACGACTCCTGTGAAAAAGAATGTTTAAAAAGCCGATTCGAACAAAATGAAGTTGCGATTTTGTAACATAACAAAATTTCGATTCCCAATAAAATCTTCGTTGCAACATTTTTACAGAAATTTCCGATTTACATAGTAAGAGAATTTTTGCGTTAATTACGATGCTAATTTAATTTGAAGTAGGTATGTATAATGTATACAATGTACATATGCACATATATGTAAACTTACCGGAATTTGGATTGACAAATGTATTAGTACGTCACTCGTTGCATACGCTTTGGTTTCACGCGATTCAGATCGGAAAGTAGAGAATCAAGATCGTAAGAGAGGGATAGAGAAGGCACTTGATAACGATGACAACGAAGATGCTAAACGAGGGTGAAAACGTCGTGTGTAATGACAAAGGGTGACACAACGGTAAACAAGTGTTGTTGTTTGGAGGACAACAGCAGGAGATTTCATGCGACTCGGTTTCGGAAATGTTGCACGAAATACATCCGATTCTTCTCGGTGCATCGATGATGAATAAACGCGAACGCGAATGAAATCGACTATGAAAGAGAGGCTACATCGCGGATTCCCTTGGCCAAACAGACGACATTGATCGCGACGTGATTTTTATCAATTTTCGCTGAGACATAGTAGCAGCTCGCTGCTGTTTGAACTTCCGACACTACAAACTCAGTTTCGTATAATACAATGCACAACAAGGTGATGACACTGCAGCTGTCTGTCCGTCCGACTGTATGTCTGTTCGTTTTCGTTTACACCCATGCAACGCATGCAATTGCCATGATCGAGATTTAGGCCGCGTTTCAAACAAATACTTTCTCCGTTGGTATTGATGTTTTCATTCATACATTTATACTTACTTTTAATAATATTTTCGAAAATACTATTGCATTTCATTGATCATATAAATTTCTACATTATGGATAACCATTATGATATACATGTTTGCGTGGTTAGTCTGGAATGCTAGATGAATTCATGTAAATTAATTTTGCATAAAATATACATCGGATCTATATTTGTTAATATACATAGAGACTAGTAGTCGAAGGATTCGTTATACATTTGCATTGCACAAGAGCATGTATTATGTGCTGCTACAATAAATCTTTCTTATGTACGTCATCTAATGGCTAGTTCATAGCACATAGTGTTCGCAGCTTCATAGCACCGTTGCCGTTAATTCTTTCGGTATCACGTGACTCCATGCGTGACGTCACGGATGAGCTGTTCAACGAAGTAGGAGTAGAAGGCAGCGTAGTGACCGACGCGATAGGACCAATCAACCGTGAGAGCATACCTAACAACCCTCCTGCCCTTTATCGCTACTTTGCTGAACTGCTCATCCGTGATGTCATGGATGGAGTCACGTGATATTTGAGGGAATTCACGGCAACGATACTTCATAGCGACTAGGTGTTCACATTGTATACATCACTGCATCAGGATAAAAAAATACATACATAATAAGAAGTGCATATGTACATATTATGTATGCTTACTAAATACTAAATTCTCTCTATGCATTTTCCTACTACTACTAAATGAATCAGTCCTTAAAAATTTATAAATTGACCCATGAAATAAGTTTAAAATTAATTCAAAGCACTAATGCCCTAATTTTGCCATACGTAAGTAAGAGTAGACGAGATAAAGATAGAGGACACAGTTACCGACAGATGAGACGAAAACATGGGTTTACGGGGTGACACTTAACAACTACCTTATCTTTTTCGATTTTTAATGGTATTATTCGGAAGAGGAAGGTTCAGTGCAGTGCGTGAATTTTATTTTGAAGAAAAAATGAAGCACTATTTGAAGTCGGTACAGCGTCAATTGGGATAGCGGCAAAACGTTCAAACTGTTAGCTAAATTACCGACAGTCTATTTGGTATCTTAAACACAACATAGATGTCTCCAAGTCCTGCGTATGTATTTACATACACGTGGGGATGTAGCTTGGGCGATTTTACCACAGATCGCGCAGTCTGTTTATACTATTGATTACACCATAAACTGTTCCAGCGCTTACCACAGTGAAGAATGCCGAGTGGAACACGGATATAACCTGTATGTATTTGAAAGCATAGCGATGCGACGCCGCGCGAGACGTTTGCGTTTAGTATTGGACTTGGACGAAGGTGGATCGAGGACTTGCCATGGCTGACGAAATCAGAGAAAGACTGTTGGAACGTGTGAAAGAGCAAGGAGAACTTGTCCGCAAATTGAAAGCCGCGAAAGCCAGCGATACCGAGGTATGATCGAGTATTTATACGTTTTCGTATGATCGAGTTTGATCATTTTTTTTATTCGTGCGGTCGCAAATCGTTTTCGTTGCGAACGACAAAGCGATGCCTTCTGGTAACATTGACCAATTCTTGCGACCATGTGCAAATACAACAATGTCAGCATACTTTAGATATACATACATATACGTACATACGGCATGATAACGTTAAATACCTCTGATTGTTACTCACGGTCAATTACTGTTTACAAGAACTGAACTTTCACCCGATCGAGTTTTAATTTGCCACGTTTTCTTTCGACACATAAACTTCGCCGATTCTTCTGGCGACGTAGGTACGATCTTCGATGTTTTGTCTGCTTCGAAACGTATCGAAGATCACAGTATCGGATCCCTTTCCGTCTCTCAGGATTTAACGAATTCGTGGGACTTAGAAACACAATTGGAGAGTCTAAACCACGAGTTTGCTGAGGTTAGTTATGTTTGCGGTTGGGTGCCTACCACTAAAGACGCTCTATTGTACGACTTCTGTGCTACCTTCGACGAGCGGCTCTCAAAATGGTTACACTTGAAAAGATGGTTCACGAATATACGAAGTTTCGATCAAGCAGAACGTGTCGCGTTTTCACAGCCGAAAGGACCAATTACTCCCTTGATGAGAAAAGTTGATCGTATAAACGCTTGTAGCTCGTTCGAGCGGCACTCGATTGATCAAAAGGTGAGGTTATTGTTTATTCCTGAGCAAGAACGCTATGAATTATGGATTCATCTAGTTTCTGTCGTGCGTCATCCATTTATTAGGTTTGTAACAAAGTTCCTGAAAATTTGATCGATGACGGAGACATTAAAAAGTTGATCCGCACCATTTAGAAAATAATGTAATTTATAGCGTTTGCTTGCCAGCTGGTTCATATAGTACCGTTTCTTCTTTCGGGTAGTTCGATAATCAACACTGAGGCGGACTTTTCTTCTTTCGTTCCGGTTCTTGAAATATGACTGTCTCCTTTGGGATGTTATGTCTTGCACGGACCAATTGCATCCTGACTATACGACAATGTTGTCACGCCGCCAATTCAATCGCGGGGTATAAGGTATGCAAACGTAGTAAGAGCATTCTTTCGGATTAAGCACAATTTGAACGATGCGATAATCTAGTTGTTTGGTTGGTTCAAAACATATCGATGGAATACATTTATAGTTTGCCTTGTTTGTTTTCAGTAGATAGCGGACGAAGTTTCTAAATTGTTGGAACTGAAAGCACAGTTGGGAGAAAAAAATGTGCCGTCCAAGCTGATTCTTAAAACCCCTAAAGGTACCAGAGATTATGGACCTGAGCAGATGGCTGTACGGTTGGGAGTCCTGGATAAAATTATTACCATCTTTAAGAGGCATGGAGCAGAGACTATAGACACACCTGTCTTTGAGTTGAAGGTACATTATTTGCGAATTTTGAATGCAAAGCGATTCGTTGAAATTAATACATATCCTTTTGGTCTTAGGAAGTTTTAACTGGAAAGTATGGTGAGGATTCAAAACTCATCTACGATCTGAAAGATCAGGGCGGAGAGATTTTGGCTCTCAGGTACGATTTAACCGTTCCTTTTGCCAGGTATCTGGCTATGGGAAAAATCTCCAGCATCAAAAGGTACCATATAGCCAAGGTTTATCGAAGAGACAATCCGGCCACGACGAAGGGTAGATACAGGGAATTTTATCAATGCGTGAGTGAAGCGTAAATAATAATTGGCGCGATGTACATAGTTTCATAATTCTTCAGAAAAAAGCTTGTGGTTTTTAACGTTTATTGATATTATTGAAAGGACTTTGATATTGCTGGTCAATACGATCACATGATTCCTGACGCGGAATGCTTACGTATTATATCGGAAGCACTGCAATTGCTCGACCTGGGACCTTACACGATCAAAGTGAATCATCGATCGTTGCTAGACGGTATATTCGCTGTGTGTGGTGTACCACAGGACAAATTCCGCGGTGTCTGCTCGTCCATAGATAAGCTTGACAAGAGTCCTTGGTCGGAAGTTCGAAAGGAGATTGTGGAAGAGAGAGGATTGAGCGAATCGACCGTCGACAAAATTGGTACGTACGTGTCGCAGTCCGGCGGTGTGGAACTCGTTGCCGAATTAAGAAATGATCCGAAGCTGATGATGCAAGAAGCTGCCGTAAAAAGTCTGGACGCTATGGAACTGTTATTCAAATACTGCAATATTTACCAAGTGGCGGACAAGATGCAGTTCGATCTTAGTCTCGCCAGAGGTCTCGATTACTACACAGGCGTGATATTCGAGGCGATACTGATGGGTGAGTTCGATGCTCGTTGTTTCTACGAGAACGGAGAAAAATCATTTTGTTTTCATTTGTTTGTAGGCGACGGCGTCGAAGTTGGTAGCATCGCGGGTGGTGGCCGTTACGATAATTTGGTTGGAATGTTCGACAGTAAGAACAAAACGGTACCATGCGTCGGTTTGTCGCTGGGTATCGAACGCATTTTCAGCGTGATGGAGGCGAAATTGAATCGAGAGGGTTTAAAAACACGCACCGCCGAAGTCGAAGTTTTTGTGGCGAGCGCGCAAAAGAATTTGCACGAGGAAAGAATGAAAATTGTGTCGGACCTTTGGGACGCTGGACTAAAAGCGGAACACTCCTACAAAAAGAACGTGAAAATACTGGGGCAGTTACAGCACTGCGAGGAGAATGGTATTCCGTTGGCCGTAATAATCGGTGAAGGGGAATTGGCCCGAGGCGAAGTAACGTTGCGGGAAGTTACGTCTCGTGTCGAGGTTCTAATACCCAGAGCAAAGTTGGTCGAGGAACTAAGAAAGAGACTAAAAAGTTTTTGAGTTACCTGAAAATTTAGCGCATTACTGAAATAGTACTTTTCTACCAAACAAAACAGACAGAGACAGAAATCTCTCCCTCCCTCTCTCTCTCCCTTTTCTCAGTGCATTCAGTGGAGTTTCAGCGATTTCTTATTCATCCATTATGTTCATTACTTTGTTTGAACATGCACCAAAAAGGAAGAGAAACTGGTGTTCTTGTATAAATGAAATATTATTACGTAATTTATTGTATCGAATGGTTGAATAAAATATGAATCGTTTCAGGAATGGCATTGCAGCGTCACGATACCGTGACTATCCTCTCGAAACGATACCGTCTTCCAGAGCGGTAGAATAACACACCGGTACCAGGGTTTCACACTTCAATTTACTTGGCTTTCTCTTTTTTCTTCTCTTTCTCGTCGTTTGTAACCACGAGACGGTTGTTGACCTGAGAAATTGAAATCATCCATGCGGACCATGGCCACTTTTTCGCTATTGTCGATCACCGACATCGAGTAGCAGCTTGGAGAACGCGCGTTGCAAACGAACGGAATGAAAATCGAAGAGGTCACGATTTATCATTATCGTATCACGATACATTCGATCGAGAATTAGGCTTCTCTATCTTCAATTCCCTAAGATGAATAGAGTCGTCCGAGCGAGTATTAACTGTTGCATTTACCGAAGAACCCTGCGGAGAAGCGGTTGTCTCAGCGACAGGATTTTCAACTTTCACTTGCATCAGCGGTGGCAGCGTGATCTCGTCGGCGACGTTTTGAAAACTGCCGAACACGGATGATTCCATGGGAATTACATGACCGCGCTCTCTGTCCGCTCTTTCGGGTTGCTGTTGTTGCTGCTGATAAGACGACGATTCATTGGAGATCGTGCTCCGATCGATCAACGGTAGACGAGAGTCAACGATCCGAACGGTTTTGTCGACGGGCCGACTGCTCGCGTAAGGTGCTTGCGTGAAGGACGCGTACCGTTTCTTCGTCGCATCGGTCGAAGGTACCGATTGGTCCGTACGTTCGGTAGAGACGACGTGATGATCGGCAGCCATCTGGTTTGTTCGCGGAGGCGCATGCTTCGAATTTGTAGGCACGGTCTCGAGATTGCTCGTTTCGCGAGCGCGCGACAACGGTCCGGAATCTTCGAGCTTCTCCATGAGGTCGTCAACGTGAACGTCGCTCAGGCTGAAGGCTCTGACGCGACGTCTCAGATTCTTCTGACCGATCTGTCGCTGTAGCATGCCGGCCTTCCACCGAGGTAAAGGTTTCACCATAGGTAGAACGGTCGTCGCGGTTTCCTCCGTCGTAGCGGTGGCCTGATTTTGAGTTGGACGCAAGGAGAAACGTCGAGCTTGATTGGGCGCGGACGGCATGATCGGCGACGAGAGACCCGGAGCGCCTTCCTTTCGTATCAACGGTTCCTTGGGCGAATCGAACAGAAATGTTGACTTGGTCTCGTGCGACAATTGCCGCGGGTCCTGTCAAGAGAAAGAAATCGTTTCGAAGGAGCAAAGACTTACCGGTATGATAGTGATAGAAATAGTTTCTATCACGAGCAAAGACTTACCGGTATGATAGTGATAGAAATAGTTACTATCACGAGCAAAGACTTACCGGTATGATAGTGATAGAAATAGTTTCTATCACGAGCAAAGACTTACTGGTATGATAATGATACAAATAGTTTCTATCACGAGCAAAGACTTACTGGTATGATAGTGATAGAAATAGTTTCTATCACGAGCAAAGACTTACCGGTAGGAAGGGTGACGGGGTCCTCGGCGGCGTCGGAGGACTCGTGGGCGTCACAACCGGCCTCAACGAGAATCGCCTCGGTTTCGGGATCTGTGGCCCACCGAAAGCTAAACTTCCCCTTCTCGTGTCCCGATTACCGGGGGCAGTCTCACCGTTCGTGTTTCGCTCGTATTTACTACTGGAGCCTGTAGATGCGGCCGGAGACGACGAGAACAATGTAAACAGACTGGGAAGCTTCGGCGGCGACAGGGACGCGATTCCCATTTTTCTTTGGGGCCGAGTTTCCTGAACGCGATCATCCCCGCCAGTTTCCGTTGCCGCCCAACTTCCGGTGGTGGCGACGCTCGCCTGCAGGAACGAGAGGGCTCGAACGAAATCGGCCAAGCTGGTTTCCTCGAGCAGATTGCAGCTTTCCGTTTCCGAACGGGCGGTAGCGGCGCCGGTGTACGTGTAGTAATTCCTCTTCGAGGTTGAGCTCGAGATCGCGTTCGTGTCTCGGGCATCGTCGAAACTCTGCAATCCACCTCGAACCGTCGAACCTCCAACGACCGTCTCTTCTGCGTTACTCTTCTGCTCGGAGTCCGGAGGTTTCTTCACCGCGTTGATCGAGAAACGATGTTTCCAAGGACCGGAGGAGATCAGCGCCTTCGGAACGGACTTGGCGAACGAGAAGCTACGAAGTTTCGTGGAAAACTTCTGATCTTTGACGTTGCCCCTGCCGTCACCGTCACCGTCAGCGTTGACGTCGCCATCGGGGTTGCCGTCGCCGTCGCCGCGATCTTTCGCCTCCGCTTTCATCCTCGCTTTCATCAATTCCTGTATCGTTCTGGAAGCCGTTGCGCCGGACCAAGTCCATTCCGCGTGCCGATTCTCGTTCTTCTTAGTCTCGTAGAGCCGAACTTCGCTGGCCGCCCTCGAACGAGGCTTCAGAAGCCGCGGGATTCGATCGTTCGGACCGACCGTCCAGCCACCGAATTTCGACGCGTTCTTCTCCGAAGCCAAGACGTCTTTCGCGTCGCCGTCGTCGAGCCTGCTGGAGAAGAGGCTGCGTGTCGTGGGAGCTTCTTGTTGAACGAACGTGGTCTGGTTCGAGCAATCGCCTCCGAGATCGTCGGTGGCCGGCGGCATGTAGCCGAGAATGTTGACCAATCTTGCCAGCAATTCTGCCGGCTGGACTATCGCGTGGCTGGCAAACGTTGCAGTTTTGTCGATCCTTTGGAGATCCGTCTCGGAGACGACCCGTGCTATCGGGTCCCTCTGTTCAACAAAATCGATATTTTTTATCGATATTATCTAGTCAACAAAATGTATATATTTGGTGTCCCAAAATTATGGTACTTCAGGGAAATTAGAGATTACTGAGATCATTCGAAGCAACTTTTTCCTTTACAAAAATGTTCTCCGAGGCGTCGTTTACGAGTTATTGAGGAAAAACAATGACCAATGAGGGGCGAGCTCGCCTGGCGCTAGGCGGCCGAGCCAATGAGCGGAACTGGGCTTCGCGCGCTGGGCAGCTTCGCGCTCGCCTCTCATTGGTCACTGTTTTTCGTTAATAACTCGTTAACGACGCCTCGGAGAACATTTTTGTAAAGGAAAAAGTTGCTCCGAATGACCTCAGTAATCTCTAATTTCCCTGAAGTACCATAATTTTGGGACGCCCCTTTCTCTTATACACATCTAGATGTGTATAAGAGACAGGGAAAATGTTGCTCCGAATGACCTCAGTAATCTCTAATTTCCCTGAAGTACCATAATTTTGGGACGCCCCTTTCTCTTATACACATCTAGATGTGTATAAGAGACAGGGAAAATGTTGCTCCGAATGACCTCAGTAATCTCTAATTTCCCTGAAGTACCATAATTTTGGGACGCCCCTTTCTCTTATACACATCTAGATGTGTATAAGAGACAGGGAAAATGTTGCTCCGAATGACCTCAGTAATCTCTAATTTCCCTGAAGTACCATAATTTTGGATGGAAATAACAAGGAGGAAATAACAATGTTATTACCCTCGCCGTAATAATGTAATTGCTCTATTACCTTGCCCCCTTAACAAAGCTTTCTTACCGTTGGCACTACTTCGCTGTTCGCGCGGCGTCGCGGTCTCTGGCGAACAATGTTCTCGCCGCCTTTTCCACTGTACAAAATGTCCCGAAGATCGGGGAAGCTGTGGCTTCGCGGGAAGTATGCTCGCGGAATCTCCTGGCTGCATTCGTCGACGTACACCCTCTGAAAGCAAACGGATCAAATTGACTTTCCTCTCGATGAACGCGTCGCAAGATTTCCGATCACAGTCGGCCCGCCTAAAAGCAGCGATCAGCCACTCTTATTGTCGTTAGGTCTACATCTGCGAATCGAAGATTCAGTCTTAGATTTAGATTTAGATAACGACTAAAAATATTGAAGAGCGGCGTTCCTTTACCTTGACCTTGGACAGCTGAAGTTCGTTGAACACGCGTCGCAAATAATCGATCTCTTTGTTGAATTCGTTCCAAATCTTGCTCTGCGTGTGTTTCAGATTAACCGCCAGCTTATGCTCGATCCTTGTGATCTGCTTGCTGCGCATACCTCGAGCGATAAATGTCATGATCATAACGATGTATCCAAGTCCGAACGAAATCCAACAAATCAGAAAGGCTTTGTATAAAACGAAAAAAAAACCTTCACCCTTTCTATTGTCCTGTCCTGCCAAGTGCGAAACAACGAAATAAGTTTTCGAAGGTGTTAGGAAGAAGGCCGGTGTCGCGGAAAGGAAAGAGAAGTAGAGGCGGGAGCGTGATCAAACGAAAGTAATGAAAAGGATACGCGAGAACGAATGATGATGTTCGATGATCGTTGGCGTCGAGGGAATCAGAGTGATTAGAAGACGTCTGCGACGACCGAACGTGATCTGACCTGCCACGTAGTCCCCGAAACCGATGGTCGTCAACGTGACGAAAGCGTAATAGACGGCTTCGTCGTAGCTCCACTTTTCGTAATAAGAGAAAAGGAACGCCGGGAAGAATATGAACATGACAAAACCGGGTGTCAGGTAGACGAGTATCTGGGCGGCCAGTCCAAGTTTTCTCGTTTCGAACGTCGGCTTCCCCGGACAGTAATCGTCGCGGGCATGATTCTTGTACGATTTGTACTTCTGATGGGCTTTCACGAACACGTGCCCGAAGAATTCTCCCAGCTGCGACAGCAAGATTCCGTTTATGGGTATGCCTATCAGACCGTAAAATATCATCAAGATGCGGCTCAGCATGTTCGTCGGGGCCAAATTCCCGTAACCTGTGGCACGCAGAAAAATCAATGCACCAATTAGTTTTCACTTTTTTTTAGGGAGAGATTGATATATTGAATTATATATATATATATAGAAACATATAATATATATATATCAATATATCGGCGTATATCAATTTCTATATATATATATTATATACTCTATATTATATATATATATATATATATATTATTATTATATTATATACTCTATACTATATATATTAAATTGTATATAATATATATATATATATATATAGAAATATATATAGAAATATTATATATATAATATATATATATAGAAATTGAGATATACGATATCGATACACCAGCACGGATAAGAACGGATCGATCTGTATCGTGCCGATCGTACGATCTCGAAGCAACAAACCTAAAACGATCGCGACTTTACTCTCGCTCGCGTCGTTCTAAGGCGACGTCGGTCGTTATCGGCCGTGTATACCCACCTATTGTGCTGACGACGGTGTACGCGAAATAGAAGCTGTTATAAAAATCCCAGCTGTAGTAGTCCGTTTCATTTTCGCCATAACCGCCGACCGACTTTCCGCAGTAGAGTGACAATTTTCCAAAGATATCGTCGCGATCATTGTGGTGAACGGGCATGTAATACTTGTGAAGCAGCTCTGAAAAGGTAAACCGCGGCTTAATAATCTTAATCCTTCCCTTGAATCCTAATCTTAATCTCGATTTTCATTTTAATCGCAACGAACATTTGCTGCGATTTGTTCGTCCCCGTCTTACGCGGCGAGAGTGCACAATCGACGTTCCGGTAATTAAAAAATCCTGTAGATCGATTACCCCGAATCGCATCGCGTCGATTGTCTCGCGGCGATTGCACGCAGCCCGCCTCGTCGGAATGCATTCTCTCCTCGATTCGTCGGATCTCCCGTTCGAGCGAAACAGTGAGATACGGGTGACGCAAAATCGAAAGGACGAACGCGTCGGATGCGTCGCGATCGATTTCTGGTTATTACACCGAGAGAGAAGCGATCAAAGCGAAGCAGAGAATTCCATGGATCTCTTTCCGCGCGCAATCGACGCGTCGCCGGACAGCTTATCGATCTGGATCCGATAAAACGTACTTTGGTCAATATTTTTCGCCGCGATAACGGTCACGAGGACAGGTAGTCGTGTAATCGTGTAATTTTTTCGTGTAATCGTCGCGGCGGAGTCGACGTGTCCAAACAATGGAAAAGAAAAGCGCGGTACACACATGTTGTGTACAATACGTGAATTATATCGTATCTATCCGATACGCTCGTACCATCTGGAAAAGTTAACGCAATTGTCGCGCTATCCGGTGCAACCGGCAAGCGACGAACCTTTGTACACAGAAAACGCAAAATACTTCGAGAATACGTACGCGAACGTGCAACGAACATGCGAACGAACAAGAGGAAAACGGACGTTTGAAAGCGGTGGCACGGTAACAGTTAATTTGCCGGACAAACAGCGCGAAGGAGTGGCAGGACGAGGTGATTTCGCGAACGATACACTACGTATCTCTTGCGGCTTATAGGGAACGACCGGACGAACGATCCTCGTTTTCGATCGGAACGTTTTCGATGGAACGTTTGATCGGGCCGAAACCAAACAACGAGGAGAGATGTCGCGAAGCGAGGCCGCGTTCGCGTTTTTAAACTCTATCGTGTTTACCGTGTCGTAACAGGGAAGAGGATGATAGAGATTTGACGCATGAGCATCTGTGCTCACCGTTGATCTGCTCGCGTTCACGGTTCGCCTTTTTCACGCGCTCCATCTCTAAGGGGCTCTCGATATGGTAAAACATGGAGGCGCCTAGCAGTAAGTAAGTCAAGAACAGCATCAGCAGGACTATCCATTGTTTCTTCGACATACTTCGATTCAAGGTGACCAAAGTGGCGAAGGTGGCGAAGGCTGCTGCGAGGAACGATGCGAGGTCCTATGCGAGCGTGATCGCGTACGCGAACGCGAACTTGAACGCGAACGTGAACGCGGTACACGAACGTCAAGAGTAGCCGCTGCAAAGATTTATTTCCAGAGAACAACGTGGATGTACGTCCAGTTTCATCTGGCGGCTGTTCCCCTCGGATTCGATTCGACTTCGATCCTCCCGGCCGATAAATACCGCGACTCGATGATCCTCGCCGATCTTATCCCGACGGAATAGGCAGCGGCGGCCGGATCGCGATGACAGCGAACAGGTGGACCAGCAGATTCGCGAATCGCTGTCGCCGTTGCGATTCTTACTACCGCGGCACTAAAACCAGATTACGGACGGTCAAGTAGGCTACGACACGACGACGACGACGACACATTATCACATGATAGCTCTTTAGACTCCGATTTCGTGACCTTCGAAAATCTCTCCGCCTTCTCTCCTCCTTTTCTCGCTTTTTTCTCCTCGGACGTGGATACGCCGTTAGACACACGATGCGATTTCAAGCGTCGGCGAAACCGATGATCCTCCCTTGGTTTTCATGCCGCGTGCTCCTTCATCTCCGTGCCGTACCGGGAAAGATCCGCAAGAGTTCTGAAAGAGGAACGTTAATCTCGCTTAGAAACTGTAACGGAACGATAGGGTCGAGATACCGCGCGTCGCGTCATCGTCGATTACATTAATTAACAACGCGTGTACGCGCGTCGCGTTGCTAAAATCAAGTTAATTTACCCGTTTCGCCCGATCGACGCGCGAAGATCCGAAATCGACCGTGAACAATATTACGTTACAAGCGGCGGACTGCGTTCCGTCGGCCGACGATCGTTCCGACCGGTCCCGAAATGTCGCAAGATCTCCGGCGATCTCGGCGATTTCCGTGATTCGCGAGGTCTCCGAGACGAGGGCAGACCTCTCCGAAGGCTTCGGACGAATAAACCGAATCGGACGAAGGCGGACCGAACGGGCAGAGCAACAAAAGCGGACAAAACTACTCCGAAGTCCGAAGACAAAACGCGTATGCAATGTACATACACACATGCTACGTCGTCGCGAATGCGACGGTTTTTTTCCTGTCTAAGAGATGCGCGAACAAACGGTCGGAGAACCGTAACAACGGAGCAATTTTCGGTGCCGGGCAGTTTTTCCGAAACAAAGCGAGTTCTTCCCAAGGAACAATGATACCTTTTGCACGAAGACGGCAGCCGGTTTCCCGCGCGGCTGAATCGGCTATTTGTCTCGGACGCGGAGAGAACGCCGTATCGGATGAATACCGATCGTATCGATGTCCAGAACTAAATAGGCTTGGGGACGTTTTCCGCGTCTCGCGTGACTACAATTTTCGCAGCTACCGAGCGCGCTCGCCGACAAAAATGTTCCCTTCGTCGACGCAGAACGGTTTTACGTAACTCGCGTCGTGTACTTCGCGAAACGCAATATATTCTGCCGGTTGAAAGATCGAAGGACAAGATCGATCGTACGTATGATTTATCGCGCTAAGAAACACACGTTTGTACAAGCTCACGTGCCCGAGCTCCTGTTCGTTGCGCCGTTTACCCTTCGGTGTGCCAGCCTTGTTCGATCATCGCTTCTCCTACATCCTCCTGTCCCCGTATCTTCGCGGAGATAACGGACGCGTGCATTGCAATTCTAAATAACCGACGCGGCAATAAAACACGAAGAATGTCGGACACCATCGGCATGTTAGGTGGTAGCCTTTGATGATCGACCCCTCGCGGTAGACAGAGAGTGCCGCGCGCGCGGATGGACTTTTTCAAACTTAACAAGATCACGCGCGTTCGCTGCGAACGTCCTATTAAAATCGCCGCTGCGAAAGCACAATGTCATGAAATTAACGAGTCTCGGTGTCTCCCTCCCCCATGGACATCGAGTCGCAAGTACAATGTACTTTTATCGGAGGATTTCGTTCTTTCGCGTTCTCTCGCGCGATTTCTTCCGCGTCGGAGACCGCCAGGGACAGAGATACGACACGCGAAGATCGGCGCGTCTTCAATGGATTCGTTCTTGACCAAAGCCGCTTAATTTCTTCTTGATCTCATAGATCCGCGCGGCGCGGACACCGCCGAGATTACGCGTACGCGAATAAAGGAAGAGCTTATCTTCTTTACACAGGCAAACAATCTTGGAACAGATACCGAATAAACGTGGATTAACCAATCGTTGTACCAACAAAAGCAAAGTGCTTTCGATAATGGGCTATCAGAAGTAAAACAATGACTTACGTTCGATAATGTTTCGATCGTGGTGGCAAAAGTATCGAAAGCCGATTCTTTCCGTGCGGCGAACGCGAGAGAAAAGAACAGGTACATACCTAAACGCGAACGGTTCCCGAGGTGTTCCCGAACAGCTCGCAAAGAATTAGCAAGCGTTGAATCGCAATACGGAAATTTCAAGAAAAACACTACGTCCACGAGTACGCGTTAACATCGGTCACTGCTGCGTCGAACGCCGTTTTTTCCTCTCATTCTCTCAGTTTATTATTTCGATTAACCGTTCGTTCGCGAACGACCTCGCCGAGCTGTTCGAGTAACAAAGGTTCGTCGAAAGCATCCCCGATTTCTCTTAACATCGACAGGTTCCCCGCAGCTCTGCCAAATGTTCACGATGACATTGTTCCCGATGGTACCACCGAGTCGCGTCTCGTCGACCTGGTCACGCGCGGCTCAAGGCCCTCGAAGGCCCTCAAGACCCGAAAAATGAAAACACCGACACCGAGAAGTAACGAAAGTAGCGCATGTATGATGAAACGACGAAACAGGTTGAAACGTGCATGAACCAATGTACATGACGACTGTCGACTGAATTGGGTCGTCCGCGAGCGAATGCGATGGATGAATTAAACGTTAAACTCGTCTACGCCCGTCTGCTGTTGGAATCTGAGCAACGCATACATACATACATACGTATATGACATACGAACGAATATTCTAAACGCGTGTGGCAGCCGTTGCAAGTCGGTGCTGCGAACTCGACGATGCGTTTTGTTCCCGGTACCGTTGACGGATTTGTCGCGGAAACGATTTCTCGCGGCGGCGTCGTAATGGAAAACGCGACGGACTCGAGTCTCACCTTAAATTCGTATATTATAAATTATAAGGCCTAGTGAAGCGAAATTAAACATTTTCAAGTTAAATAGGAGAAAGAGCGTCGATTCGAAATCAACGTTCGGTCGCCGCCCCGATAACGACGAAACGTACACCGTATCGGCGATATTGTCGTCGATCGGCTAATAACCGCAGAGTCTTACCATTAATCCTACTGATACAAATTCGTTGCGAGAACGACGACGACGATCACTATGCGGTGTACTTTTGTAAGCTGCTGTAGCAACGCAACGTCGAGATTTCTTTTTCCGAATAAAACGACACGCGTGACTTTTATCCGTGGCAGGGAGGCTCGTCCCAACAGTGGTCTAGCGGCAATCGCAAGAGCGAACAACTTTTTGGCTGGTGGGAGGATAGTCAGGAACAAGGATCGCTTGCTCGCGGAACATGATTTAATATTACAGATAGACGCTTTCGAAAGGAACTCCGGTTCGCCGGGCGATATTTCGCAAGCGTACCGAAAACGAGAGGCATGTACCGAATATAATTGTCTTAACCCATCGTTTGTCGCGGCAGAAAAGTCACGTTCAAGTGGTATATTTCCTCTCGGGTGTGTAGGAAATACCAGCAAGACTAGGTAAACTAATGGACAACGGAAGAACACGGGACAAGATCACCGATCACCGTCGAATCGCGCACCAGACATTAATATTCGATGAGAGCGGTCAGACATGACTGATACGGATCTTCGAGAAAATCCAGAACCGGTAACGAGACGTGTTAATAAAAATGTTTGATTAGTAAATCGATGCTAACAACGATTAGTGGTTCTTTCTGTCGCGGTCCTGATCTGCACGCTTGGATCATGTCCGAACGAATTGCCCGTTACATTATCAAAACTGGCCGGCAATTGTTTCTTTGTCCTTTCCTCTAGTCGTATTTCATCTATGATCCTCGATCTACGCTCTTATTTGTAACTAAGATATGTATCTACCTCGCTCGCGTTGATCGCTGACGAATTAGCATCGCAGAATTTTCAAATTGTCGTAATACGAAATGTTCGTGTTCTAAACGATTATTGAATCATTTGCGCTGCAAAGAATTTTTCCCGATAACGTAACATGTCTACAGCGACAAGATTCGAATGAAAAAAGGAAACACGGAATGAGAATCGAGGGAATACAGATTCGCGTGTTAATAAAACGATAATGATTTTCGGAGAATTATTACCGAAATAATGTCAAACATTGCAGTTCTTGTTAATCAAAGGTACCGAAGTAGTTTATTCTTATACAGTGAAAATAAGTTTACTGGAACAATCGAAGGCAACGAAATCGCAATCCATTATATTTTAAAAGAGGAAAATATCGAATATCTGTGAGACGTGATAAACGTGGTTCGCGCAATCACGCACGCGTAAGCTCGAAAAACACAAAGCTCTAATGCCATCCAAGCTCTATGTCTTCGATCTTTATGTTCAGTTCTTCGAACGAGGTGTCGATCCCAGGCTCGTCGAATCCACCGTTCAACTCGATCTTCTGTGAACACGACGAACGCCCGAAACAGCTGGTGTTATTTTGTTAGTCGGGTATGATTCGATAGAGAAAAGTATCGTATCACCGTGTACCGTAGAAGAGAAGAAAGGACAAGGGATTGATTGATGACCAACCTGTAACGCTGCGATTTGGGAAGGATCCCCGACCAATAATATCTGCGTTTCGTTGTCATGCAAGTCGTCAAGCCCTTTGGAATGAATTTGAATTTGTTTCTCTTTCCCTGCAACCTTCCATAATACAAACAGAAAAATTGATTCAGGCTTTCGGAAGAAGATTCCTTGGACGTGTTCGTGCTGGAATATATTCTCTGCGTTACCTTTAACGAAGAACTATCTATTTTTTCTCGCGGGACGTTCGTCTTCCGCCTGTCTTTGGCCCGACTAGAAGGCTCTGGTATACTTGATTCTTGGAAAAACACGTCCACGTTGTCGTCGTTATCGACCAACGCATGTGCTGTTCTTTTATGCATTATAAGAGTGCTACTCTGTCTGTATCTTCTGAAACAAACTTTACATTCGAACGGTCTCTGCTGAGTGTGAACCTATAAATTAAAAAAATACGTTATTCGGAACCAAGCAGTAGAATCGTTCCAGTTCTGATTACTGTTGATGCGAACGAGGTTTTCTAGACTTACCAGGTGGTGCTTGTAAAGACTAGAATATTCGGTGAATCTTCTTCCACAATTTTCGATCGAACAAACATAGGGTTTCTCGCCGGAATGAATACGAATGTGATTTTTATAGTTGGTCGCGCTAGCGAAAGCTTTCCCGCATTTCGGTTGCGTACATTTGTACGGGCGTTCACCTGTGTGCGTTCTCACGTGAACCTGTTTTAATCGACAGACGGTATCGAGTACTAAGTACTGGGTATCAAGTATTGATAAATATTGGCCGCGGATTCGATCTGATTATTTACCTTCCTAATATTGCTCGTCGTGAAGGACCGACCACAACCGTCGAAAGGACATAAAAAGGGCCTCTCTCCCGTGTGCGTTCGAACATGCTTCAACAAGTCTCCCGAAGTTTTAAAACTTTTATCGCAGGTTTCGTTCGGACATTTGTAAGGCTTCTCTCCTGTGTGTGTACGCGAATGCGCTTTCAAACTGTAACCCGTCGAGAAGCTCTTCTTGCATTTTGGATACGTGCACCGGTATGGTCGTTGGCCAGTGTGCGATCGTTCGTGCACCTGTTTTAATCAAACCGTTTCTTATTAAATTTGATGAAACTGGTATAGCCGAAAGAATATCTCACCTTAAGATGGTGAGGAGTACTGTAGACTTTCGAGCAACCTTCCCTTGGACAAGGATGCCTGATTCTCGACACAGATAATTTATTTAATAAGATCTTGGAGTCCTTTTTTGTAAGTTTACCGCTGTCAACTTCCCATAGATCTTTACCAACGTCCAGATGGCCTGTCACCACATATGCTGCTCCGTCTATGAACTCCACTCTTGGATAGGTATTCTCTTCATTCTCTACGGTAGCGTTACGTGCTTGCACCAACATTGCCGGATCTAATTCCAACTGAAGCGACTTACCATCTGTAAATTCTGTTACATCCCGTAGTAATATGGTATCTCCATTATCTAATTCTAAAGTCGTTTGATTCTTTGAGTCCACTGTTGAGAGCAAATAAAGGAAAAAAAGGTTATCTCCATGACTATTTTGTACAAGTATGAATGGATTGCGTTTCTAACCATCGTTGTTGGAATTATTTGCCATGAATGCTTGCGTTCCATCCGGTAATGTCACAGCTGTCAGCGTAGTACCGCTCAACAACTGTTCGTCCAATATTAATTCCTGCATTCGGCCATTCCCATTGTTATCCTCGTTAATTAAAACCGACAGGCACTCCAAAATATCTGCACGATTGCCCTGCGAAACGAGAAATAACCAAGATATTGAGATTGTTTTCTGAAATAAGTTAAAAAGGTTTTGTTACCTGTGTCTCGTCCAACATGGTCTCGACATCTCGAGTCACGAGGCAATTTGTAAGTTCCGTGCCTTGTGTCGACATGTTTCGCTACGAATCCAGAGCTGCGAACAAACAATGTTTCGCGATGATCTCCGATGATCCGCGTCATTATTTTGAGTCTTAGTTTCGTGTCCACAGGTAAACATCTGTCTTAAAATAGGATTCATCAACAGTTTGTCTGCGACATATCAAAGATTCGCGCTTCGTTACACCAGAGTTTCTGTTACCGATGAAATCATTTCTAGCTATTTACATTCTATATTTTTCGCTGAGAATATTCGAAGAAGGGAAATGGACAGATGGCGATTAGAAAGATTCCGAGACTCGTTGGAGACTCGAGGCTGTTCGCAACGATCGTAACACGAAACGAGATACAACACATACACCAAAGCAACGCTCGCAACCACCGAAATCGTGTACCATTAAACACAACATTAAGAAACCTGTTGTCTTACAGGTACGTCGGGAAATTTACTGGAGACATCGATCGCAGTCGCGGCTACGACACACGACATTAACAAGCCGGAGAAACGAGTTGAATAACGAAGCGCGCGAAATCACGGCTGCTAAAGAAACGACACTCGCCATTTTTCTTGCCCTTGAGATCATAAAAACGCAACGGTTGCGAAGTTACACGATTTACGGCGATCAACATCGAATCAGAAGAATGTCATGTAAAATTCGAATGTCTTTTGTTTCTATTTCCGTTTTCCCATCTTCCTCCTACTCGCACGAGTCGCACGTCGAATTCGATTCTCGGGTGTTTCGCGCAGCCTCGCGGCTTTGTGCCAAAGAATCTTGGGAAATATTACCCATAAACACGCATACCCGCGAAATATATCTACACCGAATAATATAACAACAATGCTTGCTAAATCGCGCTAACATAGAAAAATTGAATCACTTTTACACACCATTAGGTAATCAATTACGATGAGCATGAACTTTTTCATTGAAGCTACATTGTGAAGTGAAATAGACTATGATCGATACCCTATACCCTTCTCTCGTTTAAGATCGCTGCACGGTATCGTAAGACGCATACGTTCATACGGTTTTAATGCGACCACGTAAGTCGATCTCTTTTTATTCGAGAAACTGTACATTCGAACAATCTCGAATTATTCTAACGTTTTCAAAAGCCTTTTCCTTTTTATGAACAAATCTGAAACAGAGAGAATGGCTAATATCGCTGCTACTAACGAGTCGTGCATCTCTTAATTCTAATTTTCTATTGGTTGATTCTGGTGACGCCAAATAGTTGTCCAATGTAACCGTCTACATGTGTATTGTACATATAGTTAGATTAATATGCATATGCAAAGAAATCTTCATCGAAACTACATACAGTTGTACATTATATTTTAATGGATAATTAACACGTGCAGCTTTGCAATCGTTCTCATTTTGACAATTATATTCAACATGTATAAGACAAGAAAACAATCTAGAAGAAAAGTAACTATGTATATATGGCGTGTATACATACGTATATATCGTACATGTAATTGCAAGTGTGTACGAAAGCATTTGACATACACACACCCTTACGCATGTAAATATGTGTCGGTGGTCAAAATGGTTGTTCACCCTACTCTACCGTTCTAGCTTCATGAGAACTGATTGGTGGAATGGGTTGATCAAGTACAATTTTGATCATCGGGTGTGTATAGGTGTAACCATTTAAAGTGTGTCGAGATATACGATATACACATGTACATACGTACGATGTATGACATGCACGTACATGTCGCACATCGTGTTGTATTAGCGCGTATCGTTGGATGCGAGAGAAGGCCAAAGTCGATTGACGTTAGAGATAGTGTATAATTTCATTTTTATTTTCCCTTTAACGTGTCACCGATAGTGTCGCACTACTCGTTGAAAGAATTATAGAATTTTGTAATCCGAAGTGGAGGTCGTAAATGAATTTCAATAAGACATTGCAGATAAAAAATGCGATTACTGTGTGACTTTTGGGGGAAACCTTTTTTCATTGATTCAGTTATTGTTATGAAACATTTCGGACAGTTAGCTACCGTTACAAAATTAACATTTACCTAATGAAAAGTAAATGAAACGACGCGTTTGATTGTATGTTTATAAAAATAAAACGTTATAAACATATATCTCTCTCTGGCACTCATTTATCCACCGAATAAACATTGATATTTATTTAACTTGTTTACCCTTTGAAAACAAGGGATAGTAATTGATGAACTGGACGCGTGATGAATTTGAAGGATGCGACGGTGTATATATGAAAAATGGATGATCGATAACAGGTATTTTTTATTTTGTTACTTTTATTGATCACAATGCAATGCGATATATTTAATATAATCATATTGGATGGTACATGAATTCTAAATATATTGAATTCAATTATAGAAGTTTCATTTGGACCGTTGGGTACATCATCATAATTTATGGATAAGATCTGACAGGTGCAACGCTTAACTATGTTTGGCTCAAAAACACAAACATCTAATAGCACCTTTTATACGGAACTGGACACGAACACAGAGGATGAAGAATCTTGTTTGAATGGAACAACAAAATGTTTAGGTGCAGAACAAGTGGATACCAAGGTGTCCACTTGTTCAAACACCAGAGTAGATGGTAGGAAACTGGAAGAGTACGAAAAAGATTTATTTCACGAAATGAAAGTCTTTAGTGGTTATTCACGATTTCGTTCATACGTGATGACCACTGAAAACTCAGTGGACTGTGTTGATATCAAGGAAAGTGAGGAGAATTCTATAAAAGTGCCGTTTCGAATAGCACACAGCGTATTGGAGTATAGAAACAGCAGGTAAGTTATGTAATTTATGGTGTACGTTACAGGAACAATGGAAGTATGCTACCTGAAACATTTGCAGATATTTAACGGTGGAACGAAATTCGCGGCAGTTCACGGAAACATCATATACGGTAAGCGAATCGGAGAGCGAAGAAGAATCAGAGGGTACTAAATCGTTGGAAGCGGACTCCAGTATTGCCAGCGATTACACAGACAATGCGGCATTAGAAACACAATCAGGTGGTAGTAACCACTGTGCGAATTCAAAAAAGAAGAGAGCGCGTCAGATCGCCGAAGAACTATTAGCTACCGAAAAGAATTATGTTACTGTTTTAAGACTAATCGACCAAGTGTTTCAGTTTAGGGTCGATCAAGAGAACAGAGCGCATCCAATGTTTCCTATGGAAACAGTTCAACAGATGTTCTCGAATATTAAATCAATTTATAAATTCCACAATGATTTCCTGTTACCCCAGCTTCAGGAAAGAATACAGAACTGGGATTTGGATCCCAGAATCGGAGATATCATGAAGAATTTTGCTCCGTTCCTAAAGATGTACACGGAATACGTACAAAATTTCGATTATGCCATGAACTTGATAAACACTCTGCAACTTAAAGTTGCTAGATTTGCTGCAATTATCAACGAGATTCAAAAGTTGGACGAGTGTGCCAAGTTATCCTTATCGCACCACATGTTGAGTCCTATACAAAGATTACCACGATACGAGCTTCTCCTGAAAGATTATCTGAGAAACCTTACACAAGAAAATGCTGATTACGAGGACGCTAAAAGTAAGGATCTTTCGAGTTCCATTCGCTGAGTTGCTTCCTCGTAGAGTAACGCGCATCTAGCAAGGAAAGGCTTCTATTTAAACGTCTGTTGAACGGGACACGTTTAAATAGACGTCGGTAGTCGGCAACAATTGTAATCGTAGAATCAAACGAACAGACATGGCTTTCTTTCTCGCAGAGGCATTGGGATTAGTATCTACCGCTGCTAATCACACGAACGATGCAATGAAGAAGATCGATACGTTCAAAAAGCTTCTAGAAATACAAGAGAGCATATACGATACGACAGATCTAGTTAGCGTGACACGGGAACTTGTTAAAGAGGGTCGCATCGTTAAAATATCAGCAAGGAGCGGGGATCACCAAGAGAGACAGTTGTTTTTGGTAGGTGGGTCTTGATAGGGCGTACTTAGTTTTAATGCATATGTAGTACTTCTATTATGTGTACAAAATTACAATGCAACGTTTCTATGAGTACTATGAACGCCATGAACTTATCAGGCTTTCATAGTCGATTTATCTTTTTATTCCTTCCGATTTTCAGTTTAGTGACATATTATTACTTTGTTCGATACGACTCATCCCAGGACCATTGTATCGATTAAGAGCCAAATTCATGGTCGAAAACCTAATATGTAGCGAAGGTTACAATTTGGAAACGGCGAATACATTTTATATAAGAGACGAAGAGAAGAACGTAGAACTGTATACGCACACAGCCGAGGAAAAGGTTGCGTGGCTTGAGGCGCTTTTCGATACAATGCAAAATATGCTGACAAGAAAGGCGAGTTTGAAAACTGGAAATGTCAAGTCGCTCGTTATAAAAACCGAAGATGTGACCAAGTGCATGATATGCGATGTAATTTTTTCTGTAATGAAAAGAAAACACAATTGCAGAGCATGCGGAATAGTGAGTATGCTTTGACGACAACGTCTTATCGAGGAAATCCATTATTCTTGAATGATCTCATTTGCTCGCGTTACAGGTAGTTTGTGGCAAATGTTCGAAACAAAAATTATTGTTCGAAGATAACAAAAATATGAGAGTTTGTCGATTGTGTCACGCCGCGTTGACACAGCCTCTCTCGAAGTCACCCTCTTCGTCGTCACCGTCCGGACCAGTACCTAGTTTATTACAAGTATCGGCCAGTGCATCGTCGGTTATATCCGGATACCTACTGATAAAGACTCAACCGAGTAAGCCCTGGATTCGACGATGGTTCGCTTTACACATGGATTTTGTTCTATACACCTTTAAATCTGAAAGCGAAAATATGGCTTTAACGGCGACTCCGATGCCCGGTTTTCTCGTTACGGAAGCTACCGAATTATCCGACGAGGATCCCTTGAGTCTTAAGGATAGACCCAAAGCACTCAAGATGCATCATTCCAGAAAAAGTTACTATTTGCAAGCGTCGTCAGAGGAAGACAAGTACAAGTGAGCTGATTGTGTTTTGTATCTCTCCTTCCATTTTTCTTTCTTTATGTCTTGCGAAACAACATTCTTACCGAAACTGCCCAATTTTTAGATGGTTACATGCTCTACGATTGGCTACCAAAGCAGAACTACCCTCGTTTGCTATGGTAGAGACAGAGGACGCGCAAAAGAATCAACTTATCGTGCATACGCGATGAATTATTTAAATGGATGTACACACGGATCATGAGTCAAATTTTCTGTTATCGTATGCGTATTAAATTACAGCGCGGCAAGATAATCGTTGGTAGATAATTATTATGCAAAAATAATATTGCGTTGAATGTATAATATATCATTGTACACGTATGCGAATTGTTATTAGTGTATTCTGGTCAACTCCGTAATGGTTACACTGCCAAAATGCTTGTTGTATTTTGTACCATTTTGTTATATTTAAAAATATATAATAGATATATAGATATACATGTATGTACATAAACATAGATAGATATAGATACGTATAAGCATAGAAATCTTATGCTGTGACATGTCAATGTCATGTTGGTAGTACATATATCCCTAGTTTCCATCATTGCTTTATAAGATTAGATGTTCATGAACGTCTAAATGCTTCATTAGTTCGTCCCTCATTAGCCATTCGATTGATCTACAGTTGAGTTTAATAATCAGTAAAATCAGTCAGTGTAAAATGCTACACATCAAATCACAGAGGCTCAAATTTGAATTTTTGTATCTAAAGCAAAATGGTGGAGTTATCTATGGTGACGGGTTTGTGAACTAATTTCCCCTAATCATATACTGTAATGAGACCAACTCCTGCACACTTTTCATATTCCTTAAGCTAGCGCGCACATCCTCACCATTTTACTGCGCTTCCAATCTGCAGTGGATCCAGTCTTAGCAGTGAATTATCAGCCAATCAAAGCAAGGAAAATTTCTACGATCACCCTCGCTAACGGATCAAGCTGCGGCCTCGATGTGTGCAGGAGGTAGGTCCCTGTATTATGACAGATCGTTACTGCACATTTCATAGTCCTAGCATTTGCCTTGAATAAAAAGAGTTTCCGCAGGTATGGTTAATCCTTTTATTGCTGATCTAGATACTTTCTTCCCCGGAACCATTATTATTAACGATACCTGCGGAAACTCTTTTTGTTCGAGTCCTGGCACAGTGCTAGGCCCTTACGACCTCGGGCCCGCCAGGTCGTGCAGTTTACAACTTCAAATCTCGCCTGGACGTAAAAGTGTGGTGCAAGGGTCAAACTTCAGAATTACAGGATGCGAAATTCGACTTTACGCCTTTTCCGATCGAACCATAGAAGCAACAATAATTTCCTGTGTTCTCCTGTGATCTCCTGCGTCGAGTACAAAAGTACAAGTCGAATCTCGCGCCGCGTGTTTTAAATGAAGCGTCAGGGATACGGTTGCGCGAGAAAAGTGAGGCCGCAAGCACGGTAAAGTGAGACAAGCTACATTGGTCGTCGGTGTGACTTGTTTCGCTTGTGGTTGTGCTGATGTCGTGCTCTCTTGCTCACTCGCCGCTTCCTCTCTTTGTCCAGAACTATGGGGGCAGCACTGTTTAGCTGTGAAGCGTCAACCAATCAGAGAAGAAGCAGTTTCTCTACCTGCTTCATAATTCTAAGCCGGTTGCCCCCACCTTGGTTTACTATAGTGAGACACTACTGAATGTCTATACATTCAGTAGTGCTTCACCATAGGAAGGGAATGTGTAGAAGCTCGTGTAGTCTATAGAAGATTCAGATTCAGGTGGAGTGTGGAAGAGTGGAAAGAAGAAGATGGAGATAGAAAAGAGAGACAGGGAAAGATACTTACGAACAAATGGCAAATAGGGAAATGTACAAACTACATATACATAACCTTTGTTTCCGGAACTCTATTTGCCCTGAGTTTCGTCTCTTTGACGCGTTTTCTAAAATATTTTCACAAACCTTTTACGGATAATGGCCGTAAAGGCTTTGTGTTCGTATAAAAAAAGATAATGCTTGATTTATAGGCAGTTTTGCTGAATTAGTTTCAACTTATCCAAAAAGTCGATGTTCTTGGACGATTTAATACGATGCTTTCTGTTCGAGGAAACACTATTTGAAAGACCGAAGTAAGATGAAATAATTATGTTGCCTTCAACTGGTTATTTTAAAGCTATTAATTGTCCGTTTTACGAAAACGGATCTTGCGACAGACCCTACTGTCACTTCAAGCATTCGAAACGAGGTAAGTCCTTTTGTTATTGGATTTTCACATTGCTATGAAAACAGACCGTGTTTTATAGAAGGGTAAACACAAAGATGACTTGAAGTTCTACATTAGAGACTTGTCTGGTTATACATGTATTATTAGAATGTACAAGTACATGAAAAATAATTTACCAAGTATACATTTTAGAAGATGCTGTGATCGTAACAGAGACAGCAGAAACGTTGGAAAGTCACACAAACCAAATTCAAGAACCAAAAGCTACAACAGTACAATCAGATTCTGTCTTGCAGCAACTGGTCACTGAAGCTGTCAAGAAAGTTCTTGCTAATCAAGATGTCACAACTACGGATCAATTTTCTTGTCAAAATGTTGTTTCACGGGTAGTCGAAGGGTTAAAGCCCACCTTGACATCTGGAAATGTTGGTAAATTGGAAATTGTTGCAGCGAATGTGGCAGAGAAAGGGGCAGATGTACCGCCACCGATCAATAAGCCAGTTCCATGCGTTTATAATCCTACACCGATTGCGGAACTCAAAAAGCGTCACATACCGATAATATCGTACATGCCAACTAGGGAAAGTAGAGTAGCCGTGAAACGTAAATGTTCCCCTGAAGGAGTGAAATCCTGGCTGAGCAATGAATTGACAGATACGCAAACTGTTGAAGCTAAGTACAAGCCAACTACGATAGTTAATGTCAATGCTCGAGACAATTCACAAAGTTATGTGCCTACATGTAAGGTTGACCCAGTATTGTCAAGTTCATTGGACGATGGAAATTCTAGCGACTATGCGTTCAAACTCGGGGATGCGTACTATCCAAGGAGCAAAAAGAGACGCGAAGAGTATGTTCCAAAGAAGATCAAAGCACCGTTGACAAGTATCGAAGGCTTGAAAGACTCGGTAACATACAATTTCACACCAGGATTCGATAAAACAAATCAACCAGCGACAAACGCGTCACGCTCTCCCACTGATTTCGATTCGAACGCACAATCTCATAGATTTTATTCGGATTTGGAACCAAAATTCTCTGATGACGATGACGACGGCGAGAACGAAGAAGAAGAGCATGTCAATGAGGAGAATGAAAATGACATTGAATCGAATCTGAGTAAAGTTAATGGCGAAGACGTAGACAACGGACAAGATATAATTGAATTGTACGATGATAGTGCAAGTGGTTATTCGAACCACGAGCAACACACAATACATACACCTACTGCGAAAGTAAGCGTTACCGTTGAGTGCGTTAACAAGGAAAATCGCGATGAGAAAGATTCCAAAGATAAGAAGGTTTCAACTACCCGAGCTAGCGCTTTGGCTAAGGAGATTTTGAAAACTTCGCAGTGCGAGAAGAGGACAAGCTTGGAAACGGATGCGAGTAAAACAGTTGACAAGAATCTAAAGGAACACAAGTACAGGCGAGAGGACAAGGCTAAACATGAGAAAAATCACAACTCTCGTAAACGGTCCAAGGAGAAGAGACGCGTTTCAACTGAGAAATCGCATTCCACGTCTCGCGGTTCAAGCAAGGACGAAGCTAGAGATTCGAAGAGCAAGAATCGCGATAAGGATAGACACAGAGAGAAAAGCCAAGAGAAACATCGATACAAAGAGAGAACAGATCGAAACAAAGAGAGAAATGAAAGCAAACACAGAAGCAAAAGCAGCAGAAGAAATTCTCGCGATTCAGAAAAACATCGTGGCGACCGCGATTCTTCTGGATCTTCAAAGAAGGAGGAACGCGTCAAGAAAAGACGTGATGGGAGTAAACGTTCAAACTTAAGTGATAAATCCGAAGACGATAAGAAGACGTTGGAAGAATTCTCTGCTGCCAGTACGGAAAACAACGAAGGATTGATCGAAAGGCTCGGAAGCCGTTTCGATAGTACTCGATCGAAGCTAGATGAAGAAAATGATGATCGTCTTGATGATATTGTTAGTATCGATATAGATGACGTTATTTTAAGTGGATCCGACTCAGATCACGACGTGCAAGAGGAGTGCTTAAAGATATTCCAAGTATGTGTGATTAATTAATTGAGCGTACGTGCAGAAGCTTTCTGCATGTCTCTCTCATTCTGTATTAGTTTTGATTTTCGATGTTTCATGTTTTTTTAATGTCGGTTATGTATTCGCGTTACGATTATCCGATGGTGTTACAATAGTTTACGTTTAGTAGAATGTTTCATTTGTTTTAAGGAATATCAAGTTTCTGAACGATCAAAGAGTACAGTGTCGCCGAAAGAATCGCCGGCGAAACAGGAAGAAGAGCGAAACGAAGATTTGGGTAGGAAAAGGGTAGCACACCCTTCAGCAGCCACTTGTGTTACCAGATCGGCACCGGATAATCAACGTCCCAAAAAAGTGACGAATCCACAGCTAAAAATGTACGAAAGATGGCGATCTGTGAGAGACACTGTGGCGGAAAAGGCAGCTTCAGTGAGTAACAACATGCCCCTTGCCAAGGATGCGCAGCGACGGAACAACGTTGAAGCGGCAGGTGCAGTATTCAAGAGGTCTTCTAGATGCTATGGGACACCTTGCATACATTTACGATATATAATATACAATATGTACATATATGTATTAAGAAACCGTATATTTCTATTAATATCAAGGGACAAGTAATTTATCTCGTGAATACGTTATCAAATACTAGCGTAATTTTGAAGATGGATTATTTAAAAAATAAGTTTAAACAGTTATTATCAAATAATAATGATCCAAAATTTCGAAATTGAAAATGAGATTGACAAAAAATCTTGTTGACAGCTCGCATCAGAATCGCCCACGTGCCGTATGCAAAATCTCTAGCGATAGAGAAGAAGAAGATGACGGAAAATGTAGGAAAATCGACAAATACGAAGACAACGGACGGTTCGAAGACGGCCGCGCAAACTGCAAAGAGTGGAGTACGCGTTGCGCATGTTCCACAAGCGGTAAGGGATCAATTTAAATTTTAGATGTATTAATCGTATGAAGGAGACGTCAAGTGTGTTGCATCGCAAACGTCGCCAAGGAGAAGCATGGCAGTAAAATGAAATGAAGCGATAGAGAAACTACGACTGAAACGCATTGGCGAAGCTGCTAACCAGATTAGATTGAATCATATTAAAGTTCAAGCTCGATTTGTTTTCTTTGAATTATTCTGAGAATAATTCTTGGAAATTGTAATACTGGTTACGAGAAACGAAAGTCCAAAGGGAACCATATACCGGTTTCAGTTCCGACCTCCGAACATTTCTGGAAGAAATTACTGTACTTCGTAACTTACGATCTCCACATAATAAGGAATGCGATACACTATGACTATAGGATATAAGTTTGTCTTTTTCTACAGTATTGCACAAATAAGCGTCCGCGGACGGATACTGAAAGCGGACGCTTAAATGTGGTGTCGTATTCTAGGAATGCGGCTAAACGAAGGAGTAGGGAAGTGTGCGAGTGGGGTACCGGTATTCGATGTTTCACTCGGTGATAAAGCTGACAGAAAGCTCGAATATTCGAGCCGAGTTTGAGTCAAGGCAAGTCGCTTCTCGAGCTGAGTCGAGTCGAGTATTCGCACGAGTCGATCCATTCGCGCGGAGCAAGTAGTCGACTCGGCTCGCATAAACGAGCCGAGCCAGGTCGCTCGAATCCCACTCTGAAGTTCCACTTCCTAGAATTGGTGGGGATACGATGGCGAACATTTAAACGAGCGAAAAAGCGGATGCTTAAGTGTACACTACTGTATTTTACAGGTTCCTCAGTTGATACGACCTGAACCGTTAGAAGTGACCACGCAGAAGTTCCCGTTGAACGTCCGCCAATATTACGTGAACTCGATGCACAACGTGTGCGTGCAGATTTACACGAATGCCGAGGATGCCGCGCAACGAGCGGTCAAAGAAGAATTCGCTTGTCACGAAAGATGCAAAGCGTTGGCCGTCTACAAAAATTCATGTATGCTCGCCACTCACAGATTACGAAAAGAAGTCGATCAAAGTTTACCGATGGAAAGCGTTGTGGGCGCCACAACACCAGGCAGCAGCATGGTGTCGCACGAAGCGGTGCTAGCCGGTAAAGCGAAGGGCTCTTGGAGCGTTCTTAAAACGAAACGATCCGTTACTAAATTCACTGGTACCGCTCTCTATACTATGCTGAAGAAATGGATACTAAGCGAACAACAGCTGCGTGATAATGGTTTCCCCCGACCGCATCCGGACGGTCAGAAGGTAAATTTTTCTCGTCGCCAAAACCGAGGACATAAGCTGGGAGACACTAGGTTTGACGATTCGGTTCGGTTACAGGGACGCGCTAAAGTCTACGTAACGAATTCACGGAATCAGAATGCCCTGTCGAAAGTGCCTAACGAAAGAATTTGCAGTAGATGCGGCTGTGCGTACGCGATAGACAAACAAGGATTCCAATTGCGACCGCAGAATTGTATATACCATTGGGGTAAAAAGTTTACGGTCAGGGGTGAGGGTAAGTATAGTTGTTGTCAGCAATATGGTTCTGCAACCGGTTGTTGCGACGCAAAGACGCACGTATGGGATTACGTCGATTATGAGAATCTCCGTGGATATGTGAAAACTCTGCCCAAAGGTATATATGTATACACATCATCTACACGGTGTATACACAGTGTATACACGGTGTGTGCATATGTGTCTGCAACCATTGTTCTCCGTCGTATTGTATACGCTATCTTTTTTTTCAGACATCTCCGTCGAAGAGCAAGGAGTTTATTCGCTCGATTGTGAGATGAGTTACACGACCCAAGGTTTAGAACTAACCAGAGTAACGGTCATAGACGAAGATTGCAATGTGGTGTACGAGGCGCTGGTCAAACCTCAGAATCCGATAATCGATTACAATACGAGGTAAGGAATTACGAAACATTTTCCTTGATAAACGAACAAGATCGGTGAAACGTAATCGGTTTTGCAGGTTCTCTGGAATTACGGAAGAAAACATGAAGAACGTGACGACGAGTTTGCTGGACGTTCAAGCAACGTTGCTTACCATGTTTTCAGAGAAGACGATATTGGTGGGTCATAGTCTCGAGAGCGATTTCAAAGCTTTACGACTGTTGCACGACACGGTGGTCGACACAAGCGTAATGTTTCCGCACAAAAACGGATACCCACAAAAGAGGGCCCTCAAGAATCTTTGCTCCGAGTATCTCAGGAAAATTATTCAAAACGAAGGTAGGCAATCCTAACTGCCGTTCGGCAACGAAACACATAAAAAGATCGTTTCAACGCGTTCACGTTTTCACGGTATTTACAGTCTGTGGACACGACAGCAAAGAAGACGCAGTCTCCTGCATGGAGTTGATCCTATGGAAAGCGAAGGAAGTAGCAAAGTTACAATGAGCGGACCTTGGTGTAATCCGTCAGACTGACTCGTCCTGTACAGCTTAGATTTTTACGTTCCGCGAAAACCCTGGCAGCCACTTCGACTCGTTCGCACTTCAGACTCGGTCCTCTCGTTTCGGAACCGTCGATACATCGTACGTATTTGTATTATAGTTTGTTCATTCATGTATAAAATCGCGCGATACGCAACGCGCGCGACACGCAATACGCGACAGGCGTGTAGCGAATCGACGTAGAATCGGTTATCATCGAGACACCGTTTAATTTTCTGGCCACGTACGGAGCCATTGTACATTTCAACCGCCGACACGGTCGATTCACCGACACCGTTTCAATCGAATTCAAAGAAATACACCGTTTTACCGAAACGAAGTTTTACCGATATACCATTGCACCAACTCGGTCGACGAACCCACGACGACGTTTTCCCGGTGCTGGAGATCAAGTTATTTATTGTAGAATTTCTATAATACGCGTGATCTCGAAACATCGTCGAACATGGTACGCGCGCATTATTCGAGGCTAGCATTGACCGATTGTAGTTGTAGCTCGTAGTTTGTAGTTCGTAGTTGATAGCCTGTAGTTCGGTAGCCCGTAGCCCATATGGCCGGTGGTAGTCGGTAGTTGGTAGTCCGTAGTTGGTAGAGGTATGAACGGCGATATCAAGCCTCGACGAAACCGTGCCGGTGAAACCTTTGTCGGTGATTCGAATTTAATCGTGCTACGGTTTCATTCACAGTCTCGGGTCCTACGACGGTACGAGTAGATTGTTTGTTCGCGAGCAATTGGTATCGATCGCGATCACGAATTCGTACTTTTATAAAATTTCGATGTCGCCCATGGATTCTTGGATCGTTCGGGCATAAAACGGAACAGCGTACGGAGGTATACCAGCGTTGCGTGTGTTTTCTTTGAGTGTCTCGAAAATTGTACCGAGTGTACATTTATTTTTGAAGATTAAACATCTCTCAATAAACGAATACCAGTATTTTCTACACTTATGTCGTATATATTTTCATTCGTTTCGCATCGAACCACAACAGCGAAAGCGATCGGGGGAGAGGGCGGGGTGTGAGGAAACGCGGAAATACGCATCACTTGTTTCTTCGTTTTGTGCAATTTTATTATAGAAAACTACATCGATGTTTCTCTCGAATGTGCGTCCAACAGGTTGAATCGTATCGCTGACGCGAATCACAATCTTCGGTTCATCATTTGAAATTGTTTAGCTGCCGTTTAGCTTGGTTCGTTCGATCAAAGCGTAATCACATTCGAACGTTTAGATTTCGACATGGGGGGGCAAGTGGCAACTGTACTACGACGAAACGATCGAAGCAAACCCTACGCCCATGCAGCGGTTTGTCGCGGTTTGCTGCAGTTTACAGTTACGTTGCTCGACAACCCGCTTCGATGTCTCTCACCTTGTTCTCTTTCTGCTCGTCGTTCCCGCGCTCCGCAAAGTCGTCGCCGAGAGCCCCGCGCGGCTATCTTTATCGCGTTCTTTCTATTTAAACCGATCGAACGTCCTCACACTTTCGAACGAACTTACTTTCGACTCGATTTCTGTCCTCTCCTACCCCACGTGTATTTCCCTTTCGTTCTCGCTTACTTCGACGATTCGAACATGCGGTAACGTTCCGCTACCAGCTCTCTTCGAGTGCAGCTGTCGCGAAGGTACAACCAAGTGCACCGAGCGAATAAGTCGTGAACCGAGAGCGACCAGCGGTTCGTTACCGTAATTCGAAGAAAAACCGATGTCTACTCGTGCATATAACCGCCTTTGGCACGTTCACACGCGTCTATTGCGAAGCCTAGAATAATGTCGAAGGCATCGCTGTTCGAACAACGCATAAAATTCACGAATCCTCCACGATCCTTTCGTCTACCCGTAAAATGGAGCGTCACACGAGTAACTCACCCGGCGTGAAAAATAGTATGTCCGACCGTTTTCATCAAACGTTATTGTCAAGGTGTATTTAGAGCCTAATCTTTGGTATCATTTCTTTACAAGTGGGCAAGCTTGCTCCGTATCGTAGTGCATGTAGATGCTCCTGCAATAACTCTACCAGAAATTCTACCGGTTTACCGGTTATTGCGTGACTGTGACTCTCGTTGCAAATCAGAAACAATTGTCTGACAATGTTGTACAACGACGACGACGATTAACGCGTTGAATGCCACGCCGGTTTTACAGAAATTGTCCGTGGCGCCACGATGAATTTTCTTTTATGTGATGCATATAATGTTGAAATATTATCTGCAATAGATAAGTTGCAATAGATGTTTGACATGTTAATTACGACAGGGGTCACTGTTTGATTTGATGATGGCAATAATACAAAATTTTAGATATTGACATTTGTTTGAAATTATATATATTTCTATCAATTTGGGCGCGCCGGTCACCGGTGGCCCCCATGGCGTCACCGCCAAGTTAAGTGCCGGTCACCGGTGACCCCGTGGCATTCAACGTGTTAAGAAGAAGAAGAAAAAGGAACTATTTGAAATTTGGACAACGCACGGACACGTGATAATATCGCGCTTTCGTCCAAACGCTCTATCGAATAAACAAAATCGATATGCATGCCAAGTTTCACAGTCGCAGACGCAATTTTGTTTCAATTCGACGATTACGACAATATACCGCGCAAGTAAATAAACAAATAAAACAACCAACAAACGGTACTGTCGCTATGGTTAATTAACACTTTGCTTCTGATTATATACAAACGTGAGAGTTCCAGTGTTTGTTGCAACGTTGGAAGACGCGGAGAACAGGCCGGACACGAAAGACGTTCGCTGACGAACGGTTAAATTATATTACACATTTACGTTTTCAGCTTGCACCGCGACAGTTCGATTCGGTCGGAACGACGAATACAATAAATTCTCCCTAATTGACGCTCAGCTTGGGAACAAAAATAAACAATTTGGGAAAAGTAGGTACATTAAATTCTCCCAAATTTTCCTTCAGCTTGTAAACAAAAATGGACAATTTTCAGCGAGGATGTACGATTATTCGAGCCTCGCGGCTTATTCTTATAGTTGCCGATTGTTAACAATTATAAAAATGCACGGCTCGAATAATCTCCTCTTCCCACATTGTCCACTCTTGTTTACAAGTTAAAGGAAGATTAAGGAGAATTTACTGTACGACTATCCTAGCCTTGTGGCGAATAATCTTCCCAAATTGTCCATTTTTTGTGGTACAAGCTGAGCGTTAATTGGGGATAATTTATCGCAGCTAGTACCACCTCTACCCGAGTGAAGAAATACTGCAAGGAGAGCCGCATCAATTTGCGAGTCCTTCAAAGCATAAAAAAATATGTTGCCCGGACATTGGACAGCCTCTAATTGTACGATAACGTCTATCTAATTCCCGTCGTATACGAAGGCAACTGTTCGAAGACACGTACGCGTTACGATCTTACGAATTACTAAATTCAACTATTAATACGTACACTTTGTTTCGTTCGTATCGTGCTACGTTTCGTCGAACGCCCACGAAAATACGTCCGGCATTCGCTGGAAGGATCCCGACTTGCGGCCCGTAATTCACTAGCGTGCTCGGACACGACCCTGTGTCGTTTAGTACCGGCCAAGGGACAAACACGCCGATCCCCGCCGCGACGTTCGACAAAACGATACTTTGATCGTATCCTCGTTTCCGCGTGTTTTGTTCCATGACTAGGTTTACCAGAGAGAAGTAGCACCGCGCGTTACAAGCGAAACAGTGGCTGGCCCGAAACGAATCGAATCGAATCGAATCGATGTCGGATCGAATCAAGCAAACGTGGAAGCGACGATTCGAATCAACACTTTAACGGAAAGGTTTGCCTTTGTAAATGTGGTGGTTGCACATTCGTTTTGTTTTCTTCTTCTGTTTTTTTTTTTTGGAAGTTTTCACAATTTTCACAATTCTCAACAATAATCACAATTTACACAATGCTCACGACTCGCGTTTCTCGTGCGTGCACGCTTCCCCCTTGGTTGTTGTTGTTGTTTTTTTCCCCGGCGAAGGTCGTGCGTTTCGTCGCTACAGCATATAATCTCGGAGGAAGAGGCAACCGTGAATGCAAGAGACAACAATGGAGATAATCGATCGAAACGAGACGAGTGAGACCGAAACGGAACGAGCTGCCGGAGAGAGGAAAGAAGCGGTTTTTCATAGTGTTTCGGTTGTCCGGTGTGTCGTCGTCTCGATCTTCTCGTCCGAGATGCAGCAGCTCGATCAACAGCAACATCAACAGAGCTAGTGGTGATCACGGATCGATCGTTCGGTCGGAATCTTGATCTCCCACGAGGTAAAGGAACTGGAAAGCGATCGCTAGCAAACTGATGCCCAGCAGATCTCCCATCGCCGTCAAATACGGTATCGCCGAATTGTCTGGATCGATTTTTCGTTTCCACATCCAATGTATCATTATGTAGGCGATGTAAAGGAGCGCGGCGACTTGCAGCATCGCGGCGCATAAATAAACGAAGACGAAAAGAGGCGTCAGCGAGGTGCCATCCTTCATGTAATTAATCAGGTAAATGAAAATTATGTGACCCGGGATGACCATCGCCATTAAAACTCTGGTGGTTCTCGCGTGCATACCTAAACAGATAGAAAACGCGGCGACGCGTTAACGGCGACGGTAGATGTTGATACTCAATGGAAGCGAAGCTGTGATCGCGCGGTCTTTGCTCACCTTTGCCGAAAAAGTTCGCGATGGGCGTAATAAAGATGACGGGATGCGTGTGACCCGGTGGAATCAGCAGCGTGCCCAGCTCTGCCTGTTTATGAAGGGCGGTGGATATCCTGCTCGCTTGGACAGCTACGAGATTTCCACCGACGCCGTTGATCACCGGTTGAAAGACGGTGAAGTTCTTGAATCGCGACACCATGAATCCCAGGATCAGGCCGCCGCAACTGTGACACCGATCGAAAGATTTATGTTAATATCCGCAATGGAGAGATTCCTGAGGTCATTTGAAGTAACTTTTTCCTTAACGAAAATGCAATCCGCGGCTTTGTTTACGAGTTATTAGCGAATAACAGTGACCAATGGCAGGCGAGCTCGACTGACGCGAGGCGGCCGTGCCAATGAGCGGAACTGGGCTTCGCGCGCTGGGCGGCTTCGCGACAAACGAGCTCGCCTCTCATTGGTCACAGTTTTTCGTTAATAATTCGTTAACGGTGCCTCGGAGAAAATTTTCGCAAAGGAAAAAGTTACTTCAAATAACCTAAGGAATCACCATGTTCGGGTATTAACATAATTATAGAGTCTGGATAAGACCCGCCGCTGGTTCTTGCGATCGCCATAAATAAAAGCTCACCTGCTGATCAACATGGCAATCATGACAGGAGTCCAGCCGGAGTAAAGGACATCGTTGGTGTGTTTGTTCTTTTTGGCGATCCATACCCAGAGCGGGGTGACGAGGACGTAACAAGCGATCACCAACGGCGCCAGCCAATCCTGCTTGTTGATCGACTCGTAGAGGATCGTCGAGATCCAAGAGAGCAGAGCCAAGGAGGTGATGTCGCCGAGGCTCGCGGCTATCGGCGTCGCGACGTTGTCCGGATTGATGTGACAGTGTCGCGAGAACACGATCACCCCCGCGGTGATCAGTCCGAGGACGAACGACGCCAATGACGCGGTGACCAAGCTGCTCGCGCACAACAGGTAAGCGTGGTCCAACGAGATGGTGCCGTACCGCAACGCCCCCATGACGATCGCCACCACCGAACCCAAGAAACCGACCACTATCGCCTGGCACTGTCAACATGAACCGATTTCCTCGTTACGCTAACCGACATTCTTGTTCGTCTAGGACGAGCGCAGGGCCGCGCGCACCACTGGAAACGAAACGGATCAGAGAAACGAAAATCAGCCGGGGAAATGAGATAAAATGAAATCCAATGAGAACGACGAAACGACGCGACGAAGACTTTGAAGATTCTTCGATGCCGGTGCGGCGCGTGTACGGTTACGGCTCTCCGGTAGAGGTTATGTACTATACGCGTTAATGCAATAGGGGGGGCTTATCCCCGCAGTCCAGTTTCGCGGGCGGAAGATTCGTGACGACACGGCTTCTTCGAACGGTGAACTATACGAACAGGAAGAAAAAAACAAGAAGCAAGCGGGCTGTGTTATCGTTCACACAGTCGGAGACGGTTGTCCTCTGTTTCGCGTCGAACGTATCGCCGTTTGAACAGCGTCTAGATTTCGCGGCTGTTTGCCCATCGATCGTAAGATTATATATCCTGCGATAAATGTAACGTTCAATCTCGAAGGCCGTTTACCATTGTCGCGCTGAGAGCGCAATCAAATAAAATTACGGCGCCAACGATAAGATGTCCGCGAGTCGCGTCTACTTCGCCGTCGTTGTCGTTCCGATTCGGCTCGTTTCGAATTCGATGAATCATTGCAATCGGCCGATGTAGCGAGGGACGAGTATCTCGAATTAGAGGTTCGGTTCAGCGGAAGAAGAATAAATGTGAGAAATGAGTGCGAGAGAGAGAGAAAAAGAGAGTGAGAGAGAGACAGGCTACAAGGAAACTCGTCGTAAATCATACGAAAACTCTCGCAAGGCATAAGGAAACTCGCACGACATTAAGGAAACTCGTGCAGCATATGTGACGAAATGTTTACAATCCGTTTAAGAGTATTTACGGAAGCAAAAGACGAGGAAAAGGAAGAGATAAGGGGGCGGCGAAGCATGCTCGTGTTCTCGTCTCACCTGAATTAAAACAAGATTCCCAACGATCATGTACCATTGTTGTTTCGGCGTGTCCATATGCCCGAGATTCGCTTGAGTAGAGAGACGCGATGCAAGAGTCATTTCTAAATTGCCTTTCAAGCCCAACAATGCCGGAACCAGAATTATCAGCTCGGTCACTTTCTCGAATACGATCCAGTGCTGCGGATCAACAACGGGGAAAGGAAAGCGTTATCTTTCGATCGAATCGGAAGCCCGATTTGCCGCGATTCGGAGCGCTTTTTTGCGCGGCGGGATCGGATCGGATCGGATCGGTTTTACTGTTACGAGAGCCGAGTTCTCGTCGACGAAACGGGGAAAAGAGAAAAAAAACGGAAGACAAAAATAAACGATAAACAAAGCGGGGTTTAGCGAGTAAAAAATAAATGAAGGAGCGTACTTGCACCAAATCCAAAACTAATCCAGCGCCCACCATGCCAAGGCCGGCGATAAGAAACGGTATAAAAACTTGAATGGTAATTGCCAGGTACGATTCGAGAGGCTCGTCCTCGATGACACCGTAAATTTTACTCTCGGCGACGACGTCGGGGAGGCGACCGGTCTCGGTCATTCCTTCGTCGAAGATGGGCACTTCCACGCTCTCTTGCTCCATCAATTTGTCGGTGGCGGCTGCGGCGGCCGCGGCCACGACCGCGGCATCCGTCGAGTTGCCGGTCACGGTTGCGACGTTAACTCCAACGTTGCTGCCGATGCACGCGTTCGTGTCCATGCCCATGCCCATACCCATACCTATGCCCATACCCATGCCCATACCTATGCCCATACCCATACCCATACCCATACCCATGCCCATACCGATGCCCATGCCCATACCCATCTCTGTCCCAGTGCCTGTTCCTGCTCCTACACCGGAACCGGGACCGGGACCCGTGACCATGATCATAGACGCGTCCGTCGCCGAGCTTGTGCCCATCACCGTGTTTCCGTGGGATGCTTTTGAAATCGCGCGCAAACGAATCTCCGCCGGCGTCACCCTGTGGGAACTTTGCTTTTCGGAAAGTAGAGGCTCTTTGCATTGGTCACTGTCAACAGAAAATTCGGAAGCTTGTACAAAACACGATCCCTCCGTCGGATCGACGACGACGTTATCCCCGTCGAATTTTGCACACGAAAATATAAAGCGCGAGAACACCGTGAGAAAACCGTGCGAGAATTTATATTCTTCTCGTCTGCGCGTCCGGAACTCGCTTCTGTTTCACGGCGGAACCGTACAGAGATGTATTATTCTATCGTCGATCGGATCGCCGACAAGAAAACGTGCGCGCGACGCGAACAGCGGTAACCGTGTACAACGTGATAGAAGTATTAAAATTAGGTGAAACACGTACTTCTCGAATTTGACTCCTGTGACATCGACATGGGCGTGCTTGTCGGGCGGCAGTCGTACCGGATGTTGATGCACCTGATCCTCTATCATCTTCTACTGAGGACCTCATGCGACTCGCTGTCGCGGATATATAGCCATTCTCCTTTGAGAATGATAAGGCTTGTCTAAATGTTCGTTTGTTCGCGCGGTGCCGTTGTATTTCAGAACAAGAATCGAGCAAATTACGTAACCAACGAGAGGGACGCTATCTCTAGTTTGATTCGCCTGCTCGCGACCGCTTAGGCTCGGTGGCACGCCGAATTTCAAACACCCGTGATTCCCCGTCGAAACGCGGCGACGCGCGCGACCCGTCCGAGACGTCGCGTCGCGGCCGCACGCGATCCCTATCGAACGTTACGGCTCCTCGCGAATTCACGGTCACGCGGTATCGACGTCTTTCCTCGTACGATCGACGCACGGAAATCGAAACGGAAATCCTCGGCCGTCCCACGGAACGCGACGATTTCGAGCGAGCGAGGCGAGCCGTTTCGAATTTTCGGCCGCGCGTTAAACGCCGCCGCTCGACACGATTCCGTTTTTTTACGGCGGCTCTTATCGACGACGACGGCTCGCCTTGACGCCTCTAGTCACGCGAGTGCGACGGTTTAATAACACGGCAAACTTGTCGAAATCCGCGGAGAGATCGTTGCTCCATCGGCCTGCGGCCGTACCCGAAATACCGAATAAAGTAAAATATCTCGTCGGTGTAACGACGCGTGGACGTCCCTGCGTTGCTTGCGTAACGCTCGAATGTCGTCCAGACAGAACAAACAATCGGGAAAGAAACACGAGAACGGGAGGAGAGAATTCGTGAGGGAGGCCAGGATAAAGAGAGACGGATCCGAAAAGATGATTGTCGAGTGGCGCCGAGACAAAGGTGAAAAGAAACCAAAAAAAAGAAAAATGAAAAAGAACGGAAGGAACGCGAATCGAAAGAGAAAAGGAAACGCATACCTGCTGCTCGTTAAACGGGTCTTGGGCACTACGTAGACGCCTGACGGAATTCATAGACTCGAGAATCCTCGTTCCCAGTGGTGTTTTCAATGTCGTGTCGGCTCTGACAAAACAGAAAATCAACCGTCGTCACGCATCTGACGGTGTAAGGCTGGTGGGCCTGTGCGAGGCCGTTTCACGCTATGGTTACATCGCGACTGATCTCGATCGTGCATCACGCCTGTCTCCTTAAAACTCGCTCGGGACGTTTACCAGGAACAGAACGCGGCACGGAGCAAGCGCGAATCTATCGATCGTTGCGTTCAGAAGCAACCACTGTGTCCGGCGGTCCCCGCATGCCCGTATGCGAGTATCCCCGTGTATGCCTGTATGCGAGTATCCCATCAACCCAGACACGAGCCGGCTCGTTTCCCTATTCGTTCTCGCCTGCTACCCCAACCGCGCGCCCCTTTTTACCCGTTCGATCGACGCCCCGGCGGCGTCCGACGGCGTCGATCTTCTTCTTTCTTATCAGTCGTTGATATCCTTTCCGAGCGGCTAAAAATAGCGAAAAAATTTCCGCGTTCCCGGACAAATAGCCTTCTCTATCTAATCTCGATCGGCCAGTGGATTACGCGCGAGAAACAATCGGTTCGCCGGGTATCGCCGCGCGTACGTTCCATGCGTGCCGCCTGCGCCGCGTCGTCCGAAGATCGTCGGCGGCTTCGCGCGCACGTGGGAGCACGGTCGCGTTTGTGCAACAATTTCTCGGAACGTTTGCACGGCGGGCAAACAAATCGAGCCGTTACGGAAGGTAACGTTGCGAAACCGTATCCACCGTTTAGCGAAACTTTCGAGCCTGTTTTCCAAAGAACAATATTTGGAGAGCGACGCGCACTCGACGGCGAGCGCGGCCGCGACCGCGAGCGCGCACGCGTCTTCGACACGCCGGTGGCGAGCTTGCGAGTTGTTGCGACAAACGGCGCAACCGTTCGATCGTCGACGAAACGCTGCGATTCTCTCGTCCGTTTCGAGAACGTCTTCTGGTCCGGTCGTTCTTACGGTACGCGCGCGTCTCTGTCCGCTTCCGGAAAGACGACTCGCGCGGCGAACAGCCGAGCGATCGGTTCGGCGATTCGCACGAGCGATCCGCTTTGACATCGAGCTCGAACAGCGGCGCCGGAACCGTGTTCCCGTCGCTTTGAATTTCCATGCTCCGCGAGAACCGTGATATCGAACGGACGGCGTCTATCCAAGGACTCGCCCGGAATAGGTGTACTTCTATACCGGGCATCGATTTGCTCGACCTTCGCGAGGACCGCTCGCGAAGAGCCGAGGCGTTCTTTGCGCCGACTGCGGTCGAACTCGAAGAAACGAATCGGCGAGCCGCGGATCGCTAAAAGCGATCGCGCGATGACCGTCTTCGGGATTCCGTTTCCGTAGAATCGGAACTCGCGGCGTCGAAAAGAAAAAAGAAAAAGGTACAGGTGCTCGACCGAATCGTCGAACCGAATGTAGAATGATCGGGAGAAGCCCGGGACGGGAAGTCGAACGCGAGAACGGTTAGTAAATTGGCTGGAAAGACGGGATCGTGAACGAGCACGCGAAATCGCGAATGAAAATGAAAAATGAACGGCGTTGAAAACGGTATCCGCGTATCGGCATTTGCAAACATTGTCGTTTAACGTTCGTGGCGCGCGAGTACGAAGCACTTCCGTAACATATTCACAAATTGATAAATTACTCCACGTGTTTAAGTTCGACCATGAGGAGCAATAACTTAACATACGTTTTGATACTTGGTTCCCGTGACCCGCGGAGCACGTTCTCGAACACATCCCTCGCGGTTTCTCGTGAAAATCAAGGAGCGGCCCCGCACCCTTGTCCTCATACTAATATCCCTGTGTCTCGTGCTCCATGACGGTCGTCGCGGCGGCGGCCAAAAATCGCGTCAAAGTAACACTCGGCAGGCCGGAAACATTTCACCGTGGTTGCTCTGCGACACTTTTGCGGACGGTCGAGTCGCGCTGGACGAAGTCCCGTGGTAAACACGGCGCGACCGCCTAGAAATCGCCACGCGAGAGAGTTCGAAATTTGAAAGATAACGATAACGAGATGCTACGACGGCGGCAGCGACGACACACAAACGGCGTCCGTCGCGCTAAGCGTCGACTCGCTGATTTTTCGGCTGATCCCGGCTACGATTTCGACACCGCGGTACGCGCACCCCTTTTTTCATTTCGACTCCAATCGCAGGTTGACGCTCGGACGACGAACGACGACGCGACGCATCGTCACCGGGCCGTCGTTTGTTCCCCGTTGGTTTCGTAACGATCGAATCCAGAGAGGAGAATATCAAAGAGGACCGATCGCGGGGACAACGATAACGGGCACGGTCGGATCTCGATCGCGGACTCGATTTACGTGGTTCTCGTTTAAAAAAATACCACGAGAACGGCTCGGTGGTGCGCGACGAAGAGGCGCGGGACGTGCGCCGGCCAGCGAAAAAACGTCTCCGGAGGGATCGCGGTCCGATCCGGATCGGATCGCATCGGGAAACGCAACGGAACGAAACGCAACGCGATAGATCAAACCTAAAACGCTCCGTCGAGAGCGAGGCGATAGTTGGCACTGACAGATCCAACTATTTCATTGACGGAGACGAGCTGATGTGCCTCTCTCGACCACAACTTGGTCATTTCGTTCGTACCGCTGTACGTGTACGAATCGTTGAGTCAAGTCGCCGGCGTGTATGTACACGTGTGCACGCGTCGCCGTATACGTACGCGTGTACACGTGCGCGCGCGCGTGTACGTGCCCGTCGGACGCACACGCCGAAACACGCTCGCTTACGCGATTACGCTTACGAACCTTTACGCCCTACTCGTAACGCGACCGTACGATATCGTACGAAATAAAGACGCCACCACCACCATCACCGCCGCCACCAACACCACCGTCATCATCAGCATCGGGCCACCGGCGCAACGGTTCGGCCCGAGCACCGCGGTTAACTCGATCCAAGCTACGCACGGCCGAGGGCTATCGTGGCTCTCTTCGCCGTCTTCGTCCGCTTCACCCACTTCACCCGAGTCGCGAAATTCTGGCCGACTTCGGCGAGACCAGCTTCTCGAGACTTCCTTCGACGCGATCACGATTTTCTACTTGCTCGCTCGAACGTTCGAACGGACTTTTTTTTCTAACGAATTGATCGAGAAGTACCCGCGAGCATCGCGTAACCGAGAGATACGATTAGGGAAGCACTGGGGGCACGTTCTTTTATGTTTCAAAGCGGTGTTTCGCTTTGGCGGATATTTCGCTGCGCGATAATCGCGATCCTTTTCGCGCGAACGGTTGGCCTCTCTTCGTTACGCTCGCCGTGTCTCGCCAGTTTTGTCACGCGGTGACACGCTCAAACGGTGCCAAACCGTTTGTTGTTAGCGAATAAAAATACGACCAGTGTGGCGCTTCAATTAAATTTATTTGTACCAAACTTATCGTAAGTACACAATCTTCAAAAAATAATTTTCTTCGTTAGTGTAACGCTCTTTCTTTTTTCTTTCTTTTCCTTTTCTATTTATTTTTTTGGCGTTATCTCACGCTTCCCTTTGTTACTCGATTGAGACGCGTACATCTAGATAAATCTCGGTTTAATCATATTGAAGGAAGTTTCGTGCGATCGCGAAACGCCGTGGTAAAATCTTGGATTCGTCGAATCCGGGAACGAAAATGATAACCGACACTGTCCGCGACAATGCCGACGTTGGTCGCGCATCGATAAGAAGAACCTAGAAGAAAACCGGGAGACTGTTCGATTCGGATGGTATTTGGAAACTTGTTGAAATGGAAATCTGTAATCTGGAGCTTCCAGCATCCGAAATCGAATCAATCGCCCACGTCCGAATCTCCGTCACCGATGGCGTAGAGTATATGAAACGCGATTCCTAGCAACGCTGTTCCTATCAGATCGCCTATCGCCGTCAGATAGGGTATGGCAGAACTGTCCGGATCTATTCCCCGTTTCCATAGCCAGACGACCAGCAATTGAGCAATGTACAGTAACAAAATCACCTAACGGACAAACGAAAAGAAAACGTGTTTATCGAAAGCTTCGGTAATGAGGGTGTCTTGAGGGTGTCTCTCTCTTGAGGGTGTTTTCGCGCGCTTCTTCTGGCACGTACCTGTAGTAGAGCAGCGATCAGATACACGACGATAAATGTAGCAGTGAACGAAGTATGGCCAGCTTGAAGGTAACTGATGGTGTAAGCGAATATTAGGTGACCGGGTATCACCATCGCTAATAATACTCTGGCAGTTCTCGCATGTCCACCTACGGATCGTACGATGAGATCTCTGTAGCGTTTATGCTAACATTTCTTTCTACCGAATGTTAGGACGCGCCGCGTCGGTAACGTACCTTTGGAAAAGTATACGTGGAACGGATTGAAATGAACCGCGGCTCTCTCCTGAACGCCGGACCGTGGAGTTTTGTGCAACGACGTCGATATCCTGCTAGCTTGCACCGCGACTAAATTACCACCGATGCCGTTTATAATTAATTGGAATACAGCTATACCTTTGTAACTTGATATCGTGTAATCTAGCGTCAAGCCGCCCACGCTGAAATCAATTCAACCTGGCAAAACATTCCCTAGTTTGCAAGATTAAAGGACGGTGTATAAGAACCTGCTAATCAACATTGAGCATATCACAGGTGTCCAGCCGTAATCCAATATCTCCTTGGTAAATGGATTTCTAGCTGCAATGTATCCCCAAACGGGAGTAGCGATGATATGAAAAACTATACAGGTCGGTGCTATCCAAGGCACAGAATCTGAAACAGGAGAGAGACCGTTTCGTTTTCGTTCGACTGTCTCGTCGTGACGCGCGTGTTGTTTATACAATTATTCCGTACGGATGGTCTGTATACGATCACCTATAGCTTTGTAGAGTAGCGACGCGATTCCCGACAAGAGCGCCAACGTTATCAGGTCGCCGAGGGAGGCCGCGATCGGCGTCGCCACGTTGTCCGGATTGATTTTCATCCGTTTCGATAGCAGTATCACGGTAACCGTAACTAAACCTAACAAAAAACTGGCCACGGACGCCGTGGCCAAAGCGCTAGCGCACAACAAGAGCGCGTGATGAATATCGAACCGTGCGTCCGGGATCCAACCGAGCACCACGGCCGCCAAAGAAGCCAGTAGGCCCACGACCATGGCTTGACACTGTATCAGAGACAGATTGCCCACGACCAACATCCATTGTTGCTTAGGAGTGTCCATGTGGCCGAGGTTTGCGTGGGTCGACAGTCTCGAGGCCAACGTCATCTCCAAATTGCCCTTCAAACCTAGCAACGCCGGTACCAATATATACACCTCCGACACGTCTCTGTAAACCGGCCAATGCTGCAACAAAAATATCGAAGTTCCGAACATCGTATCGAATCACGCCCGACGGGGTCACGCACCTGTACAATATCTAATAACAAACTGGCAACTACCATACCGAAACCGGCCAACAGAAAAGGTATAAACATTTGTATAGAAATAGACCAAACGGTCTCGTCCTCGACATCTCTCGTTTCATCGTTCCTACCGGCTGATTTTACTCTATCGCTGGTAACGCACTGGTGAACGGTCCGCGACGGCATAAGACGCCGCCTGTCCTCCTCCGAGCTCCCGCCATCCTCGTCGGATTCGACTTCCGTTTCCATGGTGCCGTCGACGATCGCTGACACCAGAATCTCTTCGCTGTTCAATTTCACCATCTCGCCCCTGTTAAATGATACCTTTTCCGATTTGCTCTCTCCAAATTTTGCCGATTCGTTTTTACGTCTTCTGATTATCGCGTCGGCATCACTCATCATCATTCTTGGGAGGTTGTTTGTCGAACCCGCACGATCAATTGCAAATCACTGGGATGAAAAAGAACCGATGCAGCTTGTACTGGTTCGACTTTCGACAAATCTGCCGACATTCCCGTCGGCAGCAGGTAGTCGATAGTCAAGTAGGTCTTAACGTTAGCCTGCAATCCTTCGTGTTACATTTTACTTACCGCGAGATCTTACGCACTAATCTGAAACGAAACAACATTGGTCTGGTAACATGATACGCGTTACGTGTTACGGAAATGACGAGCAATGCGAGCTGCACAATGCGAATAAACGGGTACTACGCACATGTTTGGTCGTGGGCCACGACTCGTGGCAACTTAGCCCGACCTTATCTAAAATATTCAAATCTATTTATACGAACGTGATTTCACATAATGTGTCTTTTAAAAAGGCGGGGCATTTGCATCGAATTGTGTGTTAACCACTTGCGATACTTTCTTCGGGATGGAAATCACGATTGCGCGAAAACTGTTCGCACGATTTCAACAAATAACGTTTGCAATCACGAGAGCCTGCTATCGGGAAACACCCAACGGCAACGATACGCGAACATTTGAGGTTACGTTTACGGTTTACAACAGGAGAAGGACGTACGCATCGTTTTGTATTTTACGGGCGAATAAAGTGTTGCTACATTGGATACAGCTTTCGAAATCATGTTTCACGGCGGCAGGCACAGCTAAATATCGTTCCATCGAAGCGATATACTTGTACTCGGATACATGACACTGACCGCCTCAACAGCACGAATCACATAACCTCGAAAGTACGTTCGGCCGGCTGATCACATGTAACATGTCTCTGTCTACTATATTTTGATTAGGAGCGTTTGTATGTATGTATATATGTACGTATGCACATATGTATTCGTCCCGTACGGTCAACTTGCAATTGTTCAAACACACAACAACTTTTTCGGTCGGCGAGACAGAAACGCCCTTTTTGGAAAATTCTGTACGAATCTTCGCACGCGACGAAAATTTCGCTCGTCGTGTGTAACGTTTATAGAAATATGTACATATTTCCTACGTACACTTTACGTTTATACACACATACACATGGTTGATAATGTATTCGTGTGCTTTTTCGTACGCCGATGTTTAATCGAGACTCGCAAAACTGTATTTTCACGTAAATACAGATATGCTGAAAATGATTTCTTCGGTAATACTCAATTCAGAGAATGGCGTGCAACATGGACTTGTGTCACACGACATTTCTAATTTACCGCGTTTCGTTCAAGCGTCCGTGCTGCCACATTACACGTTGCGGCGAGACACGTAAACTGCTACATACAATCACCAACGGTCGATAATATATAAAAAATCTTATATAAATATATAAGATTTAAGATAAGAATTTTATATAAATATATTATATAAATTCTTATATAAATATATTCTAAATCTTATATAAAAATATAAGATTTAAGATAAGAATATAAGGTATATCCTATATAAATATATAAAAAATCTTCATAAAGAGTTTAGGATCTCTGAAACCTGACCGAGGCTAACATTTAGCTTAGGAAAGCCCATAAGATGCAATCCTAAGTCATCTGTCTCGACATCATGAATAGATATAATTACAACAGACAATTTGAGGTGTAGAATCGATGCACAACAGTGACTCAAGGATTTCTCTAGATCTAAATCTAAACGGTTCTCGTTCTGTTCCCACAGTTTTTTTTTATTTAGCCTTGCATTGTGCACATGTGGACGATTGTTGCGCCTCTTTTGAAGGAAACGTAAAACTTGGTCCGGGATCCATGCTAGTACTGTTCGAGCGACTCGAATATAAGCGAGAAATTAGGACGCATTTCAAGTGGCTCATTATGATCGAGCGTATATCGAAAATAAACTGTTCTTCATATACAATAAACATATTGTACATATTACTGTTCTATCGAGTACTCGGATCGGTCCGGATTTCGAGCTGCTCGAATATTCGAGCATCCCGACAGCTTTAGTCCGTATAGCGTCAATTAGGATAGTGGTAAAACGTTCAAACTGTTAGTCGTCAAATTACCGACGGTCGATTTTGGCTAATAGTTTGAGCGTTCCGCCGCTACCAAAATTGGCCCTGCACGGACATCGAAAGATGTTTCGTTTTTTTGCTAAAAGAGGTGTGCCACGATAGAAAAAGTATATACCGTAAGATTAGATTATAAGAAAATGTAATAAGTAATAATTATATTAAGGAATATAGACTAAGCTTATGACATAGCTACAACTATTCGAGTTTAGATCAGACACTAAGAAAACGAACTAATAATAACAGAACTAATAACAACAGAATATATAGAGTCAGTTCAAATATAATTTGTATGCAAATGTATTGTCAACTTGACTCTCATAAATATCTATATTATACGTATATATAATACTGTTACATCACTATATTATGATTACTACAAATTGCAAAGAATTATGTGACCGATAAGGACTCATAGTTTATTCGTCTGATAATAAAAAGGAACATAACATGAAATACTTTGCATTGTACATATAATTAGATAATAATTGTTACGCGATAATATTTGTAATAATAATATTATTTGTAATTATTTATTATATAATATTATATTATATTATATATACTAATTATTATTAATATAAATATTATATTATATAATATTATTATTAATAATAATATTTGTTCTATNAGTAGACATAATTATAGTGATTTATAGTACGAAATCAATGAAACTATACTTACCCGCAATATACTTACTATATTTACCCCCACAATTTACGCATTCGAGGTATCCGCGGAAACACTGTGTTTCGCGAGTTTGCGCGTTTTGCGCGACACGAAAGCTAATTGTTAAACGAAATTGCAATTACAAAGCCGTTCGCATGTAATCCGTAAATTCGGGTATCGTTATAAAAATGCGTAGAAGAAATGTACGCGCGCTTAGTGTACAAGTCTGCGATATGTTCCGTGGCTCCGTTTTCATTTCGAAGACGAGCTCGTTCGCGGGCTTACCTTTGTTTACATATCCACGTGCAGAAGCGGCTTCCACATATATATATATATATATAGTAAACTCACTTTTGTCCAATTAACGTAATCGAATTACGCTTTACTGTGCCCGATGTCGGTTTCGAATTTTCGAAGGAGAAAAATACACGAACGCTCGGACGCGTTGCATCGCGAGTTGTTCGCATACTATTTGAAATCGATCGATTTACGTATTCAGCGAGTCCACAAAACTGACAAATTTCTCTCTCGAGAGAGAGACGGGCTTTAGACTATAGACTATAGACTATCTCTAGAGTCTAGACTCGAGGCGTACAGCTTGAAATACCTTGGTCCGGGCTTGGGCTGGTGCTGGGCAATGGGCATTGTGCCCGTGAACCAGCTACATGCTTACTACCCGACAATAGACGCCGATAGACGCGTCCGAATATCGGTGCCGGTCGTACGGATTTATATGACTCGTCGCTCGTTAACCTTCCCCGCATATCATCACAACACGGTAATCACACTGTTCAAAATAATTCCAGACCGTTGGGATTTGATTTCGGATTCGAGTGTTTTCAGTGATCGAACCAACGACGACCGATCCGGATTAAATCAAGCAGCCGAAACGTGGACTTAAAATGGGCCGCAGGAAACCCGGAAGCAAAGGCCATCGGTCGTCCAAGGCAAAGGGTGGCCAGAACGCGAGCAAAGAGGAAAACAACGGGGAGGAACGGTTCGACGAGAAGAGGAACTATCGGAAAGCCAAGGATATTATAGACGTGTACTCGCGCTTAAGCTACCCCTTGGTGCGACAAAATCTGCCGGAAGATCTGGAAGATGCGACGGCGCTCGATGGAAGCGACGAGGAGGACGCGACTTTTGAGCTGACCGTGAAACCGCGGGTCGTGTTCGTGACGTGCCTCTGCTCGGTTTGCATGGAGAGATCGAACGTGTTCTGCGAACGCTGCCGCATGGTGTCCTATTGTTCGCGGGCGCATCGGAGCCAGGCCGCGAATAGGCATCGGGAATTGTGCAAGGCTCTGTCGGAAATTCGAGCGAGCATCGCGACTAAGATGTCCGCGTCCGACGGATCGAAGGAACGTTTCAACGGCGAACGGTACCGTTTCTACAGAATACAGTGGCTCGAGAATCTGGAGTCGCGGCTCGGCAGAGAGTTGCATCTCTGGGAGAAAGAGGTCGTTTTGTACCCTCGCGTGTGTCGCGTTTGTTACCGCTTCGACGACAGCATGCCCAGTTGCGCGGCTTGCGGGATGGAGTGTTTCTGTCCGGATCACCGCGAGGAACACGAGAAGTCGTGCAGGGAGTTCCAACTGTTGCAGAGGTGCTTGTACCTGCAGCGCAAGCACGGTTCCGCCGAGCCGAAAATTCCGCGGCGCGGACGAGAGGAAAGCGAGTTCGCGGCGTCCTCGCTTCCGGATGTCGATTTCGACGAGTTGACGCATCGCATCTACGGCGACTGTGCGTATTACCGCGAAATGGACTGCTACACGTACTCGATGTTGTCCCATCTGTGCACGATCCCCTTGACGACGCTGTACGCGATGCAAATCTGCGCCCTCAAATGCCGCAAGAAGTCGGAGCTGCTGGTGCACGTGCTCGGCGCAGAGTTTCAATTCGAGGGCATGAACCTGCACGTCTGGGAGCAGATGTTCCTGCATTTCTTGCCGTACCTGAAGAGGTTCCGGCTGATGCTGGTCGGCCCGGAATTGCAGCTGCCGTGCGGCGTGCCGGTGCAATCGTTGTCGCGGATCAAACTCTGTTCCGAGTGCAAGGCCGCCGACAGGGACGTCGGCATTCGTTTCGTGCCAAAGACGCTCTATCACGAGATTCCACATCTCGAGAAACCCGATGTCATTTGCGCGTTCAATCCCGGTCTCTACAGAAAGACCGGCTTCGCGGGCAAGGACACGTGGCCGGAGACGATACGCGAGTTCGTGAAATCGCAGGCGCCCGTCGTCGTCACCTCGTACACGGCCGACGAGATCTTCTGGGAGATCGAACGCGTGAAGTCCGTCGTCCGCGGCGTCAACGTACTCTTGGAGCCCCGACAAAATCCCTACGCGTCGATTAAGCCTGACCGCAATTTCGTCAGCGACGACACGGATCCGCTGATTTACAAGAATTATTACGTCGCCGTGGTCGCCGGCGGGCCGACCACTTCGTAAATAACAGGCTCTCGACAGGTTTATTTTTCTGAAATGTTTCTTTCCTTTTTTTTATTTTCTACGACACTCTAGCCAAGAGCTGGTTGGATAGAGGACAGCAACGAGTCGCGTTGCATAGGCTTCGGTCGGTGGTGCCGACTCAGTACCGAACCCGAACTCGAAGCGAATTTGTATCGCGACGAATCGAATTCCGTATACGTGTATGTACATATCACAGATGAAAGTGGAGTAAATCTCGCGTTTGTTGTACGGGAGAAGAGAAAAGGCTGCGGCGTCGTTCGCACAGACTCGATCGCGTACAGATAATAATCGAAGATCGCGATCCGGTCGATCCTTCTGTATGAAGCTACCGCGGTCGTTGAAGAGTTTCTATCGGCTGTCTGCGTGCAGCGCGAAGCCTGTTCGATCCCTTAAATAACTTTAACACTCGAAACTGCGACGAGCACAGGTGTAGACGATCGACGAATCGTTGCGCAACTTCGAGCTGACGGCGCGTGCGCGCGGTTCTTGTAATCGATTCCGATAAATAATAGCAATAACGGAGCAATTTGAAGTTCGTAAAGACGTCTCTCGATCGTTACGCCGTCGAATACTGTACGAAATGCGGAGCGTATGTATGACCTGTGTATTTACATTGTCGGGCGAACCGCGGTATGCGTTAGGCTGTGTAATAAATAAGTCCGTTCGCGTTTTCTCTCTCTCTCTCTCTCTCTCTCTCTTTCTCTCTCGTAAGAGAATATAATACCGTAATATAATACCTAATCTATTCTGTCTTAACACGTTCAGTGCAGACAATCAATCGCTAAAATTCTCGCGAAGTCAATGCAATTTACTAGAAAGTTAAAATTTATCATAGTGGATGACATTGGAACTCTCTCGCTTCCGAAACATCTTAGTCAAATTCAGTTTGTTCAAATATATATATATATAAATTTGTTTTCATTATAATATACAGGGTGCCCCAAAAATGTCTCGCAATCCGAAAGTAGGGGATTCCTCAGGCCATTTGAAGCAACTTTTTCCTTAGCGAAAATACGATCCGCGGCTTCGTTTACGAGTTATTAACGAAAAACAGTGACCAATCAGAGGCGAGATCATGTGGCGCGAGACGACCGAGCCAATGAGGGGAACTGAGCTCCGTGCACTCGCTGACCGGGCCGCCGCGCGCCAGCCGAGCTCGCCTCTTATTGGTCAGTGTTTTTCGTTAATAACTCGTAAACGAATCCTAAGAGAAAATTTTTGCAAAGGAAAATGTTGCTTCAAATGACCTCGGGAACCTCCCATTTCCGAATTGCGACACATTTTCGGGACACCCTGTATATATATTACAATGAAAACGAAAAATTTTCAAAATTAGCGTCATGACGCTCAACGTGTTAAAATAGACACTTTCAGCTTTCGTTTCAGCCGAGTCGCATAGAAATCGGCCCGCGAGAACATATCTCAAAATTCACCCTGAACTGACCGCGAACGGACTCGTTACATAACCTAGCAGTACACGGTTCCTCCCTGCGGCGTTTGCTCATCGATCTTACACTTCGATTAAATCGCCTATAAACCGAAACGTTTTCCCGTAATTTTCTGTGTAAAATCGTTCGTCATCGCAGAGCACGCATCGATGCGTGTCGCGTACGCGATCTCGCAGAGCTTTATACAGGCATAAATAACGATAGAACGGCGCGAGCCGAGCGTCCAAGACGAGGAGCGTGAATTATTTACAAACGGAGTACCTTGAGGCTGCTGCACGAAGGAGCAGTTCGCGACGGATGCGTGCGAAATCACGAAACGCGAGCTCGTTCCTCGTCTCGGGAGCCTGGTCGTACAAGTACAAACTAATAATAGAACGTTCGAAGAACGAATGGCACGAGAGGCATCGAACGAAGGTAGAAACGAAGAGAACGAGAGAAAAGAACGGTGTAACGAGAGCGGTTCGAATAAGTATGGTAGTACGCGCGTTCGATGTTGTCGTCGTCGAACAATTAAAACGCGGTCAGGATCGAAAGGACAGCGAACGAGAAAAGGGAGAACGCGAACGAATCCCTGAACACGGCTCCCGAATTGGTTACTTCGTAATAGTAACGATGGTAAGTGTCGTCGCAGTGGGACGGCCAGTTGTCGAAGCACGCCGCGTACGCTACCACGTGAGCGATATAGTTCTGTTCGAAGGTACCGCGGATCAGGTGGGAGTACGGACCTGAAACAATTATTATGGATAAAAGATATTACTAAGGACATGTACAGTACGGTAGAGCGTAGGGTAGACGTCACAATTTCTGCGCCTGTCTCAATCTCCGTGCCCCCGGATTACAAAAAAAAAGGAAAACAAAAGAAAGGAAAAGGAATGTTTTATGTGTGAATTGATGATTATTTATATTTTTTAGTACGTTTACCTATCATATGCGAGATTCAGAGAGAAGCATTACATTGTTCATGTGTTGAAATCGATGATATAGCAGTTCCGACGAGCATAAGTAGCATGTCTTGTGAAGGTTATTTTCCGTATAAATGAATTATTAATGCGATTTACGTCGTACAAAACGTATGTTATGTAGCAGGAGAATCTCATTTAGTACCGACAACGATCAGAAAACGCTGATCATGTATATTTTTATATCTTTAAAATAAATCTAGAAATTAAGGTCAGATTTTAGAACACCTTCGCGTTTCATGGCCCTCTAGTATTAGACTGCGGAATCGAACCTAACCTAGCGTTGTGAAAACGATGTTACGAGAAACGCAAAACAGAAACGTTATTACAAGAAGCATAGTAATTGCTGGAAATATCTATAATGTAGTAACAGGAGGCCCAGAAGTGTGATCGAGGACAGAAATAAGGGCCACAGAAATATTAACAAACACAGAAGTACGGAGCACGGAATTATGCGCAGACCGTCTGAAAGGGCACAGAACTAGAGTCAAAGACACCTCTTTTTATGTCATTAACCCCTTAATGCACAGTCTTTTTTTAAAAGGCCGGCCAAAAAAAATCAATTTTTTTTAATGTAAAGAAAACACAATTTAGAACGTTGTCTTGGCAAGAAAATTACAAAAACTTGAGTATATTGGATATTTATACAATTAGTATGATTTCTAATTTTCAGAATATTACTATTATTATTATTATTATTATTATTATTATTATTATTATTATTATTATTATTATTATTATTATTATTATTATTATTATTATTATTATATTTTATTTTACATTATATTTTAGTAAAATATATATTGAAAAATGAGCGAATCAGAATCTGAATATGAATACGCTGTCGGAAAGCGGCTCACAAGGAAGAGATAAGTCGTAAGCGATAAGTAGAAAAAGGATATATTTTATACTTGAATAAGTAAGTGTTATAGCTTATGTAAATGGTAAATATCAATAACGATTGTTTTTTTTTTGCTTTCGCATTGTTATTTTCAATTCTCGATTGCATGCGAGTGTGAAAAATTATAGCAACGTAAAGTACAACGCCGCTCGAATTATCTCGAGTGTGCACAGTTTGGCCAGTTTAGCGCGCTCGAGTTAACTCCTAATTTCGGTTATGTAGAAAATGTTAGCTTCGGCGAAGCAAAAATTGTCTCAAAGGCACGGAAATTGGGATATCTACCCTGGACAATTTATAAAATATGGGGAAAAAACAATGAAAACACAGCGTTTTGAAAGGATCCTAGGATCCACAGCGTGGATCGTTTTCAAAGGACGGAGCTGAACGGGGTTCAACAAAACGAAGACAAATGAGCCGTTTATTTTGAAAGTGGCATAAGTCACTTTGTTTTTAAGTCGGTCACTTTGTTTTTAAGTCGATATATTTAAGGGTTTGCGTTTTAACACGTTCCAAAATATGGATGCTAACTTTCGAGAACATTTACTTGTATTTGTTATCTCAGGATACTGATATTTTTCTCAGTATAAATAATTTCGTATAAATATGAAAAAAACACCACTTTTCATTACGGTAAAGTGACTTATGCCACTTTCAAAATAAACGGCACAAATCAACATCGGAAATCGGAAGCGGTACGTATGCATTTGCTCGTAACTCACCTGCCGCGTACACTCCGACATCCTCGCCGCCGTGCGTTTCGCTCTCCATGTACATGCCGGCCATTTGGGTGTAGAGAGGCTGGCCGCGTGTCTTATCCTGCTCGGGGTCCCTCCAAGTTTCGTTGACGTTGCTGCTGTCGTTGCGCCTATGATAAAAGAAACCCGGTCCGTTCGCATAGCTAAGCGTTTCGTAGGTCTGGACCACTTTCGCTTTTTTTGGATCGTTGCCAAATCCGAGAATGTCGTTTCCCCTCTGCGGATAGCCGTTCATCGTGAACGAGTGAGAATGATCAGCGGTTACGATGATCAGGGTCTCTTCCAGCGAGACTTGTTGCAGGGCGGCCAGTATAGCCTCCTCGAGCTCCGAGACTTCCCGCAACGCTAATTTCGCGTAGTTGTGATGATGAGCTATGTCTATTTTGCCGCTTTCGACCTACGAAGCAGGAAATGCTGTTCCGATTCCTTCCGTAATTACGATTATTAGGTTATAAATAACTTCCGTTTTTTATCGGATATTTATTTCGCGTTTTTTTTTATTTATTTCATTCGTTTCTTTATTTTATTTATTTCATTCGTTTCTTTATTTTATTTATTTCATTTGTTTCTTTATTTTATTTATTTCGAGTCCTTACCTAGGGTAAGTGTGGGTATTACTGCGGACGCCCCAAATACTGCGGTATTTTATAAAAGTAATAAAATCTATAACATTTTATAGCGTGTAATCTTCTAGAAATGAATCTCATAATTTTTCGTATGTTTAATATTGATAATTTATGACATACAAATAACAGCGATCGCAGTTTTAATTCATTTATTGATTTCTGATATTCGGAAGCTTATGGAAACTTTGACAAAAAATCGACATACAGTGTCAATATCAATCTATCCTCAAATATTCTGTACCAACACAGTATTTGGCGCATAGTTTTTTACTTTGTGTGTACATTACTACGGTGCTTTACTAAGCTGCGTACCTTAACCTATATTTATAACCTTGACATAACCTATACGGTACAATTCTCGATAGAGCTGGTGCGAACACGCTTGATTGTAGAGTACCTATACCTAATTTATAAAGTGCTACAGTGAGGATATCTTGATCGAGGAATTGCAGCTGTGTGTGCACATTTAAAAGGAAATGGATTATGTCAACCTTGATACGCAGTAATCGGAACGTCCGCAGTATTTAGCTCGCAGTAATAGATGCATAATCAAGATAATATATGTACACGTATGGTTTCATTACATAACGCTTTTTAACGAAATTTGTGCTTTCAGAGATCCAATATTTTGAGAAAAGTGAATAGTCAAGTTGAAGAATAACAGGTATGGCTCAAAGTTGTTAATTTATTGGCGGGAAAGGTATTATTTTCTCTATCAAAGTTCCCCTTCATTTAGAAACCGCAGTAATACCCACACTTACCCTATTTAGAAAGCAAAAATATAAAGAAAAAATATTTGTCCCGGTGATTCATGGTCGTTACACAGATTCTAGCTAGTTGCATCGGAAGTTATTTATGACTCGACTTAACAGCAGTACTTACCATCAACAGGAAGCCTTTTTCGTTCTTCCGGAGCAACCGAATGGCCTGCGTGGTCATGTTGGCTAGAGTAGGCACCTGCTCCGTCCTGAGCGCGTGATAAGGAAGATGACTGGGAGCGAAGACACCGAGGATCTTGGACGTGTTCGCGACGTCGAGGGACATCAGTTCCTCCGCGGTGGTCACAACCGCTCCTTCGGGATTACTTCGGGACCATTCCTCCGCCAAATCTCTGCCGTCTTCTCTGACGCACGTGCCCGAATCCGTAGGCAACTGGGGCATCCCCATGTGTTGCGCCCCACCGCCCATCATCACCTTGAACGACGAACGATTAGGTGATTTAGCAAGCTCAAGAAAACAAGAAACTCGGATCTCGAAGAAGCAGGATACTGGGGTCGGTTACCGTGACCAATCGCTTTGTCGTTGGTTTGTTTTCGGGCATAATTAACTTTGTATTTATCGAAGAAGAGACATTAATCCTCGCCGTATCGCGTACGGGCCTTTTTTTGAAAAGAAAAATAGCCGTCTGCCGTTTCTTTATGTTGGAGCAACGACAACGAATGCAGAAACAAATGTAGTAAATTATTATAATATTAATATTATAAATATTAGGTATTCTTCAATATGTAAAAAGATACGGCAAGACAATAGTAATAATAATGATGAGAATAACATCAACACTTTAATTCAGAATGTATCATGGGTTTATCTGGACCCAAACGAGAGGCTGCGTCGCCGAACCGTCGCTACTGCGAGGGTTAAATGTGCTCGTTCTTTTATTTTGTTTATTTTTGAATAAATAATATATAAAGTTAACGATGTCCGAAAGCAAAGCAAAGGCACAGCGAAGTTCGCGAAACGGACGGAATTATGTACCTGGAAATTCTTGCCAGGTTCGTCCTCGACCAGTTGTCTAGCTATATCCTTCACGCATCCCTCGTACTGCTTCGGTATCGAGGAGTCGCACTCCCAGTCGCGGTTGTTGGTATGCGCGTACAGCGAAGCGGGTGTAGCGTGCGTGATACGGGTCGTAGTGACGAACCCTAAAACAAGCGGAAGCGGTTTTCGAAACGATTTTCGGAACAGTTTTCGGCCTCTGAGCCAGACATTCTGTTCATTCTGTCACGCTCGATTGTTATAATCAAACCTGAGGCTCATTCCGGTATTATTTGGTATTTTTGCCGGTACAATATTTCGGTATTTTTATGGACATGGTGGTCGCATGCCAACCCTTTGCACTCGAAGCCATATCAATTGTAAATTTAAATTAAGTTTTCTGACTCATGGTATTCCTATTTTAACGACAAAGTGCACTTTATGCATATGAAATTGAGTCTTGTGACTCATACAACAGTTAGACTTTTAACAATTTTTGTATATCTAAGCTTTGATGTTACAAACATTATCTTGGAACGCGATGGAACAATTTCCGCGGTGTCTCAGAGTCATCACTCGAGTGCACAGGATGAACGAATACCGGTACAATGCCTGAATCTTAAAATATTTCGGTTCCCGGTCTCTGCACTTCGAGCAGAGTTCGATGGCAGCCAGGGCAGTCGTCTCGAGCGCTAGATAGTAAAGTAAACGATGGTATCTAGTCGTTGCCCCGTTGCTCCGTAGTAACGAGCGTTACGCCCTATATAAAACGGAAGGTCGGCTCGTGACCTCCTCCGACGTGTCGTTTTCGCGCTCGTTTCGACAAGGTCTATTCGATACTGATGTTTAACGTTTAAACACCGGTAGTTGACCTTGAGCTGGCCCGGCCAGCGCGGTGCGACGGGACGTGACGGGACGTGTCGGGACGGAACGAGACGAGACAGCGGAGCGTGCGGCGAGCGCTTAGTCGTCGTGAGTCGCGCGAGTCGCGAGTCGGCGAACGAATCGGCAGCGGCAACTAGTCGGCCGCGAATGCACCTTTTATCAACGAATCCATCGCGCTACGGTCTATTCTCGGTCGAGGTCGCGTTCGACTAAACTTGCAAATGACAATCCCGCCGACGAACCGACACGTTCATCCCGAATCATCCTGGTTGTTGCACCCGCGTCCATCGGCGCGCGGCCGCGCGCGTTTCATAAAGCAAGCGTACACGTTCTATATGTACAGTAATGTCTCTCTAATTGACGCTCTCAGATTGTCCACAAAAATGTACAATTTGGGAAGAGGAGATACGATTATTCGAGCCTTGCGGTTTGCTTTTCTAGTTACGAATTGTCAACAATTAGCTCTTATCGTCAACAATTGTCAACAATTTTAGCTCTTAGGCTCCAATAATCGTATCTTCCCAAATTGTCCATTTTTGTGCACAATCTGAGCGTCAGTTAGGGAGACATTACTATATTCCTCGTTGTTCGCACGGTCCGCCGTTGTTCGACGACCGTGGCCCGAGCGGGGAGAGACAGGCCATTTACTGCACTTACCGGTGTCCATGCCAGTCTTTTGCGCCCAATCCGCGACCGTCGTCACTTTGGCCGCCTCGTTCACCGTTCGGTCGCACTGATTGTACGTCGCTTTGCTATCCAAACCGATCACGCTGTAACGGCACTTGACGCCGGAAAATATCGCGGTGGCCGTTCCAGCCGAGTCGGGCACTTGTTTGTCCGTATTGTAGGTCTGCGAACAGAGAACAATCCCCGCTTATCGTGGTTAAGCTAATTGGGGCCCGTCGCTGCGGTATCGAGGTGCCCTCTTATCGTGACGTCGCGCGCGCCGGCACGCACGTACACGCATACACGCATGCATACATACCTTGGCGAAGGCGGTGTTGGGGAACTTTTCGAACACTAGTTTGTATTCCTCGCCGGTCGTGCCCTTCGTTTGACCTTTGAATATACGACCGGCCGTGATCGTAGATATGCCCATGCCGTCGCCGATGAATATCAGAACGTTCTTCGCGCGTCTCTCGTTGTTCCGATAGGCTAGATTCTCTTGTAGATTCTTCTGTCCCTGCTTCAGCCAAAAGGACATGTCTGGAGGGGGGGAACACTGGATTAACGAACGAGCGGCGGAAATTTCAAAAATAGCGAGCGTGAGAGAGAGAGAGAGAGAGAGAGAGAGAGAGAGAAATCTGCGTCGAGTGAAATCGATGTTATTCGCGGTCGTTAAACGGCCGTCAACGACGCTGAACGGTCGTTAACGGTCGTTAACGGTCGTGGCTCGCTGATCGCAAGCAGTCGCCGCGACTCGCGACGTAACGACGAACCTTCGTAATTGGTCGCGTCTCGGGGGAGCGCGCTGGATCCAAGAGATCCCGCCAGGATGCAAACGATTACGGCCAGTCGGTTCATCTTTCCAGAGGCTGCGATTCTGCAAAAAGAACAATACGCGTGTGCGTGTGTGTATGTGCGTGCGTGCGTTTCGGGCGGATCGCGCGCGATCGACGCCGCCGCGTTTTCGCGAGCGCGAGGTGAACGCGCGCGACAAAATTCCAGCCTGATCGGCGATCATCGATTAAGGGCGAACGGTTCGTTGGGAAACAGCTGGAAAACGACACCCGTGCAACGTCCTCGATTCCGGCTCTACTCCCTTTCGCTTTGCTTTCGCGAAGCTGTGGTCCCCGACGAAAACACGGTCGGATCCCGCGCCGGTAACCGTCGACGCTGTGGGCGCACGATCGAGCGAACGAATGGCCGGACGAGACGAGAGAACGAGATGGGAGCGTGAAGGGGACGACGGGAAACCAGGCGACACCCTCGAAAGGGAGAGATTCGGGTCAGTCGGCGAATCAACGAAAACGATCTGACATCGCGCGTAATACGCGTTATATAGGTGTACGCTAATTCAGGGCTCGGAATTAAGCGCACACGGCCCGGTTTACGGGAGGATTTTCGGAGGCTGCTCCGACGAGATGCGCCGCAGAGCGCGTCGATCGTTCGCGCGATCTCTCTCGCGGCAGGTGTCGGCGCAGCCTCCGAAAATGCTGCGCTGTGCGCGTCGCGCGCTGTTAATTCCGAGGCCTGTCCTAATTGTATCACGACGAGCGACGTCGCGCGATGCCATCGAGAGCGCTACCCGTAACGTTGGACGGAACGGCGTGTCGCGGCTCGACGCGCCTCGATGCGCCCCGACGCGCGAAACGCGGCGCTCGGCCACGGGATTTCAAAGTCGTCGCGCGACAGATTTCGGTGCCGCGACGAACGGAGGAGGAGCATGAGCTGCGATTGTAAATTACTGGGCACACGTACCTCTTCCGTGGGTAGCTTGAAATAATCGGTCCGTGAACGTTACGGTGTCAGCTCGGCGTCAGGCACGTGTCTCGGGACGGTGCATTTCTTCGAGGAGCAAATTTGATCGAATTCACAAACGGTTGGAGTAGGTCAAGGAACACCGCGAATCGCCGAACAGGGCGTTCGCGCACGGTGTCGGCTCGCCGCGGATAGACGCTGACGCGGGTGGATACGGACGAACCGTGTGACTGTTAAAGACAATTGATACCGCGCGAGAGACGACACACGATCGGACACGATGCGACGCGACAAGATGCGACCAACGATGGCAAGATCGCCGGAGGACCCGATCGGTTTGATTTTATCTGACCGTTATTGCTCGACCCGGTCGTGGTAACGTATTAACGCTAATACAGCGCCACCGAGCAAGTTTGTCACTTTATATAGCGTTTCAAAGGCCCTGGTAGATTGTGCACGAGGTGGAGAGCGTACAAGGGACATCGAGAGTACGGATTCTCTAGGAGAGGAGCGGTCGGGGGCAGTCCAGAGCGGTCGGGGGCGTTCGAGGGAACAGGGGGGAAATAGGGGGCCCAAGGGGAGAAGGGGAACCCCTCGTGCACTGTTAATCCAGCCGTAATTGAGCAGCTCGATGCCCGCACCATTATGTCTTACGTCCGCGACGAATTAATACGAACGCGGCTCTCGAAGTAGCTGGCGTGGCCGCGAATTCTCTCCTCTCTTTTCTCTTCCCTTATCTCTAGCTTCCCTCTTCCTCTTCCTTTTTCCTTCTTTCTCTTTTCTATTTCTTCCCTTTCCCTGTTTTTCTCTTCTTCATTCTTTCCCATTTCCCTCTCTTCTCTTTTCTCTTTCTTCTCTTTTCTCTTGCTTCTTTCTTCCTTCACTTTTTCTTTTTTCTCCTCTCTTTTATCTTATCTCTTCCTTCCATCTCCCTTCCCTTCTGTTTTCTCTCCTTTTTCCTCTTCCAATTTTTCTCTTTTCTATTTTTTCTTCTCTTTTATCTTCCTTCTCTTTTCTTTATTTCTCTTCTCTTTCATCTTCTCTTCTCTTTCACCTTCTCTTTTCTCCTCTCTTTTCTCTTTTTCCTTTTTTTTCTCTTTTCTCTTTTTCGTTTTTTTCTCTTTTCTCTTTTTTCTTCTCTTCTCTTTTCTCTTTCCTCTGTTTTCTTTTTTTTTCTCTTCTCTTTTCCCATTTTTCTTTTCTCTTTTCCCTGTTTTCTTTTCTTCTCTTTTCTCTTCTCTTCTTTTTTCTCTTTTTTCCTCTCTCCTCTTTTCTTTTCTCTAGCCTCTTCCTCCTCTTCTTCAGCTCTCTCCACGTCCCCTTCCCCTCCCCCGCCTAGTCATGCGAGCACCGATTTCAGAATCCCTTTAACTTCCCCCGAGATTCTCCTCCTCCTCCTCCATCTTTCCTCCACATAATCCTACGCAGTATCATTTTCTCAGAATTCGGATCTCGTTGTAACGAACGCGAATCGGCGACCAATATTTTCCCCGCGCAATTATCTCATCCGAATCGTTCGGAGACGAGACGACTATGTCGCGAGACGTTACCAGACGTGTTTCGCAGCTGTTTCGCAGCTTTCAAAAGATATATTCAGTTTATACGAAGCGCCGATTGGCCGTGAATTGCGAATTTCTTGTAAAAATCGATCATCCGCTCGGGGGAGGGGCGGCGAGAGGAAGGGAGAGAAGGGAGAGAAAACCGACCTCGATAAAAATCATGGTTACGATATTCTTTGTATTCGTTGTTGCGTTTCTCTACCACGCTCCGTTCACGCGTCGCGACGACGGACTTAGTCGTTGGATGTATCGTATCGTATCGTATCGTATCGTATCGAGCCGAATATTGGTATCATATCGTACTGGATGTTATCGGATCGATTCGAATTGAAAACAGCGCAATCGACGGGATCGCGCGACGACAGGGAGGAAATTTGGCGCGACCAATGGCGCGGTCGGATTTGCTCCGTGCACGGAGAGGTGAGGCAGAAGCTCGGCCCCCGATTGGCGGAAGATATCGGCGCGGCATTGCTTCGCCCGTCTCAGCTTCACGCTCCACGCTCCTTGCTCCACGCTGCACGCTCCGTGCCACCGCGGCCCACGATTCACGCTCCGCTCCGCTCCGGTCCTCCATGCTCCGGCCACGTGTTGACTTATTACGTTATTGCTGGCTTTCTTTTCTTGTCTCTATGCCAACGAATTAACGTATCTTCTTATGGTAGCTGCGTGATTGCCGCCGACGAAGATCCGTTTGCGCCGAAACAACATCGTAATCGCCGGCGTATCGCGATAATGATCGAGCATTGTGTCCGATACGCTTCAACAATATTTCTTTCTTTTTCTTTTTCTTTCTTTCTTTTTTTTCTGTCCCGAATCACTTCTTCGTATCTATCGGTTCGATTCGATTGGAGTGTCGTTTCCATGGCTGCTATCGCTTTCGCGAATAAAAAGCCTTTCGCCGGTCCTTTGTTGTCGCCTGATAAGCTACGCAACACGTATCGATTGAAATTCGTTGAAATTCTCGGCGAGCGGATTTGCGCGCAGAAACGCTATCGGATTTTGCGACACAGGTCTGTCTGATCTATCATTTTGTTGATCTCGACGAGCAGAATAATCACGGATCGATCTCCGTTTGATTTGCAATTGATTTATCCGGCAATGAGAGCAGGATTAGGAGCGGTTTCAGGGGCAAGTTGAGAAACCTGTCGGATCGTTTGCAATCGTCGAGCGAAAGCGTTTGCGACGGAAACGGTGACGCGGACGGCTTTTACACGGACAATGTAGATTGGGGATCGTTCGGCGATTATTTGCCAGGTTCGACTGGCTTTGTTGCTAATTGTATTGTTAATTTTGTATTCAGGGTGGACCACGGAACGTGATCAGCTTTATTTATTCTACAGTTAGTGGTTCGAAATTGGAAATTCTTCGTGCTGAAACAACATTGTTTAAGCAGAGCTTCAAGATGATTGTGCTAAATTGTTTGTCTACTCTTTTTAGCCGGAGTTGTCAAGATCACCTTCAGTTTGTCATAGGTTGACCTATAATGTTTTTGAACCTATCTTTTGGGGGATGCTGAGACGAATTCGGCAAGCACCATAACATATAGATTTTACCGAATTTATATGAAGAAAAATTGTAGGTTTTCCTGTAAAAAACCGTGATAACTCCGGAAAAAAATTTCCGATCAAGCCACAGAATAAATTAAACTGATCACGTTCTGTGGTCCACGCTTTGTATATGACCTTAGGATACATAAATTTAACAATTAAATCATATATAAGCAAATCAAGTAAGGAGAAGATAATAAAAAGAAATAAAATAAAATAATAATTAATAAAAAGAATAATAAAATAATAATAACACAAAAATAAAACGATAATATAATGAGAAAAATGTTGATTAGTCCTGACTAAAGCGACAAGACATGTAATACGTTGCGCCATTGATCTATGTTAGTGATGATCCTATTGATGCAATTCGGTTGGCCATAAAGGGTACCAGAAAATTCGTTTACTGAAAAGGGCACTGATTTCGGGACTGTCCACATATCCATTTAATGTTCTATATAATGTATATATTTTCTATATAATATACATATATATATATATATATATATAATAACAAAAATAACAAGTGTAGTGACGCACGCGCCTGTCTTTCTGTGATATCAAATTTAAATGACTCAGAATTGGCGAATTTTTCATGATTGTCAAAAGACATTTAGTTAGCAGACACTAGAGCAATTTGGCGTAAAAATTTATGCTGGATGCGCTATATGCTAATTATCAGATAGTGTTGACACAGCAATCAAGCGTTCGAGCAATACTCGAGAGATATCGTCTGATCAGAGAACAATAGAAGAGCTTTAAGGTGTTAATATCTTTTTTAGGATTCAGCCGCTTTAAAAGCAGAGGCAAGGGTCTCGGATAGCGACATATAATTTTGATACGTGGATACCAATAATTTTGACACTTTTTACGGGACATTTCAATTTGTTAAGAAAAATAGCGATAATATATTATTCGCTCTGAAACGCTGATTCGCTGATTCTGTATCAACACTTTAACGGCCGCGCTAAAAACCTCAAGAGTTTCATCAAATTAAAGTATTTAACTCAACTGAATTAAAATTGCGAAACGAAGTCATATGACATCAGTTACCTTTTTTTAGCATTCTTATCTCTTGCGAATCTTAATCGAATTGAGAAATTAGAATGGATTAGCGCGCGTGAAAATGAATTTCTAAATAATTCTGTAAGTCGCATATCAGTGACGCGGCAGTCAAAGTGTTAATGTTAGCTTTTTATTTTTTCTTTATTGTAAAAAAATGAGTTTTTAGCCGTACGTACAAATAAATAAATGAATAAATAAATTTAGATGATACGAGTGGAAAAAGTGGGGTCAGATGAGAATATCACACCGAGGTGTCAATTCGAAGGTAATCGAAAAAAATAATCGAGTAATACGATCGAGATCGATGGAATCGTTTTATTTTTGTACTTTTCATCGGTTCGTTGAAACGTTCGAACGTCGTACGATCGCTGATTCGTTTTCCGAATAACGTGACGTTCAAGCCTCCTCGAATTCGCATTGACAGGGCCCACGGTCGTACCAGCGATGACTGTACCTCGGTATACACTTATGTATATGTACATGCTACGCGAACACGAACGATCGCGGCTGTGCTGGTGCGTATAATAGAAAAAAAGGGGTGACGGTTTGATACACGCGTGCGCACGTATCTGTACACGCGAATCATAAATACGCACACGCTTGCACTCATAATGCATACGGGAATCGTACCCGTTCCAACGTGCTATTAGAGAATTACAGTAAATTCTCCTTAATTGACGCTCAGATTGTACACAAAAATGGACAATTTCGAAAGAGGAGACGCGTTTATTCGAGCCTTGCGATCCGTTTTTATATTTACCGATTGTCAAGAACTATTAAAAACGGGTCGCGAGGCAGAAATAGTCGTTCCGTAAATTCTCTCGAATTTTCCTTCAGCTTGCGAACAAAAATGGACAATTTGGGAAGAGGAGACGCGATTATTCGAGCCTTGCGACCCGATTTTATATTTACTGATTGTCAACAACTATAAAAAAACGGGCCGCAAGGCTGAAATAATCGATCCGTAAATTCTCTCGAATTTTCCTTCAGCTTGCGAACAAAAATGGACAATTTTGGAAGGGAAGACGCGATTATTCGAGCCTTGCGGCCCGTTTTTATATTTACTGATTGTCAACAACTATAAAAAAACGGGCCACAAAGCAAAAATAGTCGTTCGGTAAATTCTCTCGAATTTTCCATCAACTTGCGAACAAGAATGGACAATTTCGAAAAGGGAGGCGCGATTAATCGAGCCTTGCGGCCCGTTTTTACATTTACCGATTGTCAACAATTATAAAAAACGGGCCCTAAGGCTGATTATAATCGTTCCGTAAATTCTCTCGAATTTTCCATCAACTTGCGAACAAGAATGGACAATTTCGAAAAGGGAGGCGCGATTAATCGAGCCTTGCGGCCCGTTTTTACATTTACCGATTGTCAACATTTATAAAAAACGGGCCGCAAGGCTGATATAATCGTTCCGTAAATTCTCTCGAATTTTCCACCAACTTGCGAACAAGAATGGACAATTTCGAAAAGGGAGGCGCGATTAATCGAGCCTTGCGGCCCGTTTTTATATTTACCGATTTTCAACAACTATTAAAAAAAACGGGTCGCAAGGCTGAAAGAGTCGTTCCGTAAATTCTCTCGAATTTTCCTTCAGCTTGCGAACAAAAATGAACAATTTCAGAAGAACAGATACGATTTTATCCGAGCCGTGCATCTCGTTTTCATAATCGTTGACAATCTGTAAAAACGAGCCGCAAGGCTCGATCAATTGTGTCGCCTCTTCTCGAATTGTGCAAAATCAGAGCATCGATCGGAGAGATTATTTACTGTACTCCGAAGTATGTAGTTCTCTTACGCGGTGCTCGAATCTGTTTCGAAATGAAAAAAAAGAACGTGGTATTTCCACGTTTCAAGATCGAGATCGGACGCGATGTGACGCGATAGGATGGGAGATGGCACGTGACGCAACGACTACAATTCAGCTTTTAGCCGAGTGATCGCGTGCCAATGAGCGAGAGATCGAATCTCTTCGATAAGGGAACACGAATCGCGGTGCGCGAGACTTGGAACTTTGTTCGACGCGAGAAATCCGACGAGGAACAGAGCAGCTTGTGGGGAGCGGGGGGGCTACGGGAGTTGTCTTCCTTATCGTTGATATCGCGGCGTTTACGCGCACTCGAATCGCTATCGGGTCCGGCGATTCTTTTCTAATATACACGTGTAGGCACACGCGTACAATAGCTAAGAAATCCTCTCTTGTAAAGGAAACAGCCTTCCGGATAAAGATAAAGATCCCGCGATGCGATAGCGGCGATGTCGATTCCTCGGCTGGCGAAGGTAATTCTCGTTTCTATCGTACGTTTTGTCCGTTTGCTCGGTAAACCAGAGATTCCGTCGAATTTGCGTAAATAATCCTCCGTGATTAAACCGTGACATGTACGGAGAGATAAGGCGAAGATCACGTGAATCCGGCGGCATCGACGTTGGCCGGTTTCGACGGCCGTCCAGAGAGTAGAAATCGGAGGAGCCGAGAACGCGGCGGCCACTGCTACCACCAGCCTCTTCGAAGTTCCATGTTTCCTTGTTTACGTAGAACTTGAGCTACCGTCGAATATCGTTGCGCGTTATCCCGCGCGTTGTTTCCCCGAGCTATCAGCCGGGAATGAAACACACACGAATAACTAGAGTCTGTCACACTGCAGTATGCGAAGGTCCAGTTTCGGGTGGCACTGAAGGCAATTGTGTTTCAAAGGTCACGCCACAACGGTTCGTTTCCGATTCAGATTTAAGCTTAGTTTCTCTGCGTCAGGTTCTCTAATTATCTTTTCGATGTGTCACCGTGTACGGAGCTGGGTAAAGTAGTATTTTAAACGGCAATATTTTAAATTTAATATTTTAGATAGTAAATAGATATTTTTATTCATAGATCGTGCTTGTATTTTTGACGATATTTTAGTTGTTCGAGAGAATGTACTTTGAAATATATGGAAATATTTTATTCGTTGTAACAAATTTTTCGGATAATATTTCATATAGTTATTTCATTTTGAGAAACACTGAAAATATTTATGCCGTAGTTCGGAATATTTTATTTATTTATTTTGTTAGCAACAGATAAAATAATTTTATTTTACTAAATCGTGGCGCAAAATTTATTATTGCGATCTATAACGAACGATCTCTGCATACGTAAAAGATGCACTTTTGTCAGCTGTATTTAAAAGGACAATGAATTTCATTTGTTCTTATGTCTTAGATTATCGAAATAAAATATTTCTTTTCATGTCGTTACTTTAGATTACTAAGATAAACTATTTTATTTTACGTTCTACGGTTATCAGAATAAAATATTTGTTCCACGCTTTAAATGTGGATTATCGAAATAAGATATTTTATCTGAAATTTTATGTCCGACTCGAAGTACCATTTCATTCGAATTGCGAAAAATCTATTATTTAAAGTATCAATATAATAATATATATATAATATATACATACAATAATAAATATTATAAATATAATAAAAATATTTATTTTACGTTTTACATTATCAGAATAAAATATTTGTTCCACGCTTTAAATGTGTACTATCGAAATAAGATATTTTATCTACTGAAATTTTATGTCCGACTCGAAGTACCATTTTATTCGAATTGCGAAAAATCTATTATTTAAAATATCAATATAATAATATAATATATACATACAATAATAAATATTATAAATATAATAAAAAAATTAATATAAATATTACATAATCTATTATTTCAAATATTTTCTCAATAGAAGAATCCTTAATCTTCATCTCATTGTAACTGAAACCTGAACTTATCCTATCTATTAGCAGCGTCTCTTTAATCTTTAATGTTTACATTCCACTCCGAATTAATAGGTTATCTCGTCCAAATAGAGTAAATAAATAAAGCAATAAATTTTCAAGATCGAACAAACGACTGTAGCATTTCGAAGCATCAACGAATGAACGATTATCTCGTTTGCTCGCGTTACTGCTTCGTTTACTCGTAAAACAGAGATTCGGTCCATCAAGGCACTACAATCGACGAGTGTTATTAGGAATATTCGTGATATTAGGACTATTACGAGTATTGCGGGGATTGCGTTGATTACGAGGCAAACACTGGCTGTCGATTGTACGGCCGGCGTGACATTCCGTTTTCTAACCGCGTTTCATCGTTTACTTTAAGCATTTATTATCTTTGCTGCGCTTTGGCACGCATTACACGGGGTCCTGCAATAGAACCGCGACTCCTCTGTAAACAAACTGAAAGAGGCTGAAGATACACCGGCTGTCCGCGCGATTCCAGAGCACCCAGAATCAGTTGTACATATGTATAGTTTTAGGCATATCATGGAAATTCCAGTTGACGAATAGGACGAATATCGGGGCTTCCGAAAATTGAAAATTGAAAATTGAAAACTGAAAACTGAAAACTGGAAACTGAGAACTGAGAACTGAAAACTAAAAATTGAAAACTGGAAACTGAAAACTGAAAACTGAAAATTGAAAATTGAAAACTGGAAACTGAAAACTGAAAACTGAAAACTGAAAATTGAAAATTGAAAACTGAAAACTGAAAACTGAAAATTGATAATTGAAAACTGGAAACTGAAAACTGAAAACTGAAAATTGAAAACTGAAAACTGAAAATTGAAAACTGAAAACTGAAAATTGGAAATTGAAAACTGAAAACTGAAAACTGAAAACTGAAAACTGAAAACTGAAAACTAAAAATTGAGAACTGAGAACTGAAAACTGAAAACTGAAAACTGAAAACTGAAAATTGGAAACTGAAAACTGAAAACTGAAAATTGGAAACTGAAAACTGAAAACTGAAAATTGGAAATTAAAAATTGAGTGTTGAGAAAATTGAAAAACAGAAGATATCGACGTTTAGGCCAGGTCGTGGTAATACAGTAAATTCTCCCCAATTATCCTTAAGCTTAAAAACAAAAATGGACAATTTAGGAAGAGGAGATACAATTATTCGATCCTTGCGGTTTATTTTTATAGTCACGAATTGCCAACAACTATAAAAACGAGCTGCAAGGCTCGAATAATCGTATCTCCTCTTTCTAAATTCTCCATTTTCGTGCACGATCTGAGCGTCAATTAGGGAGACATTACTGTATACCAATATCTCTACGGATAGGCGACGTAACTTGCGCGCACAGGAAACCTAAGCGAATCGAAATAGCAAAAGGATAAAGCACGTGTAGAGTGACGCGCCTTTCAGCACAGCGCAGCATCGAGGTAACGTCTCCTGCAGCGTCGCGCGTCCTTATCGCTAAACTGCGGATTTTATGCATTTATGCGAGCATTGAGTAGCTTTAATTCGAAACGATAAAACGCTTAAAAGAATTCAAACATGTCAATGTATTATCTTTAATTTATTAACATCATTAAAGAAGGAACCTGCTATTTAATTCTCATTTCTTGCAATTAATGATGACAATTTGTTTTTTTAAATAAAAATCTGCAGTCTACTTGTCACGCTGCACGCACCATGCACCGCATCGATCTGCGTTGCGCCGAATCGCACCGAATCCCGGCGTCGTCGCGGCGGCGTCAGAACTTTGAGGGGATCGAAATTACGGGACCACGGACAGACCGCGAGTAGACCGCGAGTTCGCGAGGAGCAGAGTGCACGATTCAACGACGCTATCGAAAATGAAACAAAGGACAAGGCATTGTCAAATGCAGCCCCAATGTGCGATTCCCGGGAAACGTTTCGGCGGGTGCGGAACGCGCGAGACACGCTACGCCGAAGAACACGACGCGTCGCGACGCGCCAATCACGACGAGCACGCGACAGAGAGTCAAAATCACTTACCTGCTGCACCGAAGGAATGTCAGAAGCCGGAAGTAGGCGTTGGCAAATCGATGTTCGACGATCGTCAGCAAGATCGTCGTCCGTAGAATGAAAAGCAAGTTCCTTCGAACGGCCGACTGTGTTCACTTGTTTTGCGGTGTTATCATTGTTCTGTCACGTCGCGGGCTGGCTGCTGCGTAATTTGACATAAACGCATTGCAACGGTGCGCTATCGATCTTATTCTACTTGCATATGTTTCATTATTCCGAGTCCCAAGGCTCTCGACTTTCGACACGCGCAGAAAAACGAGCAACGCGGCCCGATACGTCCTCGGGCGCATCGATAAAAATGACAAGAAAACGGTACTGTCTTTCTGTAACGTGTCTTTATATACTTTGTAGTTTCTCGCGGCACCGGCCGGCCGAGTTACAGGACATTCGACCGGATTACGCGGATAACAATGAACAAATTACACGCATGAACGAGGTAAGTCGTGTCGATTACAGTTGCAAATTGCGCGTTGCAAGATGCAGATTGTGCGAGTCGCGAGTTGCAACCGCACGGTTAAAACGAGGAAACCGGTGGTAACATCCGCGCGGAGATCAGGGTCGCGAAACGATTTCCTCTCCTTTCGAGGTAAACGTCGAACCACGCGCGTGTTCGAAAGGGGCGAAGAAATCGCGCCGGGACACACGAAACGAAAACTCGAAGAGTAAAGAGCGAGTTCGCCACCGATTCCGACATAAAATACTTTTCGAAACATAGTCCGTAACGTTCTCGTACATGTAAGTATGATTGTACGCTTGTACACTTGTACACGTCTACTTACGCCTACTTATATGCCTACTTACATGTCTACGTGCGCGTGCTCGCGCGTACAATTTGAACGCGGGCACTCGCTATGCCGTCTGCGAATACATTTGTTCCTTGTTGGAATGCCTCTCCTTTACTAACGTTTCACGCGTTTCCTATCGCCTCCTTGTTTCTCGCATCGCCGGCCAGCTTTCTCCACGTTTTGCAGCTACCGTTCCGCGCAACGACGAATACAAATCTGACTCTCTTGAACATCTCAAGAGCTCGTGGCACGCGTTTCACGAGATTCGGGACACACGGATGATCTCCGCGACTCGTCCGAGAAGAGGCGGGAATTAAGAAACGAATGCTTGTCCGTATTTATCGATCCCGATCGCGACAATCGCGCGTTGTTTCGGTCTCTCTCGCTTGAAAATCTCGGCGAAGGAAAGCGAGAGCACCGAAACCGATCGACGAAGGACAAGAAAACTACGAAACCGTATGGCGACAACGTGCGAACGAACGTTGAAACAGATACGAGAGAGGTACCTGCACGCGCACAGGCCTCTCTCAGCGACGAGACTCGTGTTCTCGGTCAAAACGATTCGTAAAACATGAAGATATACATATACATATATATATATATATATATATATATATTCTTCTATTTACTGTAATAGTTGATAGCGAACGAACTCGTCTCCAAAGCGAAATACATAGTCTCACGAGTATTCTCGACGAAACGAAACGAGACGAGACAGTGTTTGGTCCGACAGATACGCGTGTGCATTTCCCTCGAGGTACACGCGACCCGCGCGAGTACTCGTGCCGGAAAATTTCGTTGTTGCCGTTGCGCGAGGTCCGCGAGTAATTTCTGATCGCGAAACGATCCTGGAGTTCGACGGCCATGCCGCCGCGCGACGCTCGGAGACGGGGGAAACCGCAGCGTTTCCCACCGGGTTCGCAGAGATGGGTCAAATGTAAGAATAATCACCTTAGGAATCAGGGTCGTCGATGAGAGCTAAACGGTCGAAAGATTGGTACTCGTTTCCTTAACGTCTTGTACGTAACGGCCAGCCGTTAGAAGACTAAAAGGGACAGGGCGAAAGCAGAAGAAAAGAGAAGGAGAGGAAAGAAGAAAAGAACGAAAACGAGAGAGAGAGAGAGAGAGAGAGAGAGAGAGAGAGACAGAGAGAAATAGAAGTTCATGGTAACGTTCATGGTAACATTCGTGGTAAATGGTGTTCATGGTGGGACGATCTTGTGGCAACCGATCCGTAAAATACGAGCTGATTCTTGTGTTCGAGGAAGAAGCAGATCACGAGTTACGAACGACACGATGCCGCCGGGCGAGCGCGATTATCGTTTTTCCCTTGTCGCATTTCGCTTTATGCTTATTGCTTTTCGCTTTTTGCTTTTCGCTTTCCGCCTTTCGCTTTCCGCTTTCCGCCTTTCGCTTTTCGCTTTTCCCTTTTCCCGTTTCGCTACGCGACGATGTCCATGTCGGAGGAAGAATTGGGCGTGGTCGAGGCCAAACTGCCGAGGGTATCTTCGTCCGGCAGGCCGTGCTGGCATCCCGAAGCTGGCGGACTCAGAGGAGCAAGAAGCGGCGAGGACAGCATCGGGTCGCCGCTGTGGATCGGGCCGCTCGCGTCGTCCTCCATCAGGTCTTCGAGCTGCGACATGCTCAAACTCGTAGCCTCTTCCGCGACGAGATCCGGAATCTGTCGAATAAGCAATGTCCATTCGTTCAAGTCACCACGAATCCAATGAAGAAGCAACCGGTAAAGGTACAGAGTCTATATTATAGATTAGGGCTCGGAATTAAGTACGCACAACATGGCGATGTCGTGGGCTACGCCTCCTGACACGCGTCGCAACGTCTCGTCCCCTCCCCCCTCCATCGTGGACGCATATTACGGCTCGGAGCACATCGAGCGTACCTGTTGCTTTATGTGTGCGCGGGCAGCATTTAGGCGACCACGGGTGAGCGAGGCGCGCGGCGGGAGTCAGGAGGCGTAGCCCTCGACATCGCCGTGTTGCGTGCACTTAATTCCGAGCCCTGCTGTAGACTGTACAGGGTGTCCTAAAATTATTGCACAAGCGGGAGATGAGAGTTATTAACCAAAAAGCAGTGACCAATGAGAGGCAAGATTAGCTGGCGCGAAACGGCCGAGCCAATGAGCAGAACTGGGCTTCGACCGTTCATTGCCTCGCGCCAGCTGATCTCGCCTCTCATTGGTCACTGCTTTTTGGTTAATAACTCGTAAACGAAGCCGCGGATTGCATTTTCGCTGAGGAAAAAGTTACTTCAAATAATCTCAGGAACCCCTTATTTCTCGCTCTGTAGTTCATAAGCTACATTCCATAGGCTGTAGATAATAGGCTGGTTCCGAACAAGGAAAATATTAAAACGTGTTACGATTTGTAGCAGTCGAACTTCAGCGATCCTTGTTAAGACCGTCGAGAATAGAAAGCCGAACGAGGAAGGACAGCGAGAAAAAGAATGGTAGGTAGGAACCGACAAAGCAAGAACAGCCTGCGGCAACGGCAATGGCGTCAAAGGACAGGTACTAGTTTCGAATTGGTCTCGGCATCGGAAAAAGTTTCATGGCGGAAAGCAGGAGGAAAGTAAGGATTTCGGATGCCACTTGGCCACTTCCGTAAACTTAAACTATTTAGAGGATATAAAGGGACGAGGACAGAAAGAAAGAGAGAGAAAGAGAGAGGTATGAACGATGATAGAAAATGCGAAAAGAATACGCGCGTTCAAATGCAGTCCACGCAGTGCAAAACAGTAGATGCAGCATGCAAGCAGATTCGAGAGGACGCGAGGACGGGCATGCGAACGATTTGGTAAGCCCGTAGGAACGGATAGAGCGGTTATGAAACTAGAAGCGGCTGCGATGCGGACGGTTATTCGGATCAAGGATCGTGAAACGATCGGCGTTGTCCGGCGCGACCTTGAAAAATTGAAACTCGGTTCGGTCGCCGCGCGGTGATCGGCGGCGATCGGTGAACGGCGAACGTGCAAGCGTACCTTGCGATGCTCGAGCTTGCTCCGCGAGAAGGCGTTCAGCACACTGCTGGAAGTCGAAGCCCAATTGAAGTCGGAGACCGGTAATCCGTGGGCCTTCGCCTGAAGCTCCAGTTCCTGCACTCGTAAGAGCAGCCGACGATTCTGGTGCTCCAGCTGCTTGTGCCTGAGCTCGTGCTGCTTCATTCTCGTCACCTCGTTCTTCAGAAGCTTTATGTACTCGACCGACGACTTCAGGATCGTACCTTTGTTCGGCCTGACGTCGCGAACGATCTCGTAATATCTGAAACGTGACCGGGAACGGATGAAATTATTACGAGGTCTTTCCGCGCCGGATACACAGCATACGAACAATTCCATGTGTATATATATATAGCTTACGGATCGTTGGTTTTCGGCAGAAGGGTGCCGAGCTCTTTGATCCTGTCGTTGATGTTGAAACGTCGTCGCCTCTCAACTGCAGCCGAAATTGAAAACAAAAAACAGGTTTCTCAGTCTCGCAGTTTCTTCGATCCGCCGTAGAAGTCCCGAACGGGATTCGCGCGGGACACGTAACTTACTCATATTATGATTGTCTTTCTTTTGTCGATCCTTCGCGAGCGCATGGATTTCCGCCTCGGTGAGCAACAACGGCTCCGGTTTGATTTGCAGCTCCGGGATACTCGACAGGCTTCCTGGTTGGCCGTCCTTTAAGCTGTCGCCCAGCGATCCGCCCTCGAACGACAGGATATCGTCGAGCAGATCCTCCGTCTGTAATCGCATCGTTACAATGCCGCGGTTCGATCAATTAATTGTTCGAGCAACGATGAACAAAACATATAACCGGCGGCGCTGCTTTCGATTCTACGGTTACTGTTCGACCGGCTTCGCGTAACGAAATTTACCTAGGATGTAACGAACGGTATTGGACGTCGAGGCGTGGCCTACGGCTATGGCAACGAGTTCGATTCGCGATAGACCCTGTATCGATTTCGGTCAGCGATCGAGTATAATATATTCCCGACACTTAATATATATAATTTATTTATAATAATTCCTGATTTAATATATATATATATATATATATATATAATTTATATATAATAATTCCCGATTTAATATAAATAATTTATATATAATAATTCCCGATTTAATATATATAATTTATATATATAATAATTCCCGATTTAATATAAAAAATTTATATATAATAATATCCGATTTAATATAAATAATTTATATATAATAATTTACGATTTAATATATATATATATATATATATAATTCATATATAAGAATTCCCGATTTAATATATATAATTTATATATAATAATTCCCGATTTAATATATATAATTTATATACAATAATTGCCGATTTAATATATATAACATATTCCTCGCGTTCGCGATGACGAACGTTCTCCGATGGACCGTTCCATTGTATTTTTCCTTGCCGAACCGAGAATTTGTTACGAAACGAGGGAAACGGACAGCGAGGACACGTCATGGGAAGAGAGAGCGAGAGAGCGACTGCGCGAATGAGATATAAAACGGAAAAGAAGAGTATATCGGAGGATGAGGAACCGAACAGACCCACGCGGGGAAATACAGAGCAGGATCGCGAGCGCGCCCGCGCGCTATGAATACAGCGGTTATGGCTGTTCGGTTGCGTACGTGTATGTTACGTAAACATTACGTAACAATAATAACTGACGCTCGTCCATGGAAGAATATGTCGATGCAGAACCATAGCGAAGACAACTGGCAGTACAGGGGCACGAAAACCGAGCGAGCAGTTGGGTAGGGACCGCGAAACCGCCATACGGATAGACCGAGAGAGGGATCGAGTGATCGGTAGAGGGATCAAGAAAGAGAGAGAGAGAGAGAGAGAGAGAGAGAGAGAGAGAGAGGAACGAAGCGAGAGAAAGGCGCAAGCCCGCAGTGAACGCGAAATTAATAATCGAATTAGTAGTCGTTATCGTCGCCTCGAGACTGTATTATCGTGTTTCACAAATAGAGAGCATCGTTGATGTTACTAATTGAAATCGTTATCTGCACACGCACTTCCGTCGGCGAATCGTGGAACGATGGTATCTGGATCCCGTTACATCAACGATCCCGAGCTTCCAGGTGTTCTAAATAACGTCGGGTCGGTATGTTTCGCGGTCGAGGAGACACGGAAAGAGGCGGGAGAAGAAGAAGAAGATGTTTGCGTAATCTGACCGAGATTATCGCGAACGGGGTGAAAATCGCGGTGCAGGATCCGCGTAAATGGGAACGTGCAAACGCCGGTATTCGAGTTTGTTCGTTATCGGGTCCGGTACACAGTGCAGACGCGGCGAGACGCGACGAGATACGACGGAGTCGCAACGAGACGCGCGGTATTATTGACTCGTAGCGTGGAGGTGGTGCCGGTCGTGCGGTCGTACGGTGAAACGCGGCCGTTATAATATTAAGCAAGAATATTTCTGATTAGCCGACGACGTCGCGGCGATAACGCGTCCCGCGCGTTTAGACGCGACCGCGCACTACCGAGAATGTAACCATGTAATTTGTGCTGAGCAGACTCTGCCCGCGGAACAAGTCCGCGTGCGAACAAGTCGACCAGCTTACCAGCACGCGACGCATCTCGTTGCTCGCGTCGTCGCCGTTTACTTTCCATCGCTTTCGTCACGGAGCTCGCACCCGCGTGGACCCGGCCGCTGCGAAATCCATTTCTGCGGAATTACGTCAGATTCGCCGTCGAGATGTTCATCGCATTTTCATAGATACGCGCCGCTGCCGAAAGAGTCTAGCTTCTTATCTGTTATCTCGCGAAACATTCTCTCCTCCTCCTCCTCTTCTCTCTCTCTCTCTCTGTTTCTCCCCTCGCCGATCGACCGACCGATAGTCGGAGTACACGTTCGAACCACTGTTTCGAAGCTGTGCCAGAATAAATTCTGTCATGATATCTATGCCGATCGATGTCGGATACGGCGGGGTTGTGTGCCCGAATAGTTTCGCGCTCGACATATGAGCCGTTTATTTTGAAAGTGGCATAAGTCACTTTACCGTAATGAAAAGCGGTGATTTTTTTAATGTTTATACGAAATTATTTATACCGAGAAAAATATCAGTATCCCGAGATAACAAATACAAGTAAATCTTGTCGAAAGTTAGCATCCATATTTTTAAACGTGTTAAAACGCAAACCCTCAAATATATCGACTTAAAAACAAAGTGACTTATGCCACTTTCAAAATAAACGGCTCATATTTACGGCGACGAACGTACGCACGGATACACAGGGTGTCCCAAAAATGTCTCGCAAACCGAAAGTGGCGTGTTCCTCAGGTCAGTTGAAGCAACTTTTTCCTTTACAAAAATTTTCTCCGAGCCACCGTTAACGAGTTATTAACGAAAAACAGTGACCAATGAGAGGCGAGCTCACCTGGCGCGAGGCGACCGAGCCAATGAGCGGAACTGGGCGAAACTGGGTCGCCTCGCGTCGAGCTGTACTCGATTCTTATTGGTCGCTGTTTCTCGTTAATAACTCGTTAACGATGCTTCAGAGAACATTTTTGTAAAGAAAGAAGTTGCTTCGAATGATCTGAGGAACCCGCCATATCCAAATTGCGAGACATTTTTGGGACACCCTGTACAGTAACATCTCCTTTACTGACGCTCAGATTGTGCACAGAAATGGACAATTTGGGAAGAGGAGGCACGATTATTCGAGCCTTGCAGCTCGTTCTTATAATCGTTGACAATTCGTGACTATAAAAATAAACCGCAAAGCTCGAACAATTGCATCTCCTCTTCCCAAATTGTCCATTTTTCTGCCCAATCTCAGCGTCAATAAGGGAGACATTACTGTACGTCTTTGCTCGTTGGCGTCTTCGAGTGGCACGCTTCGATATCCGCGGCAGGTCGACAGCAACGACGATAATAACGATAACGATAGCGACGATGATACCGAGCGATACGGGATGTTTGAAGGAAGGCGAAACGGTGGTGATACTGGACCGTTGACTGTATGTTACGCGGTTGCCGGTGGTGGCGGCCGAGGGACCACGGGGATGAACCCGCGAATCGAGCACGATTCGCGGATAAACAAGTTCAGACTCACCTTGCACCTTCGAGTTATTATATTGAATACTGGCATCTTATCGTAGCGGCGGCCTCGGCACCAAAGCGGACGGAAAGGAAAAGAAAATTTGAAACGGTCGCGCGGATCGCGGTCGCGGTCGCGGTCGCGCCCGAGATCGAGCGACGCCGCTGCGACGGGCGTGGGCGTGCGCTCGGTGTTCCGCGAATCGAGCAGTTCTTCCTTCGGAATCGAATGCAACGGGCCCGGTCCGTCGACGGGCCGTGCTCGAACGGTCCGACTGTAACCGCGAAAGGATTGCACCCCGAGCTACACAGTACGTATTCCTTTTCTCCCTCGACGATTTCCACTGGCACCAAAGGTCGACGGGCCGTCGACCGTTTCGTCGATCATCGGCTTTCCCCACTCGAGCGCGTCTGTTCTCGGCCGACGCGCGAATAGCCGCGAGAAACGCGGCGCCGAAAATGCAGTTTCGGTGGCCGATACGAGCGCCGGGAAACGGTGGATCCAAGCGATCGAATCGATCGCAGCTACCGAAGCCCCGAATAAGCTTGCGAGATTAGCGAAAGCGACCATATCACGCTCGAGAAATCGACCGCTGTCCCGTTACGACGACGCCGACGATAACGTCAACGGCAACGATAATGTCAACGGCAACGACCTCCGCCGATGGACCAGGGTGTATCGCGGGATCGCGGCAAGGACGCGGGCACGGCCGCGGCCGCAGGCACGGCTCGAAACGTGGAGACGCGGGGACGTCGAGACGGACGCGCCGCGAACGGAAGCGAGAGAGAAATACGGGAACAGGAACGGCGAACGGGAATCGCAACGGCGCGGCGACGTCGACGCTCGTGCGAGTAACAAGCGCATCTTTTCGCGCGAACGAATCGTCGATGCGACGACGCCGGATCGCGACAACCTTGCGATTTCTTCTCGTACCGCTGCCGAGTCGCGACTCGGCTACCTACGATTAAGCACCTCAAGGTTGCGGTTACCCAATATCGTATCTGCCGATCTCCTCGGGGCGTGGAGCGTGGAGGGAGAACGCGCTAAACGGCCGAGGAGTCTTGCACGGAGCAAGTACGAGCAAGAAACGGACCGACACCGGTCACAAGGATAAAGATGCTGCGGCAGAACCGTTCGATCATGTTCGATCCTGTTCGATCCTGCTCGATGGTTCCCCTTCCCCTCCCTCCCTCGTTCCCGTTCCGCCGCGAATTCGGCGACAACTGCGTCACGCAATTGTTTCGGATCGATCCGTTTCACGATACAGAGCCGTTATCGTCGCGAGACGGTAGCGATAAGCCGGCATCTCACTGCAAAAATTCCGTTACAGTCTTCTGCTGCTCCATCTCATGGGAAACTAGTTCTCCTCGTCCGGATCGGTCCCGACTGGTTCGCCCGTAACGACCGATCGTCGTCCATGATATCGTGTGGGCCAAGGGTGACACCGTTTTTGCAATCGATTCTTTCACTGTTTCGACGATTCGTATACGAGCACGAACCCTGCTCGAACTTGGTTCGAACGGTGCGCGCGCGCGTGCGCGCCACGCCACGCCACAGGTGTTTATCGCGGTCGTCGGAAAAAACGAGCGAGAAACGAGGAAACGCGGGAGACGGTCGCGTTCGAATTCCCAGAACACCGTGAACACCGAGGACACCGGTAACACCGAGCCGTCGACTGCCGTAGAGCACCGCGATAACCGTACCGGCGATAACAGTTTCGGTAAAATTCCGGGGCGCGTAAATTAGAAGTTTGAGCGTCGATCGGCACGTTTCGGTATTGGTCGCTACTGCTCGAATACTCCGAGCGGGCCACGCGCCACGCGCCACGAGCTGGATGCCCCACGCCCGCTTTCCGCTATCGTCTGTCGACGACCCGCTTCCACCCGCTACCCGTTACCCTTACCCTAGCCCGCTATCCGGCAACCGCTAAACGTCACCGGGATCCCCGCCGCGCGTCGCCCGTCTCGCATCTCGCGTCACGCTTCGAGCGTCAAGCGTACATTCTGTTTATGCTTATCCATCGAAGTCGCGTCGTCGCGTCGTGTCACAGCCACGGGCTCGTCGTCGTCGTCGTCGTCGTCGTCGCGGCCCGACGCGCTGCTGCTCCCGAAACGTCGAATCGCCGTTTCATTTGCTCCATTCTATTCGCGGCGGCGATCTATCCAACGAGCGTGTCCAATTTTTGCGTAACGCGGACGCCAACAATCGATCGGCGAACGTTTCGGACGAATTCTCCGTAGTAATCTCCGGTTTCCTGTCTCCTCTCTCGTCGCCGTTTCGTCGCTCACCGCGCGCGCACGGCTCACACACGCTTCTCACCACGTACGACGTCCTCTCTCGAAATTTCCCTCCCCAAGTTCGGCCGATCAATTTCTCTTTCACCTCCGTCTACATTAGAAATTCTGGCCGCGCGCGGCGTCACGTTCGACGCGAGCCACTACGTACACATGTATTCGGGCATTCGATTGCGATTACGGAGTTGATTTCTCCGAGTCGGTTAACCGGGTTGCACGACGCGATCGCGATATACGGGACGCGTTCAACGACGATCGCCCGTAAACCGCCGATGCTTGGACGGATATCTGCCGGGCTATTGTTCGTCGAATTGTAAATTGTGAACGGCTCGATCGCTTTCGTCGGCTCCTTTGCCATCAGTGGCGAAGTCTTGGTATTTAATTAAATTCTCCTCGATTTTCCTTCAGCTTGTAAGCAAAGAGGATAATTAATCATTAATAATAATTAATAATTGTTGACAATTGGCAACTATGAAAATAAGCTACGAGGCTCGAATAATCCTATCTCCTTCTCCCAAATGGTCCATTTTTGTTTACAAGCTGAAGGAAAATCGCGGAGAATTTACTGTATCGTGCGAGTTAAAATAAAGCGAGTTAAGTAAATTCTCTCAAATTGTCCGTCGGTTCGCAAACAAAAATGAACAATTTGGGAAGAGGAGATACGATTATTTGCGGCTCGTTTTTCTAATAATCTCTAATAATAATCTCTAATAATCTCTCTAATAATCTCTAATAATCTCTAATCTCTAATTCTGAACAATTTTAAAAACGAGCCTTGTTCCCAAACTGTGAATTTTTGTTTACAAGCTGAGGGACAATTTGGGAGAGTTTACTGTATATCGAAACACCCCCGATGGATGTTCCCTTTGTCTTCTGACGCTCGGATCGTTTGGATCGTTTGGATCGTTTGGATCGTTTAGATCGCTCGGGTCGCTAGGATCGCGCGTTCCGTTCGCTCGGCTCGTTCCACGGCCGCGCTCGCGTCTAGCAGACTTGCAAAGAGCAAAGGGAAAACGAGCGGGTAAACGTGGCCTCGATGAAACGCGAAATCTCGCGGATGATTTGCCTTACCTCGGAATTGCTAGTGGCGACACTGGAAAGACCCGGGGACATGCCGCCGGATGTAGGATCCGGGCTGGCCGTAACCGAATTGCCATGCGACAGTACCGCGGCCGCAGCCGCGTGTGGGTGCGCGTGTGGGTGCGGTTGTGATTGCTGTTGCTGTTGTTGTTGTTGCTGTTGCAGCTGCTGTTGATGCTGCTGGTGCTGGTGCTGTTGCTGATGCTGTTGCTGATGTTGTTGCTGATGTTGTTGTTGATGCTGTTGCTGATCCTGTTGCTGTTGCTGCTGCAGTTGCGGCTGCGGGTGCGGATACGATGCCAGATGAGGGTGCTGCGGTTTAGAATGATGCACTGCCGGGCCGGGCGGTGCACTCTGGACAAGCAGTGGCCCGGACGTGGATACAGTCTCGACCGAGTTTTTTCCAAGGACGCTTTCGGTTTCGGCGCAATCGACGGCACCGCCGCGAAACGATTCGTGCAGATACTGTCGAACCTGATTCTTTTGCTTCTGAACGACATGATAACGCGTCGGGTTCTCCAACAGCGTGCGCACCTGTAAACAAAAGCGTTCCGATTTTTATCCCGGCTTTCGTATCGTTATCCGAGGTTCTGTCTTCTCCCGAGCCGTTTCGTTCTACTCCCACCGGGACGAACGTATGTTGTACATTGTATACTGTCGTCGCTCGTGTATACCCGGTTGTTTCGTCGATCGTTTGCCGGACGGTTTTAAAATCGAGTCGTCGAACGAAACGAGAAAGGATCGCCGGGCTATTCTTCTCTCGGGCGTTCCACAACGATTCTCCGCCGCTCGGGCTCGCGTCCGCGCACGCGCACGCGCAGGCGCACCGGCGATCTGACGCGACCGTTATCGGCGGAACGCGACGAAACGTAAAACAAGCGTTCGGATGTGCCTCCGTAACTGTGTGCTTATCTCGTAACGCATATCTTCGTTGATTACTCTTTGGCATAATCAGTATACGTGTATCGGTGATATGTACACTCCGTACGCGTGTATGTACTGTATGTACTGTATGTACTGTATGTATGTATGTGCCTAAATATTGTAACGGCGCGCATGCTTTCGTCACAGAAGGAAGCAAGTGTGTTGAGAGGAGACGCGAGGCAAGAAGTTAGAGCGACGGAGAGATACGGTGGGGGTAGACAGAGGCGGGGATAGAATCAGAGAAAGAGAGACGTACTTGCAAGACCTGCGGCGGCACGTCCACCCCGATGGTTGAAAGGGACGCGGGGGGTACGGGTCTGGGAGGAGCAGCTGCCGGCCTCTGCTGCTGCAAGCTCTGACGAAATTCTGCCTCCCGCCTTTCTTGTTCCTGCTGCTGCTCTCGCATCAGCTGGAGCTTCAATTGCGTGCGCGAGGTGGGCGTCGCAGTCTTGAACGTCGGCGGACTGAAACCATCGAAAAATGTTCGAAGTTTTGCGCGATGCTTCGCGCGGCCGAGCGACCGCGCCGTCGGGTCACCCCTACGGGGTCTGCATAACAGTGCGAGCCGAGAAAGAAAATTCAATCCTCGTCCCCGCGATTCTCGTGCGCGAGTGCGCGCGAATGCTTACAATTAGACGGGGAAGGGGGGGGGCGAGCGGGGGGCAAAGTTTGCCGACGAATTAACGCGAGGCGAAACAAGTCCGAGGCGGACGGGACCCATGGCTGCGGGAACATCGGAACGCTCTTAGGCTCGCGCGCTCTCGGGCTATTAAAAATAGGGTACACGCCTACCGGTGCCGGCGACCACGGCGGCAGCCGCGTCGGTACACGCGGAAATTCGCGGCGAGACCGCTCCGCGCATGATCGTAATTCGATGTCGTAACGCGAAACTCGGAAACGTTTTTTTCCGACCGCTCGGGACGAGTTAGAGAAACAGAGTTCGAACGCGTAGGCACGATTATTTTCCACGCTGCGAATCTGCGTTGCGTTGCGACAAACTGAAAGAGAGATCGAATCGCTGGAACATGGAGATCGTTGTTATTCGCGATCGATCGATCATGTTCGAGCCGGATCGAAGGACCGTCGCGATGCACCGCCGCGGCAGACTCGTCTAAAAGGTATTCCCAATTTGGGAACAAAGCCAAGCGCGGCGGCTGTATGAAAACGAAAATAGAGGTATTGCGCAATTTGGATCGGGCTTGGAGTTCTCGGTCTCGAGAAGCCGCGATTATCTTCCTCGTTTCCTTCCTTTCATCCCCCGTTTCCACCGGTTTTCCTCCGCCCCTTTTCGCGCGCGTTTTCTCTCGTCTCGTCGCCCGTTCGCGTTCTTCACTCCTCGCGGCGCGTCTTTCTCCCTCTTTCGCGACGTTCCGTTCCATGGTTCCCTCCTGTTGAATGGATGCGAGTCGAGAACCGTTCCCGCTTATCTCGGGCCGCGTCTCATTGTCGGAGCTCGTCGCGTCTCTTTCGTTTCTTTCGCGCGGTGCCGCGTCGTCTTACGCAACCATCTTCGACGAAAAGCTAAACCAGTTGTCCTACATACATACATTGTTCCGTTTCTCTTACGTCCGCGACCGTTCTCCTGCTCCCGACTCTCGTTTCTTCCTCCTTTCCGTCGCGTCGTTTTAATCGCGCGGTCTCCTCTCCTCCTCTCTCTTCGTCTCCGTCTCTGTTTCCGTTTCGTTTCGTTACCGTTCCGTTTCTCGCCGGCAGCCTTGAATCGTCGGTGCCGGCGGATCGACCTTAAAACCGTTCCCCGTGTCAAACCGAATCGAGATCAAGTTTACCGAGAGACATTCGTTGGCAGCGTCGTAAAAACAGAAAAAAAAAAGAAAAGAAGAGAAACGACCGAGATCGCGTTCGCTAGGCTCGTGCCGTCTAAAAGCACAAGCGTCGCGACAATCAGGTCGACAGTTCCGAAGCACGTTTTGCTTCCCTCGCTTTCACGAATTCGAGAGCGCGCTCATTGGAAATCGTCGGTGACGAAGGCGGCGGCCGCGGACGCGGCGACGGTGACGTCTACGGTGACGATGACGCGTCGCGATGGTTGTTAAAACGTTAAGCGGACCGGTACAACGAATGAAAAAAAATTCGGTGTATGTACATATTCGGTAACAACAGTTGCCGTCGCTGTGTTGGAATTACGCGCGGGCCTCGGAACGTCGAAAAAAAAGAAAGAGAAGGAGCACCGAGGAAAAATGGAAAACTGTGAACGAGCGCGCGTCGGTTTGGCGCAACAGTCGACGACGGAGTTTCCCACGCGAGATTCAAGGACCCGGTCTTATATTTAGACGCAGTGTTTACGATCGGGAAGAACGCGAACGCGCCGATAAAGAGACGCGAGCCGGCTGGATGAATTTCCGTCGCGGCGATCCGGTAATTATACAGTTCTCCGGGTACCAGGTTTCGGACAGTCGTGCACGAGCGATCGGACGTAAAATTACGAGAGGAAGAGGCGCGGAGCGGAGTAACGGGACGCGACAGGGGAGGACGCGTGGCGCGACGGGAACCGCGAAGGACCGACGAAACAAAGACGCAAAAGTCGAAACGCGTACGCATATAGCGTGAGAACAGAAATAGAGGGAGAGGGGCGTAAAAGGTAGTCGGAATGTCGAACCGTTTGAACGGATCTGTACCAGCCTTGCGGACGAGTGACGCGCAGCGGCCGCGCGAACGCTAGGTTTGCGGACCGAAGATTGCCGGGCAACGAGGACGTTGCCGTAGCCGTGGCCGTCCCCGTCGTGCTCGTCGTTGACGTCGCGGCCGTCGCGGTCGCCGTGCCGTCGACGATCGACGGATCCATCTCGAGAATCATGCGTAGATCTTCGTCGATACCGATGTGCACGCGCACGCGTTGTTCCTCACGACGTTCGCGTCGTTCCCGTTGGTCCTCCTGGCCTCGACGATGGTCCGAAGCGACGTCGGCCGAGCAACCAGTGGATCCTGTGATTCGCGGCAAGTCCCCGCAGCCGGAGCACTCTGCTCGCGAGTTTCCGTCGCGGTTGCAGTTGTCGGTCCTCGGGAACGCGAACGGCAACGAGCCCGTCGTCGGCCGATCGTTGCAGAGCGGGTACGGAATCGACGCGAACGGCGAGAACGCGCGCGTCGACGGAGGCATCGACGACGTCGTCGCCGTCGCCGCCACGGACAAGGTATCGGACAAGGTCCGGGCCGCTTGCCCGGACTCCAAATATCGTTTCGGCAACGAGTGTACGCCCGTGTCCGTTCCCGTTGCCGTTCTCGCTCCCGGATCCGTGTCCAACACCGTCTCGGTTTCCGTCTCCGATCCCGAATCGTATCGCGCGCCCACTTTCACTTTCAATTTCGATTTCGTTTTCGACTTCGTGCCGGACACCGACGCGGCGGCACGGGGGACACGCGTGCACGAGCCGCGCCACCAACTCGGCAACGGCTTCGCAAAGGTTGATATTGCCGAAGCGGTAGATATAGCAGTCTGCGTGGTCGCCGCCGCCCTCGTTGTTGTTCCAATTCTCGTCTCGAAAGCGAACGCGGTGCCGGTCAAAGGTCGGCCGACGTCGTTTATACGATTCAATCGCGACACTAGATCTTCGAATTCGACGATCTGTCGCACGGTGTCGGGCGATACCCGTTGCATGTCTCCCCCGTGGGAGGTGAAACTGTTTCGCGACCGAACGAACCGAGACGCCGCGGCGTTACTAAAATCAGCATTTGCGCTCGTTCGCTGTCAAAGACGTTGTCAACGACGACGCCGTCGGCATCGTGGGACCGACGCTCGTCATTCTAAACGTGGATTCGTTTAGTTACTCCGCGTTTCTTCCCACCCTCAAACTCTTTTAAATTGCTGGTACGAGTGCGAGCGCCATCGGCCGCCGTCCGATCGTTCGCGCATTCGTGTATCCGCGCCAAATTCTCCATCTGTAGCTCGCTAATCCGTCCTATCCGTTGCTTGCTAGCTTGGTACACGTTTACACGCGCCTCCAACTTTGGGCCAGGCGGTCCGAATCCTAGCAAAACCGTCCGACACGGATGCTGCATGGCCCGGAGTCTGCTGCTTAGCCCAACCTAACCCTAGCATCCGGAGCGCGCGGCTCGACTCGCCGCCGCGTTCGTTACGCGATGATGGTGTCGAGATGGCGAACGCCGAGACACAGTGTGCCGTGACAGCTGGACCCGAGCCGCGAATACAACCGAGCCCGACCGAATCGTTCCGTATCATATCTCCGCCGAGCCGAGCGGAGACGTGGAAACGAGCCCGGCCGAAGAGCGATTCGGCGAGTCGGCGAGTCGACGCGACAGCGCGACGCCACGCGCCCGATGAGCGGGGAGCGGAGAGGGGGAAGAGCGAAGAGCAAACACACCGACAGCCGACAGCCGCGCGACCAGCCAAGAGCGAAAGCATTCGCGCGCGCGCTATCTATAGCCAAAGAGCATGAATTCCATACAACATCGACGACAAGTAGTTAACGTACGAGTTAATAAGCGGTCCGAACGTTCGAGAACGATCGGGAACGCGCAAAACGTACCTGTCGGTGTTCGGCGTCCTACTCTTTAATTCGTAATACATGATATCCTGCATCGGCGTCGGCAAAAAAGATAAAGTCTCTTCCCAGCCGTTGTCGGGGTTACATTCATTTCCTTGGAGGTGCGACAGTCGTTCGAAGCCAATCCCGGTGCATTTCTGCTCGCATCGCCGCCCGGACAGATCAGCTTCTCGATGCTCCAAGTCGGCCGTGATAGCGGCGAGATCGAATCCCATATCGATTCCGGATTCCTCCATTCTCGAGATCGTGGGATCGCGGTAGCGCCCGCGGAACGAGTGGCGCGCAGCGCAACGTTGCGACGCCACTGGCCGTGGACCGATCAAGCTCGTTTAATTTTTGAAGAATACCGTGCGGGATCCGCGATCCGGTAACCGGACCGGGCTAGGAATAAGGGATTAGGGATCGTGTGGTAGGAACGGGGAACCGGGAGTGGGAGCGGAACCGGGATTACTACGTTTGAGATCGGGAATCGAAATCGGAATCACGATCACGATCGCGTGGAGAACGTCGTTGTCGAGGTTTGCTTTCCAGCGTGGCGCCTCCCCACTGGCAAAAGTCTCGGCTCGCGCGTGTCAAGCGATAATCGGAGCGAGAGGCGACGGCGGACGGCAGACGCGGAACTCGAGAGCTGCGCGAGAACTGCTAACATGCTAACCGAGGGGCTCGGGACGTACGGGAATATGTAGAACCACGACCGAACGATATGCCCGACACGCTCGTCGCTCGATGCTCGATGCTCGATGTTCGATCCTCGATCCTCGATGCTCGCGACGCTCGACGCTCGATGACCGCCGATCCTCGATACCAAACGGCCGACGGACGACGACCGACCGACCGACCGACCGACGGATGACCGACCGACGAACAACCGACGGGCGAGCGAAAACAACGACCGCCGATGGCGACGACGAGCGACGGAAGACGGAAAACGGAAGACGAGAAGATCGCGGGTCGCGCGAACAAGCATCTGCGATTTTCTGACTATTACCCCCATCCCGTGCCATTGACGACATACAGGAGAAAGCGGACAAGCGAGTATCGTACGCTCTCCCGAGCAACGTACGCGCGGCAGTTTGTCGACCGACGGGAAAATTCGTACTGGTACTGGTACCGTGTGTTTCAACCGAGCACGGCCGACGGAAACATGTCCTCGTCGAAGGAGAGCGCCCGTAAACCAACAGTTTCCCGTCGATCAGAAATCGAAAGGCCGCGGCGCGGAGCCTCGAAGGCGCGTGGCCGAACCGTTAGCGCGATCGCGGCGCTCCTTGCGTCTACGGCCATCTGACGGACGGCTCGAGAATCTCCCGATGCAATTGCGTTCCGCGATCAAATTCTTCGCTTTCTCGACTTTCCCTCTCTCTCTCTCTTTCACTTTCTCTCTCTCTCTCTCTCTCTCTCTCTCTCTCTCTCTCTCTCTNTGGGATCGCGGTAGCGCCCGCGGAACGAGTGGCGCGCAGCGCAACGTTGCGACGCCACTGGCCGTGGACCGATCAAGCTCGTTTAATTTTTGAAGAATACCGTGCGGGATCCGCGATCCGGTAACCGGACCGGGCTAGGAATAAGGGATTAGGGATCGTGTGGTAGGAACGGGGAACCGGGAGTGGGAGCGGAACCGGGATTACTACGTTTGAGATCGGGAATCGAAATCGGAATCACGATCACGATCGCGTGGAGAACGTCGTTGTCGAGGTTTGCTTTCCAGCGTGGCGCCTCCCCACTGGCAAAAGTCTCGGCTCGCGCGTGTCAAGCGATAATCGGAGCGAGAGGCGACGGCGGACGGCAGACGCGGAACTCGAGAGCTGCGCGAGAACTGCTAACATGCTAACCGAGGGGCTCGGGACGTACGGGAATATGTAGAACCACGACCGAACGATATGCCCGACACGCTCGTCGCTCGATGCTCGATGCTCGATGTTCGATCCTCGATCCTCGATGCTCGCGACGCTCGACGCTCGATGACCGCCGATCCTCGATACCAAACGGCCGACGGACGACGACCGACCGACCGACCGACCGACGGATGACCGACCGACGAACAACCGACGGGCGAGCGAAAACAACGACCGCCGATGGCGACGACGAGCGACGGAAGACGGAAAACGGAAGACGAGAAGATCGCGGGTCGCGCGAACAAGCATCTGCGATTTTCTGACTATTACCCCCATCCCGTGCCATTGACGACATACAGGAGAAAGCGGACAAGCGAGTATCGTACGCTCTCCCGAGCAACGTACGCGCGGCAGTTTGTCGACCGACGGGAAAATTCGTACTGGTACTGGTACCGTGTGTTTCAACCGAGCACGGCCGACGGAAACATGTCCTCGTCGAAGGAGAGCGCCCGTAAACCAACAGTTTCCCGTCGATCAGAAATCGAAAGGCCGCGGCGCGGAGCCTCGAAGGCGCGTGGCCGAACCGTTAGCGCGATCGCGGCGCTCCTTGCGTCTACGGCCATCTGACGGACGGCTCGAGAATCTCCCGATGCAATTGCGTTCCGCGATCAAATTCTTCGCTTTCTCGACTTTCCCTCTCTCTCTCTCTTTCACTTTCTCTCTCTCTCTCTCTCTCTCTCTCTCTCTCTCTCTCTCTCTGTCTCGCTCTTCTTCCGTCTCGCAGTTTTCTCCGTCAGCCAGGCGGCAGCCTGTTGCATCTTCTCCTACCAATCACCGGAATTACCGTTCGTTCTAAGAAATTTCGTGCAAACGATAACGACAGCGACCGACTCGTTCGGCTCGTCGGTTCGCGTCGGTGTGCGCCGGTCCGCGGCTGTCCGCGCCGCGATTATGCAACCAACCCATTTACGATTGGACAAACCCGTTTTCATAAATACCCGGCGACCGTAGTACAATCACGAAGCGTGTAACGGGTAAGGTCGTGTTGGTGCGTGTTTATTCCACCAGCATACAAAATATCTACCGAAAATATGACGCAAGGTTCGGTAAGCAATTATTTGTTGCCTCACGGCTGCTTACTCGCGAAATGCAAAAATAACAAACCGAAAACGAGAGGAACGGAACATCGAGCAAGAATAACTTGCTGACAATGGGGTTTTAATCGGCAACGAAACCAGTACAGGCGGCTCGGCGAATTTCAATCGACTCGGTCAGTTGGTCGAGCGACGAGACGAGAAGCGATCCGGCGATGAATTTTCGATTTCGCGTCACCTCGTGTGTCGCGATTCTCTTGTCGGCGACGTTACTGTGCCTGCCCGGCACTCGAACGTTCGAAGACGGACGGAACCGTTTCCCTCCGGAAACGTCGGAGAAGATGAACCAATACTGGGACATGTACAAGGTACGCGGAAGACATCTCGGCGACGAGATATCCACGATATTCGTGATTCACGGTTTTATCCTCGACCGCAGGCTCGGTACAACAAGACCTATTCCGAGAATATGGAGGCTGCGAGAAGAATCGCTTGGGAGAAAAACTTGGTAACGATTTATAAACACAACATGATGGCGGCCGCGGGTCATCACAGCTATACGCTACGCGACAATCACATCGCGGACCTCGGGACCAGGCAATACGTTCGGAACATGGTTCGTCGCCGGCGAAAATGTTCGCCGCGTTCGCCGCCGACTAGGCGCGCCGCGTGCGATTCAACGCGCGACTCTCACCGTTTGGTTCTAGGTGAAACTGATACCGAGTCGTAAGCGGCGCGTTTCGAACGCGCTGATGGTCGGCGCCGTGTTGCACGACCCGCAACTCGTCCCGCCGCGACTCGATTGGCGCGAAGCCGGTTTTCAAACTCCCCCGGAAAACCAACAGAGCTGCGGCAGCTGTTACGCCTATTCGGTAGCCGGCAGCATCGAGGGGCAAATTTTCAAACGTACCGGCATGCTGATTCCACTCAGCGTGCAACAATTGGTCGATTGCAGCATTACCACCGGCAATTTGGGTTGTGCCGGCGGTTCCTTGAGAAACACGCTCAGGTACCTCGAGAAAGCGAGAGGGTTGATGGATCGAGCCGAATATCCCTACAAAGGAAGAGTATGTTTTTCCGCGTTTATCTAACGATCGATAACCGAGCGAAACTGTTCGAACACGATCGCAACTGCAATGACTCTTATTAATATTCGGACAATTTTTAAAACAGAATCACGGTTTTGAAAATTGGACTAATCGACTTGAATTTCTTTTTTCTTTTTTAGATGGTAGAAGAGCCAGTCTACTAGACAATTACTAGAGTGCTTTTTTAAATGTTGCTATTGCTTGGAATTACAGAAGAAAATAAAGAGCTGTCATCTTTTAGCTTTTTTATCCGAGCCTATAAAGAAAATTACAATAAATTGCGTTTCGTAGAACTTGGTAATTTACTTGGTAAACAATAACAATTAGAAATCTGCAGTTTTTGAAATCTTTTGACGCTTGTAGCTTGACTCTGAGTTAACCGATTTCGATCAAATTTTCAGAATGCGTGTAAATTACTGTGATCTACGAAAGGCATTTTCTAATTTTCATTCTACATTCATATAAAAAAAACTTAAAAAACGAGAGCTTTTTTATCTTGTTTTGTCTTTCAAAATAATAGCAAAATTGAAGAAAAGTACAATTTTAGTTATTGTCTGGTAGACTAGTTCTTCTATAATGCAAACAAAATTCAAGTCGTTTAGTCCTGTATTAAGAGAATTATTCTTATATTATATTATAAATATAAAAACCGTTTTAAAAAGTGTCCGAACAGTAATTAGATTCACTGTATACCTTTATTTCAATTTCTTTTCTTCTTTACGCGAAACACACGCGAACCGTGGAATGGAATTGTTTTCGTTTCCTCGGGCGCAGCAAGGACCGTGCCATTTCCAGGAAGCTGCGAGCGTTGTAAACATTACTTCATGGGCAGTGCTGCCGGCACGCGACGAGCAAGCTTTGGAAGCTGCCGTGGCGACCATAGGTCCGATCGCGGCTTCGATAAATGCCAGTCCAAAAACATTTCAGCTTTATCAGTGAGTAATGCTTCTTATTTATCGCAACGATCGTCCGCGCGATCCTTTCGAGATCGCTTCGATATCGAAACGCTTTATTATTTATTTATTTATTTAATCCTTGCCTACTAGGCTTAGGATGAATTCCAGTTTACATATTTACCTTTCCACTGTATGGTGAACTACAAAAAATTACACGTATTCTCTTACCTTATTCTATTATTTACAGTAAGAGTCTAATAATCTTATTTAATCTACTCTCATAATCTATTAATCCAGCAACAAAATGAAACGGAAATGAAAAGAAAGCTTACATTATCGATTAATCTAACATCTGATAATCTCATAATCTAATTGAGGAAGAAACATAAACTTAATAAAAAGAAGAAAAAAAACAAAAGAAAACGTAACCATCATTTCCCATTTCTTCTTCATTGCACGGTCTCTTTGATTCGTGCCAATCTCTTTGGTCTTCGAAACCCCTTCTCTCTCTCTCTCTCTCTCTCTCTCTCTCTCTCTCTCTCTCTCTCTTTCTTTCCCTTCACACACTATCTTCCCCGTGATACTATTTACAGTAATGTCTCTATAATTGACGCCTAGATTGACCACAAAAATGGACAATTTGAGAAGAGGAGGTACGATTATTCGAGCCTTGCGGTTTATTTTTATAGTTATAAATTGTCCACAATTATAAAACTGAGCCGCAAGGCTCGAATAATCGTATCTCCTCTTCCCAAATTATTAGTGGACAATCTGAGCGTCAGTAAGGGGGAGACGTTACTGTCTTCTTCCACTTCTCTCTGCCCTTCCTTCACAATTTTCTTTATGATCTCCAAACCTCGAACGCTCCATTAATTTTGTTCTACGAAATATGTTCGGTTCCCGCGGACACTCCCCCCCCCCCCTGGTAATGTACGAACGGGCGGCAAGTAAACGGAAGGGAACGGTGGGAAACGGAAGGAAACGGACGAAAAGGCGGATAAAATTGTTGTGACACGCAATCGTCTCGTGGTCGGCGAATGTTTACGCGAAAAACGAGGATACGAAAACTCGTATCGCCCCCCTTTCACAGATACTCGAAGAAATTGGTCCAATTGCGCGATAACCTTTGGTGCATCGTCCCCGCGATGCCCCTGAAGCGACAAAGAACCAAAGTCATTGGACTCGGTGATTCGCGTTTGAAAAAGGGCACGGAAGCGGGTTCCGGCGACTCCGACGCCCTCGGATTCGCCGGGATCCGCGAGCTTTATCCGTTCAAAAAAAAAACAAAAAAAACAAAAAAAACAATAGAACCAACGAGACCACCGATTTCCATTTGATATTACAGCCAAGGAGTCTACGATGACGAAACTTGTAGCTCGGACAAGGTGAATCATGCGGTGCTGATCGTTGGGTACACGCCAACCGAGTGGATCCTGAAAAATTGGTGGGGCGACGGCTGGGGTGAGGACGGTTACATGCGGTTGGCTAAGAACAAAAATCGATGCGGCATCGCCAATTACGCGGCTTATGCAAAAGTTTAGCGGCGTTTCGTACGATGAGAATCGCGCGGACCAGGGGCCGCTTTCATCATTGTAATTTCGTGTTATGATGCAACATCGTTATCGGTTTCACTTTATGTCTTATGGTATTAATTATAGAGCCTGGTTTCGTTTTCGTGTTCGTTTCCGTCCTCCCTCCCCCCTTACCCTTACATTCCTTTCTGTTCCAGGTTCGTTTAAAAGCGACTGTATCCGCGGACATTAAGATTCTGTCACCTCGTAATTACACGCCAGTGTATCCCCTTGAGCGACAACGAGCGGCGTTACGGAATCGGATAGCGTTTTCAGAGAGAGAGCGAGAGAGAAAGAGAGAGAGAGAGAGATTGCGCGGTGCGAAACAATTGTTGCGCGCGGCGGCGCGGCGATACGCGGCACATGTTTTCGTTGTGGTCCGCGTCCGAGCTTTCGTGTACGACGCGTGTACGCCCGGAGTACACGCAATCCGCGGAACACGGAAAACACTATACACACGCGTACACACAAGCAGGGTGTGTAACATGCTTCCGGAAGTCGCGGAATCATCCAACGAATTCCACGATTGGCGAAGGTAGGTGGAGCAACCTTGGGTCGGTGGAGGGGGCGGAGTATGGGAAGAGAAGGGAAGCAAGGCGAAACGAGACGAAACGAAGCGCGGCGAAGCGGAACGAGGCGACCCGACGTCGCGGCAGTAACGGCAAATGAGGAACGGCGAACGTAGCGACGTGCGATCCTACGAAAGCGGCATCGGCGAGGAGGGACATGTTCGTGGCGCGTGCTTCTTCTCGCGATATCAATGCGATTCGTCTCCGTCCAATCCGCGGTGTCCCCCGCTCGCCGAGCAAAGTTCAGACTTTGCAGAGAATCGATGCGTGACTGAAGCATCCCATCCGAGTATCCTCAGTCTTCGCGGATGAGTTAATTGGGAGGTCGGGAACGACGAAAACCGATCGGCCGATTCCGTACGAGCGTGTAGGCCGGAAAGGAGAGCCGTGCGATCGATTCAACCGAACGGGACAAGTGGCGCGAGAAGGGTGTTCATCTTACAACTCCACCTCGTTCGGTCGAGTTCCTCTCGTTTCGATCGAAGTTTTTCAGCGTTGACCGGGAAATCGGGAAACGCGCCCAAAATGCACGCCATCGAGGCGAAATTGATCTTTATCGAGCCTTGAAGCGAATTACGGCGGATTCCCGTCCGTAGAGGAGAGATCGAGAGGAAGGAACGGAGAGAGAGAGAGAGAGAGGGAGAGAGAGATTGAGTGAGAGAGAGAGAGAGAGAGAGAAAAAAAAAGAACGAAAGTAAAAACCGATGCGTCGCTCGATGGAAAAACAGTGCAAATTCCACGATCGATCAACTTTTTTCACAGTGGATTCGTGAGAATAGAAAGTCGGCGTGGAAAGGGTCGTGCGAGAACGCGTCCGGCACCGGTGCGAAAAGAAGTGAAAGAAGTAAATAGATGACCGAGATCGGTCGCGAAGATGCGTTCCGTCCATCAGATAGTTTTGCTTTTCCTTGCTGCGCTAAGCGGCGGGTTCACGTCGACGGGAAATCGGGTCGAGGCGATCTGGCCGAAAATGGAAAATCCGTTCAGCACCGTCTGGCGAAGTTTCTCCTCGCTGTCGACGACTTCCGACTCCTCCGGATCGGAGCGTAGCAGCTCCTCGTTCGAGGAAGAGGATTGCGCAGAATGCGCCCACAACAAGATTAGTTCGCTCGCGAGCGATCCAATTTTGACCGAGTTCAGGGTCGAGTACGTCAAGCAGCAAATTCTCAAGAAACTGCGACTTTCCAAGCCACCGGAGATATCGATGCCGCTCTCGACCTTGCCAAAGCCTCTGATAAACGGTCGTGTGCTCGAACTTCGACCTGGGGCGCCCCTCGAGCCGGAAAAATCGGTCGATAGTTTCTACGGAAAAACCGATCAAATCGTCGTGTTCCCAAACGAAGGTTAGTCCGCTGGCTTCGCTTCCACGATCTGTTCTCGAGCAGTTTCGCAAGCGTCGCCGTTTCTCGCGAAACCGTAATCGTCTGTCGCCGCGCTTCATAGGCAAAATGCATGATCGTCGCGAGTAAACCGACGAATACTGGTCGAACAGCGATTGCGAGCGCGTGCAATCGAATCGAAGAAGTCGACGCGACCGCGATAGCTTTCCCTAGTTCGTTTTCCATGCCGTGTATTCATCCGAGAACTCGGCCGTATTTATCTCTTGTATTTCTCTCTTTTTATTGTAATTTTACAACTAATGGATAACTTCCGTATATATTCAATATATATATATATATTATATAGTTGTGTATATATAGCCGCAAGGCTCGGGTAATCGTATCCCCTCTTCCCAAATTGTTTATTTCTGCGTACAAGCCGAGGGTCAATTGGAAAGAATTTACTATAGTC